AGCAGGGGGGCTGGGGTGGGGCTTTAGCCCCTCCACTTTTTGCAAGAAATGCCAAATATTTAGTACTCAACTACCAGTAAAGCCTCTTTTTTTAAGGTTTTAGCCCCCCACTTTTGTTAGACCCCCCACTTTTTCTCAACGCTCCGCGGTGCCTGATGTAGACGCATTTCCTGGAACCTTAAAGGTTTAAATTTATTCTTTGTCTATTGACTCTACAAAATCTAAATACAAATAGAATTTAAAATGTTTTTCCAACTCATTATCACTACAACTTTTACTAAAACGTTATAGCTATTAATGAATTGTAACATAGCATTGTATCAACAAGTAGAGAATTAGATTGCAGTCTTGCTGCAAAAATACAAGGATTCTACGCAGGCTTTTGACGAGGATTCCTTAAATGAGATATGAATGTGACCGTTATTTTTTTATAGTTGGGCCATCAAAGGGGTAGAAGTCCACCACTTCCCCCAATTTTTAGTTGAACTCCGCCATATCGGTCATTTTTTGTCAAAATGACCGGTCCCCAAATTATTGGTAGATGTTGCTGTCCAGGAATACCAGGATATGCCCAGGTTCCTTTCTACAAGACAACAAGTGAAAAATTCTGCAAATTCGTAAAACTTAAATCTTCTAACGTAAACCTGAGTGACCCCCACCATATGTTTTGTATGAGAACTTTCACATCAATAAGAAATGCCTAGGCATCAGAAACTAACCATATGCTATGTCCTTTTGAATTTGCAACAGGTCGACCATAGATTAATTTTAAAGTTGCTAGATAATGAAGTGAATGTTGTTTGTTCTCATCTCGAAACTGCTTACCAAAGATTTCTTTCGCGCAGATAAAGAGAAGACATCTCAAGAGTTGCTCAACTGGGAAAGCAATGGATGTGCGCGAAGTAGAGACACTTTATATACAGCATTTGAATCTGTCAAGTGGGCAAACTATATGTCTTGCTATCTTCTCTGCAATAATTATGGTGACCAACGTGGGATCAAGCTCATTTTTATGCTACGCTATTTGGAAGCTAAAACTAACAAGAAACATATCGCATCGTTTTGTTCTTGCCATGGGAATATCTGACTGCTCTATTGGACTTTTCTTGCAACCAACGTTAATTGCTATACTATATGTCAAAGAAAGGGCTGCCTTGGCAGTGGCAGAATTTTTGGGCCAGATATTTGCATTCACATTCGCCCATTTTTCAAGTGTCATGATTCTCATTATTGCTTTGGATCGTTTCATGCACATGAAACATTTGAACGACTACACTACGAGAATGACGTCACGAAAATGCGTAATACTCATTGCTGCAAACGCAATCGGAAATGCCTTGCTTGCAATTTTGTCGGTATTTTCTTCATTTTACGGATTCTTTCTATATTTGAACATTATTTTTTCAATCGTTGACTTTGCTCTGCTGGTCATTATTTTCATGCTCTACGCAAAGACATATTGGTCACTTCGTAGCCGAGTTGGACAGCTGTCTCTGGAAAGGGGCACCTCGAGCCATTTCGATCTATCAAAAAGCATGCTGTTTGTCCTGTTCTCGATATTCCTCTGCTATCTACCATTCAATGTAGTTGAAACTGTCATCTATTTCCAGAAGTATTCACAGAGACTTGAGTATTTCGAAGAGGCAACTCTTGTGGCTTATTACTGGTCACTTTTGCTGATTTTTTGTTGCCCTTCGCTCAACTCTATCATATTCATTGTATCTAGTCGGAGAATGAGAAGATTTTCAAAATCCCTCCTTTGCAGAAGGCAATTGGCGAAACCTGCATGACAAGTCTAATTGCAACCAATCACTAGTTGCAGCATTTTTTCTTTGGAAGCTTTTATTTAACTACTGTTATAAACTAAAGAACTGTTTTCATTCTCTTTGTTTACGCAGAATGTACTTAATTTCATTCACATTAGCTCAGTTTCAAATATCTTTATAATTAATGGGTATACTTTATATAATAAGATCAATGAAATAATTATTTTCTTTCTTCTTTCTCAATGCAAATAATGTAGAAGTTGGGAAAACTCTCAAGTGAGACACACAATGATACAACACGTGAAGCACAGAAAATACCCATTGGTAACCCAGGAGTAAAGACCGAAATATCTGCCTTCTACTTCCCAATACACTCGTTTTTTTATAAGAAACTTGCTATAAGAAACGAGTACTGGACAGTCAGAAAAAATTAAGAATCTCAGAACTCGAAGCAAAAAAATTAAGAAACTATTAAATCGTGATAAAACCGAGAACAACGAAATTTTGTAAAATCCAAGAACATGATTGCTTTGTTGGCCTAGAACTTAAGACACAAGGGATAAACATATACCACCCTCATCTAAATTCAGCATCAGAACGGAAGCGAATCTCTTGACGTGATAAAAAAGGTTACGAACATTTCATAACAATATTCATGACATCATAATCAAGAAACTCTTAAGAAACAATGAGTATTGAAATTTCCAGAACATTAAGAAACTGGAGTGCTCAACATCGACTTTTGTTTCTTATCAAAAAATGAGTGTAGTCAATAAGATGTTTGAACACAGTATGATTTGCAAATTATTGCATTTTAATTCAGTTATAGTCAGTATATACTATCCAAAATTCCATGAAAGCACCTACAAAGCTACTGTCCTAAAAAGTGTTCTTTAAATAAACAAAAATAAACTATGGTATCCCTTCAAACCTATCATTCACTTACCTAGAAATATTTAAGGTAATGAACTATCAAACCGGCTCATTCGTTAAGACCCTGGGATACATTATTGACGTGGAATTCGGGAATTCGTAGGGGATTGGTGAATTGTGCTATTTCTGCTGATGGTACTATTTCTGCTTGTGCAAATGATTAGGTCATCAAGTTGGAAGTACCTTGTTTTCTATTTGGTAGTCATTCCACATTTGCTTGCAAACATTGGAAATAATCTCAATAAAGTTTGATTTTCATTTAGATTTTTCTCTAAACTAAGGAAAAGAAATTTTTTTAAAGGTTTCAAAAAGTAAATTGCTTTTTTTGAAAAGCAACAAAGAAATAAAGCTGTCTTTTCAAAAATGTGAGTGTTTTCGGCAGTCACTCCTTTCGACACTTGTGTCTTGTATTTGCTTGTTTGTTTGTGTTTTTTCAACAGACTCTTTCTATTATTGCTCGTTCAACTGGAAAGAGCGCGATTCTTTTACTTTTAAAAAGGTGCAATTGCTTAGCATCTGCCGATTTCATCTAGACTTGTGTTTTTTTGATAAAAATTCTTTAACCGGGAAACAAGCAAACAAGAAACCAACTTTTCGGATTCTCAAGAGCGGCAGGGGCGTCGTGGCCGGGGGGCAAGGGGGGCGGTGGCCCCCTCTGCTCTCAAAATTAGATGGATTTTCGGAAAGATCACTGTTTTGTCAGAAAATTCTCAAACTTGAGCTATGGGTAAATCTCAAACTCTTAGCAAGAAACTCTTAAGAAACAGTGAGAAACAGTGAAATTTCCAGAACATTAAGAAACTGGAGTACTCAACATCGACCTTTGCTTCTTATAAAAAAAATAAGTGTACTCCTTCATAGAAATATAAACACAAGTGCTCTTTAAAGCATTTTTCAATTTTCAACGAAACACCTTCTAAAATTTTATGAGACATTAGAGCAAGGCTCTATAATTTTCTCTTTTCTGGTGCCTGTGAAATTATTGTATAGCTCTAAAAGCTGACTTTTACCACTTTGTGCTTTGTCAAGTCAACTCTTAGGTCAACATGGTAGAGTCTATCGGGCTATGTGTAAACCAGGTGATTGTTTGTTTAAACTTTTCCACTGATCCTAGGAAATCTGTTTTTGTAGTGGAAAGACCACTGCCTGCAAATGACTGAGACACTCCTCTTTCATGGCCACGTAGCATGCACAATGAAGATTCGGTCAAATGCCCAAGCTCGTAAGAACGTTCATTTGAATGCCTTCCCTTGTTCGTTTACCTAACATGATCATCTTGCAGCTGGCAAAGTTCGCAAAAACATTGCTTATTTTGTTGGGTGGATGGTAAATAGACTCATCCTTACTTGGCAAGTGATAAAGCTCGTTTTACACTTGATCCGGAAAAAGTAATCTGAACAATTTAAAGAGAAATATGGGGCTTATTCTTGGGTCTAAAATCTACAAGCAAATATTTACCTGCTTATCTAAATAGCTCCTAAAAATGATTAGGGAAGCAGGATTTCCAATCAATTTATTTTGCTAACCTATTGAGATTGACGTAAAATACAGTAACAGAAGCAGTTAAGTATGCAATTTTTGACTTGCCAACAAAGCTACAGCCAGGGGTATAGCAATATTTGGTCTGGGGGGGGGGGGGTTGGTTGAGCCTTTTTGCTATTCCAAAGAATAGGTATTTCGAATCCTTTTGGCGTAGTTGGTATGGCGCTGAATAGTACATCAAAATTTGGTCATAATTCTCCTCTTTACACTTTAAGTGGCCTATGGCGTAAGTTCCAATTTTCCTCTTTGAAGTGTAGGAGGGATCCAGCTTTGGAGGGGGATATGGTGGAAGAATCAATCAGTGACATTCTTCTCCGAAAATTTCTAAGGCCTTTAAAACACTTAAAAAAATGTGAGTTTTACTCTAAAAATGAAATTTAATCAGTGAAGGACTAAGGTACTATTTAAGGTACTAAAATTAAATTGTTTTAGCCAGAGCAAAACTTTAATGTATTGAACATCTTCTCCATCATATACTAACAACAGCTACGTATTGTAGGAACCGGTTTCAGTTAAATTTTCTATAGTCAGGAAAGAGGGACGTTTTGCCTGTTACGAGAGGAATGGAAATATAAATGATCTTCTTTACATACCTGACGCATACAAAGAGCAGAAGACGCAACAGAAGGAGCGAGGCAAGTATTTGAGGACTATGCTATCTGCAGGTTCAAAAAACCCTACCTTTCTTACTCGACAATGGAGGGGCTTATAAATGTACGGAGTAGGAAGCGAGTTTGCCTCTACGAAAGAGGCTATTCAGTGATCAGCATTAGCGTAACCAAGATAGTTAGATTGGGGGATAAAGGCGAATTGAGCACGGGGGAAATAGGAGTTGAAACCCTTCGAAACAAAAAAGGAACCCCTTCCCAAATAGATTTTTTGCCATTGTGTCTGTCCGTCCCCTCTTGCCTCCTCCTCACTATGCTACTAGCCTGAGATCAGGCTCGGATGGAGACCGGGAAAAATAGAAAAATAAGAAAAAGAAAGGAAACCCTCTTCTGCCCCCGCCTCCTCCGCCCCGAGAGCCTGATCACAGGCTACTATGCTACTGGCAAATTAAGAACTATTCACATCTCGAAGACTTCAGTGATTTTTTTTCAGAAGTTCTTTCTTTCTAGATTCGGGAAATTATGTTTTTCTTCAATGCTTCATTTTATTTATTGGTTAGAAGCCGATAAAGGTACTGTCCTGCCAAAGCTTTCAGGTTTCGAACGCCCTTCAACTTTCATTGCTTTACTTGGCGAAGAAAAGAGAGTTCCTTACGACAATCACCGGTAGTATTGCCCTTAAAGAAGTCTCTGAAGAAAAGTTAATTTCAGTACAATGCGTTCTGTTTCGCTTTTTCGAGCCATTCGGAAACATATTTCATCATCAAAGCAAGAAAGATTTCATTAAAAAGATTTATTTGTCCAGCAAAATGGTTGGACTCGAACTTGTACTTTATAAAAACGAGTTCTATCCAGTTTTGACAGCTTGGTGACCCTCTGCTTAGATACAACACGGTATCTTAAGCAAACACTTCAGGTGACAATATAGAATGCTTGCAAACCATTTATTTTGGTTTACAATGAAGTTTCAGGCAGACAAACAATATATGGTATTTTTTCTAGTAGTTTCATTGAGAGGACGCATACTCTTCCTGTGCTGTTCAGAGGTTTAAGACGAATTGTAAAAAACCGTGTAAATATTGGCTAATGGATAAACAGAGATTTCTAAAGCCGAGTGAATTGTTTGGTTAAAAGAAACAACTTCATTATTGCTGAACATATGTTGCTGCAAAAGGAAAAATTAAATCAAATTTTTGACCTTTGAGTAATCTCGGAAAAAATCCATTTGGAGGTCAAAGGAAAAGCAAAGCAAAGAGATTGTGAGTGTCTTTCGACTTTCTTAGACGTTTCACTTAGTAACGTAGAAAACTTGAAGAAATGGGTGCAAAATACAGTTCCATGTTACAGTAACAGGAGACCAGTTTGGCTTATGTATAAGCAACATCCAATCTTTCTTTGGGGCAGATTGTGTTGTTGTGATAAGTGTTTGATTCTATAGATGTGAATAGTGAAAGTAAGAATTCATGTAACTTTTAACCGTCTGTTCCTCTTTGGTCATTATTGGAAGTTTCAAAACCTGACTAATGTCAGGAGAATTGTCGCATAATGCACAGCATTTTTCTATTTTGTATACATTTTCCATCTTGAAATTAGGAATGTCCTTTTTTCAAAGCAATTTGAATTGCAGGTTTGGTGCTATAGCGATATCATTGACCATGCATTATTTTACAGGTAAGATTGGACAAAAGATAGAGAGAAAGATAAGACAAGGAAATAAGCAGTTATCCTTCTTTGGTTGCTCAGCATGGCTAGAGAGACTGAATTCATTAATCCAAGTTCGCCTCAGTTTAACAATAATTTTCTCGTCCCATACATTTTGGTCAACACCATTGCATCCTTGTTTAATATTTTAATAAATCTGAGCCTGGCTTATGCCGTCAGAAAAATGAAACTGTTTAAAAAGCCGTCATACAGATTTATACTATGTTTGAGTATCTCTGATTTCTGTGTGGGCATGGCCGTGCAGCCACTTCTATCAACACGACTTCTGGTGACGAACGTGGAGAAACTGAAAGTTATCAGGCTTCTTCTAACATTTCTTGGCATAGTTTTTGTGCAGCTATCCGGCATGACGACTGCCTTGATTTCCCTCGATAGATACCTCCACATGAAACATCTGATGTACTATCAATCTCATATGACAATCAGGAAAGCCTCTTTACTCATAGCTTTAACCGTCATCCTTGCTGTTTGCATCGGATTTATCGTAACAATTTCCGCGATATTCGGTCATGCAGAAATCGTTAACATTGGTTGGCTATCGACAAATTTCCTCATACTTTTTGTGATAGTCGTATTTTACACGCGTGCCTACTTATCGGTAAAGAAACGCGTTGCTCAAAACACCATGAACAAAGGACAGAATCGCCCAAGTCAAAGATACCAACGCCCAGACTTTGAGTTTGCAAAGGGCATGATTTTCATCTTGGTTGCTTTGTTTGTTTGTTATGTTCCATACTTAATCGTTGGGATGCTAATTGCAGTTTTGCCGCAGTCTTCGTCTGACACGTCATTTAACCTGCAAGTCGCATTCTACTGTGCATTGATTTTCGTTTACTTTATATCCTCATACAATGCTTTAGTTTTGATCTTTTTTGACAAGAAACTCAAGACATTTTTCAAGTCACGAATAAAAAAGGAATCTCAGCAACAGAAGAGCGTTGCATTTAAAGACACAACTGTTTATCTAGAAGACATACAATAGCCGACAAAAGACTGGATATGCGTAGCTACCACGACAGTGAATTTTAGTATCATATCAAACTGACTATCAGTGACAAGAAAAGCAATCATGTTGACAAGAACTGGGTGAAGCATTTGCAATCAGCCGTATTGTTGGGAACAGATGGATTCTGACTTTGAAGTTGCATAAAAAAGCAAGAAAATGCGATTCATTTCGAATTTTTGACATTGGATCATTTCCTCTCTCAAGAAGGCCTTGAGAGAGAAGATCATTGCAATTGCCTAGATCTCAATGCAACAAAACAGCCTGGGATTAAACTTTGGCTATGCATTCTCTTGTTTTGTTTAGACCAAAAAGCACGCCTCAACAGCATTATATTGTAACCAGACCTAAAAAATGCCGCTTTGCATTCATGCTGACAAGTTTTACAGTTACCATTTCATTTTTAAAGCAAATATATTTCGGATTTCTTATAACTTTAGATATGCTTTGAAGTAACTAATTGCTGCTTCTACAGAAAACAATTCTCACACACCCAAATGCGACAGTGCATGTAGTACACAACTAAAATGTTTCTATAAAATCGATTACTGCCTTATTCCGCACTAAAGGTATACGTTAGCAACCAATCGTTTGCTTTTTAAACATCTGTGGATAACAAACCCATCTGATGTGTGCAGGGCCGTCGAAAGGCAGCTCGGGCACAGAGGTGATTCACGAAACTTGACCCCCTCAAGAAAATTTCCTGTGGCCACGCCCTTCAGTCTACCGGAGAGCAAGAGAAACGCCTTTTTTAGGTACATTTGTTGAAAAAGTTTATTAAGGACTTTTAAAAGAATGTGTAAAAGCATTTTACATGAATCAATGACATGTGGACATTGCTCTGCGATGAATTTACAGGCGTTGATTCGATATAAGTAGCTGAAATAGTAGCTTTTTGCATTATAAATAGAGCTTGTTACTTTATTACGGGCCCCATTGGAGCACGGGTCCCGGACCTTTTGCCTCTCCTAACCACCCCTCTTAACGACCCTGGATGTATGTTAAACATGGAAAGACTAGACCTCCTGTATGGAAACCTTTGTTTCTCTCAACTCTCCCCATTTGTCCTTACATAAAACCAAATATGTAAGAGTCTACAAGGATTATCTGGAGAGGAATATCCAAAAGAAGTTTTGGTAATATAGTAGTGTGTTAAGAGTGATATTTTGCTTCAACTTTTCTATCAGAATGTATATTGTCTTTCTTATTTTTCAACCTGTAAATGTCAAAATTATTATGATTGTTTTATAGTTTCTCTACCCTAAAGAGGTTTTTGGCTTCCTGGAGAGAATAAGATAAGCTGATGATATTAAGATCAGTTGGAAAACCTGTCTAATACACAGTTCTCCCACTCCTCTAAGCCGTTACTCCTAAAAATGACTCGAATCTTTCCTGTACAGGCAAATTACTAAGAGGTGTTTTCTCAAGGTCCCTGTCGCTATGGAACAATCGTACTGAGTGCATTATGTCTGAAATTTTATGTATTAAATTCCAAAAAACAACATAGCATCTTGAAGTTCTTAATCTTAAGGATACATGAAGAAAAGAGGCACATTGATGGTTATGATCATGTAAACAGTTATCCTACATTTATTGTATGTATTTTGACTTCTCTGCAGTAAACTTGGACTCAGTTGACAGAAGATGCCAAACCTGAATACTAGTATAATAAATTCGAAAATGGCTTTGAAAAAAGCAAACATTTGAGTAAACTAAAGCTTTTCGTCTGATACTCTTCAGAGCTTAAAACATCAGAACATAGATCGAAAGAGGCAACAGGTAAGATCTTTGTTCTGACGTTTTAAAAGTATCAGACGAAAAGCTTCAGTTTACTCAAATGTTTACTTTTTTCAAAGCTATTTTGAAGTTTTGTACCACCCAAAGATTGTTTACAAGAAGTTGCAAGAAGAACAGCAGTTAAAAACAATGAAATTTCTTAACGTGTTAATGACTTTAAAATTAAAGTTAGCTTTATAACTATGAATTGATCTATTGCTAAATTTTTACTTTAATGAAGCACCTATCTTGGCTTTCACGACCAATAAATTGAACAGTCGAAGCTTGGGATACAAAGTTCAAAGTCATCACGCAGGTGGCAGAAAGAGATTCCCAAATGCAGCGTTACATATTGCTAAATGCATTCTTGATGCTGTCACAAAATAAGAATAATTTTTATTCTGTATTGAATAACTTATAAAAAAAGAATTAAAAAATATGATAGAACACAAAATGTGCTTGACATAAAATCAACAACTTACCTATTGTCACTTGTCGGCCATTGAAGTTTCTGCTGAGCTGCAAACGGAGGGTTGTTGGAGGATGAGAATCGATGCTTTTCTAGCTGCAGGCAACTAGCGCATGAGGCAACTAGTCACTAAATACTCGAGGATGCAGTCTGTGAATAGCCTAAATATATTTCAAGACATATAGGTCCTTGAAGGCAATCCGCTGAAGTCATTACGTGTATTTCATTAGGCCAATAAGCCAAAACAGAACCCTTTGCCTCAAAGGAACTGCCAAGCGATGCATCAAAGCTTCTTGTCAATTGTTGTAGTTAAACCCAGGAGAATAGAATGAACTTGTCACGTTCTCTAGAATTGCCTCGGGAAATTTTTTCGATTTTGTATTCTGTCAAGCAGACGGGGTAATAAAATAAGATTCCTCGAAGCACTTTGAAATATTGGGTAACACGATAGATAATACTACACTTGGTAGGATACGTCATGAGCCTTTCAAGTTTTACCTTATTCTAGCAAACAGTGTCTAAATGTATCCATACTGGTATTTTTAGCTTACAGTTAATACATTCAAATTGCCGGGAGTGATTATCGCCGATTAACTTGCCAAGCTATGAATTAAAACAAATTTTGTTAATAAAAAGGATTTATTCAAGAAATTAAATTCATCATGAAAACCAACGTAGATACATAAATGATACAAAATGAGGCAGGCCAGGTCTGAAGGACATTTCTTAATAAAATAACTTTTATATACCAAGAAGATATTATGTTCTTTCTCCTTGTAAAGGTGATCAATCCAGGTTTAGCCTAAATTCAATTACAAACATCTGGAGCAACTTTTGAAGCAAACATTTGCAAACTATATCTCGTTGTCACCTATTCTGAGGAAACATGATCAAACAAAGGAAGCCACAAAGATTGTTTGTAACTAAAATTAAGCGTATCGCTAAGTGTGATAAATAGAACTGATACAAAATCAAACCTTATGAGAAACTATATAGACATATTTGAGTTAAAAAGTCGAATTCACATTATATTTTGTATTTCCTGAAGACAGTCAACAATAAATGTTTATTTTGACACCAGCCCTTTAATAGCCTTTCAGCGTCGTGGTAGGTTCAAGTTCTGTTAATTCTTTTACAAAAGTGCTAATATTAGAATATATTGCATCATTTATGAGATAAGGCAAGCTTTTCATTGTCTTTGGCCATCAAGGGACGACAATTGTAGAAGAAGGAACCAAGCTAAGTTGGGTTTTTATACTGGCAAGCTGCGACACGCCGAGAGAAGGAAAAGAGGTAAGACTATATATATTGTCACTGCTTTCTAGATGAAGATTATATTTGAAAAATACTGCAGCAAAGTTAACCCTTGATGCAAAAAAACAATGATTCTACAACATTGCAACAATATTGCAAAATAATAATAATCATTATCATAACGAATTTTTTAACAGAATAAAAACTTCGAAAGTTACAAAATTGCTGGTATGGATTTTTTTCCCGTGAAAAGAAAAGTGCTTTAAATGGAAAAAAATATGTATATCAATTTCAGATCCACAAATCAGTTTGAAAGTATTAACATATTAGAATCTTATACATAGATATGGTTTATAATATTTATAAGAGCAAATCCATTGTCAGATGTTCTTGCAGTACATGGTAGTTCATTAAAAGTCTTTGCATCTATGAAGCCTTTCCGCGCGTATTCAGTTCTTATCCGTGGAAGGTATTCACTTCATGCAACAATCCTGCAACGACAGGTCAAATTGCTTTATTGCAACAATGTCTAGTCAATTTGCAGCTATATTTTACCATATAAATTCTGCATTTATGGCAGACCATATCGTAGCAGTAATCTACCATGCACATCTTTCAATTGTTTTTGTAAGTTTTGCATCATTTCAAACATGGTTGTTATTGATACTACAACACATAAAGGTGTTTCTTAAATTTTTCTTTTATGCTTGATTTGCAAAAAAGCGTGTTGTATTTTTTATCGATGCTTCGAGTAGCAGAGGAGACCCCATTGATAGTGGCTCACGACGATTTATTTCGTCTATGCAACATCTTGTATTTAAGTCTGTCTTGCAAAATTACGATCACGTTTTGCTTTTTGCAACGAAAACGTTTTTCACATGGCATTTCAGGTGAAGCGCTTGCGAAAATATTTATTCAATTACCATGCTTGCTATTCGTTGGAAAGTCATGGTGCCTTTTTTGAAAAATGTTATTTCATTTCATTTGTTGTTTCAAGAAAATATATTTCAAGAGAGTTTATGAAAATCGAGATACTGGAAAAGCTCTATTAAGCCGCCGGGGCCTTATTCATTTTTTTCAGTCCTATAGGGAAGCTTAAAAGAGAGGAGGTCTTTTAGAGAGAAGGGGCTCATTAAAAATTCAAAGCAGTAATGTTTCACAAATGCCTTTGGGCATTTATTGTTATGAAAATGTCATGCAAATATTCGCAAAAAATTTCGCTAGCAGCCTCGAAAGTTTAATCAATCAATTATAAGGTCCTCATCTTCATCAACATCACCAGGATAAATTGATAACCCTCGGACATCTTCAAAACAAATTTCGACCGACTACTAAGTCGCACAAGATAGTCTCGTATTTAAAGCATGCGATCTTATCATCATCACACCCGTCAAGAGACCCACTAAATACGCATGTTTTCTATGTTTGACATCAAAGGCTAAAGAGGGGGGGCTTTATAGAGAGGGGGCCTTATTTAAAGTTTTTGCTCCATAAGGGGGACTTAATAGAGAGGGGGGCTTGATAAAGCTTTTACGGTAAACATGTTCTATGGTGGTCTGATGTCTTATTCATTTGATTATAAGATATGCGGTCTCAATTTGATCAGAGCAAGACGAAACCCACAAATCAAGAGTTTTTCATCTCGTAAATAATTTGATTTAGAAAATTAGGTAATGTGTAATTCATTTTGAGGTACCTAGTAACCATTTTGAGTTTGTTTCGAGATGCCTAGTAACCAGACAATGTTGACTGTTAGAATCGAGTTCAAGAAAGTTTACTCGTTGTTTGTGTTTTTAAATATTTTTATATCTCATGTCCCACTTCGAAAGTAACAAGACCCAATGAAATATGCCCTTTGCCAGGTCAAATTAGTTGTTCTTCGAAAGTCTGGATGGTGATGCTCGTTTCTATGGTGTTGTTCTCTGTAAGTTATTGTAGTCCATATTTGTTTTCAAATCTAATTAAAATTTCATTATTAGTATGATAATATTAAATAAAGTCGACTTCATTACGAAAGGTAAGCGTTTACATTTCAGCAAATATGGCAGAGAAATGAAAATCCGGAGTGCATACAATTGACTGAAAATGGCGGATGAAGTTCAGACGTTCAATCCAAGCGATCCACAGTTTGAAGAGTGGTTCCTCATTTCAATCATAACAGTAAATATGGTTGCATCACTGTTTGATATCCTTATTAATCTATCTTTGATGTGCGCCATATGCAAATTGAAACTGCTAAAGAAAATCTCATACAGATTCATTATTGCCTTATGCATTTCAGACACATGTATTGGTGCAATTGTGCAGCCTCTCTTAACGGCAAGGCTCTTGTTGACGAACAAAGCAACACGCACCATTGTGAGGCTCGTCTACCAGTTTTTTGCAATAACATTCTGCAATGGGACGGGGATGCTTATTTGCACCATATCACTGGACAGATACATACATATGCGATATCTACAACGATATAGCGAACATATGTCAACAAGGAAAGCAAATGCCTTGCTCGTTGGCGTTGTTCTTAGCAGCACCTGCATGGGTGTGGCAATTACGATTGCAGCAATCAAGGGTCACGTTCTCTATGTCAGCAGCATCGTTTTGGCTGTTACCTTTGTGGCATTGCTAGCCATTGCCATCTTTTATACAAGAGCATACCTTTCGATCAAGAAACGCCTAGCAAATATGAAGATAAAAACACCAAACGTAAGCAGAGGTCGGAAATTCCCAAGACCAGATCTGATATTTGCCAAGGGCATGCTGCTTATTCTTATTTCTTTGATAATTTGCTACATCCCATACCTGGTTATTGGCGGTCTAGTGGCATTGCTGTCGGACACAGAATCAACGAACGAGCAATATTCATTACAGGTGGCCTTTTACTGGTCATTGGTTTTCACATACTTCGTTTCGTTCATAAATGCCATGATTCTGTTTATATTTGACGAAAAATTAAAATCTTTTGCAAAAGCTTTCTTCAATCGAACACACCAAGCAAGAAATCAAGAAACAAGGGATGATATTTACCAATTGTGAGAAATTTTGTCATATGCGACATCTAAACATTTTCAATTAAAGGTATTTCATGCTTGGAAGGAAGGCTCGAACGAAATGGTATCTATGGCTAGGCATCGTGTTTGACAGCTATTGTCAGATCGAAGTCTCGATCAAAGACACCCCCGAAGAAACAGTTCTGTATAAAACTGAGCAATGTTTTTATAACCAGTAAAGAAATATATAGAAAATTTACCAACAAATGGAGAATGGAACGGAGGGACTTTTGTAGCCAAATAAACAACCACGGTGCAGCCTAAGTACTATGACACTGATGGAGACATGGAAAATATAAGCGTTGGTCAAAATGCTTAGGTAACCACGCTCTATCGAGGAAAAAGTTTCTTTAAAAGGGACAACAGCCCCTCCTAATAGCACTTTATTAAGGACTCAGTTATGAAGTAAGAGTTTTTGAAGCGACAAGTAAAATATGGCGTTGTTCTATCTGTCAGAGTTAAAGAGAACATCTGCGACAATCTAGATTTTATGGCAGCCAGAATTACAGAAGACACGAGTTATCAATGTGAAAGCTGAACAGTTGACGTAACGACCATCAATGAAATCTACAGCTATAAGGTCTATCAAAGTAAATTTATGTATTTAACATGTCCACCAAAATTATGGACCTCAGATTTCCAAGAAAATATACAAACGTGGAATATTTAAAAACATAAATTAACAGCCGATTTTTACTCGTCGGTTGCTCGAAAAATCATATGCCAATACCCGCAAAGATAAATCTATTAACTTGGGAGCCCACAGACTGTATCTCGTAGATTGAGCATCTTAAATTTAAGAGCCTGTTTCAGCCTGACGAAGGTCTTTAAAGAGACATCCCTAATGCCAAGCATCATCAGTGACAATGTTAGTTATCACACATTTCATAAAAGAAACAAATGAAAAAACTAAGACAGTGCCCTTCCCAATGCACCTTTAAAACAAGGTCAAAGAATAGCCTGGCTAACGGAAAAAAAGACTCTTCTTTGCAGGGCATTTGCTGTTACTGGGTGGTTTTAACAGTATTTTTAACAGTGCTATTGAGTATCAACATTTAAGGGGAGGAGATCCCTACTGAAATTACGTCATAGATAACAAAATTCATCCCTTACTGGGCAAAATGGTTTGAAACGAGCAAGCGACTAGCTTATCTGAGGTCATTTGTAATCGCTTTTACAAGAGATTATTTAAATATTTCTTAAATCAATTAAACTACAGATTAGAAATCACACTAAAAATCATTAGTAAAATAGTTGAAGTGCTTTCTTCAGAGCAAACATATCATTGAACTATTCTATTTGTTGATTCAAAATAGATGAAACGTAAAAAAGAAGGGATCGCCAAAATATGGGTCTTTTTCTCTGATAAAACGTGGTGCAGTTAACATTTAATCTTATGGACTAGCATTGGAAATTTCCAACTGCGAAATGAAATGTCCTGAGCATAGGCGTAGGAGATGTTGTTGAAAGACTGCAGCCCAAACAAATCAGGTAAAAATGATCGCTTTCAGTCTCCATTCGTGCAGTTTTACTCAACGAAGCAATAATATTCGGGCAAGATCCAAGCATCCACTACGCCCATGGTCCAGAGTTCCATAGCTAAGAAATGAAACGCTTTGAAGTCAAATTCAACCATTTCTAGCAGAAGTTGTATCTAGCTCAGTGCATAAATAGGAGAAATAGTTCTTTTTAATTCTTTCAGAGAGATTGCCTCCCTTCTCTAGCCCCCTCTGAAGCTCAAACTGTTTGTGTTTCTTTTCAAAAAATCTCAACATTATACTAAAAAGAGATTGCACAGTCCTTACTGGCTGGGTTTGATTGACTAGCAGTGGGCTTTGACCGAATGGGAAGAAATTATTAGAAAAGATATAACGTCATAAAGCCACTGAAAGGTGACATATGATACATATAGTTAAAGGAGTTTGATTAACAATACACACATATTTTTCACATAAAAATAACTGCATTAATTAAATCGAGAAACCCATAATTATCATACATTATCACAAAAAACCGGCATTTGAAACGTACATTATCTTAAGTGCTAAAATGAGAGTAATTGTCAACTACTACAATTTGAATAAAAAACTAGAAATTTGTGACGTAAAGAATTAAAAAAATGATTATAAGAATCATAACTCCGAAAACTGCATTTTGAAAATTGAGAGAAGAACACTGTCTATGGTGTTGTAATTTGCTCCCTTACTAAAAAATCTAAATCTCTATGTACGAAATCATCATTAGGGATAATTAAAGCACATTGTATTGCCAGCTGCATCGATTGAATCATTCATGCACCGAAGCAGCTTAAGAACCAGTCCTAGATTTTCTGTACATAGCAAGTCGGACAAACTGTATCCCATCACTTCTTGATTAACTCATTTCACAGAAAACGTATATTCTTAGAAAAAGTCTCAAATAAAGGTAAGGAGCATATAAACGGTTAAATGATATATTTTTGACAACCTAAAAACAAAGCAACGCTGGCTTCAACGAAAAGCATCGTTCTTGGCATTCCAATCATTGAGACAAACGAATCCTTAAATTATCTTTCGGCTACTATTCAGTTGAATACCTCAAATCACTTGTGTTGGGTTAGGCTGAACCTTGTCTGCCAAAGCAGCATCTACCCTTTGCTGAAAGACAACGATCGAGCAATCAATAAACTACTTCAATCGATTTCTTAACTATCGATCTATCTATTAACTGGTTCATTGACCTATTAACTTAATTGTTCCTTCGTTTTTCACTTTTGGCTTGCTAGTTACATTGTTCGTTCCAAAGTGTGCCGAGTTACTATTTCCAACCAAAAAACCTTGGAGAAGAAAGCCTGTTACGACGATGGGGACAAGAAATTTAGAATGGTTGTAGAAGTGAATTGATTACGACCTCGGTTTAAATCGCAGCCTCACAGCAAATTTATATCTGCATTTACCTACTAGACCACAATCTCAACAGAGGACACCACTAAACATTCTGTAAGCATATGTGCATTTTAAAGACAGCCACTGCCTAATTGCACCAATACTTTCAAAGCCTTGCCAAAAGTTATCAAAGGTAACCAAAAGTGTTTTGGCAAGATTTAATGATTATCTAATTCAAAAGTGAATTTAAGAAATAAAAAAACATCCGTTCTACCGGCGTTAAAATATTCCACTCACCTGGCATCATTTTACTGCATTATTTAATTGTATTTTCTGTCACATCAAGCGTGGCTTCAATATCCATATCAATCTTTGGACTCACTGATTCATCACTTTCAATTCTATGCTTTGAGGCTGGGGAGAAACCACCGTTGATGGTGTTAAACTTTATACCATAGAATTGAAACAAGGCCTAATATAAGTGTGATACTGCGAGCCTGGAAAGAGTGTATTTACATGCGAGATTTATGCTTTACAATGAAAGCACTTTGTTAATCAATAATTCATGTCACTGTTTTGAAGACTTTATGTAATAAAAAGATCTAATAGGAAACAATTCCTTATTAATGTACTGAGGTTACTGCAAAGAACTTCTTAAACCTTCTTAAACCAAGAAGCCTTGGTCTGTCGTTACGTATTTAAGACAATTGTAAAATCTACCTTTTTCTTCAGTAATAGATTCTCCGGGAGAGTTATTAATTTCAGTTCCATTTTCAGTTTCACGATTCTGAAAAAAAACAATAGATGAATTATAAAGTCATAAATTTTCCGGCTAAAGTTGAGAAAAAAACTCAGAATAAAATCATCAAATTTCGAAAGCAGTTTTATATACACTAATGGGTTGCTTGGGTGACAGGTTCATCGGTGGATTTGCAAGGTCGAATCAGTCTTGATTTTTCCACAAGATTTAGAGATTTTTGAATGACAGGAAGTTGTTTGAAATTACAAAGACATCTAATGATCATCAGGGAGATGACGTAATAAAGGAGAGCTGTTAACCATCAGGTAAACAATTTTGAACTTTTATGAAGAAAATGGCTGCCAAAACGGGAAAAGTCTCGTCACAGGAACACTTCCTCTCATGGTTCTAAAAAAATAGGCCGCGAGCTTTCAACTAAAAGAAATTATTTTGGCACCGTTTTGATGAGCAGTTAACAACATCAAATCTAATTTATGTATCTTAGAGAGATTAGCAGTGTCCTCAACGTTATCTTTTCTTTCTGCGTGCAAGCAATTTTCATAAAAGTTGGACCGGCTTCGATAACCATTTGCAAGAGAAATGCTCGCTTCTCGAAAAGAAACTGACGGACTACAGTTGTAGCACGGCATTTGTTGAAACCTACTGGGAAATATTCTCCACTCAAAAAGAATGACGTCATGATGCAAGCACAGCATTAGCTCTTTAACAGAAATGATTTGATCATAAGCGTTTAAAATGTTTAACTGGAGCGAAAAGTTAAATAATAAGTACAAAATTGGATGTGTTTTCGCAGTTTACGTTCCATGTGTTGAAGTGACGAAGTTAGTAAGACACTATGCTAATGTAATTTTTCACGCTGACATTGATCGTATATGAAATAACTGTGTTCGATATTTTCCGTACAACGATATTTTGTCAATGATAAATACAAACCTGGACGCCTGCGTCAAAATATTCATCGAGAATTTGTACAAAAGTTTGTGGAAACAGTCCAGTCGTATCAAAAAGGGTTCCACGCAGCCACCCATTTTCCTCTCTAGAAATGATTCTTATTGTTTGACCGGTCTTGAAATTTAAAGCTTCCTTTGAGTCACTGACAAAGTCTGACGTTGCCATACAAAGTCGGCCCGACCAATCTTCATCTGACAGACAAACAGGCAATTCTTCTCTGAAATTAACAGGCCCGGAATGACTAGGATCTTCTAATAGAATCTTTTCAGTAATTTTTCCCGCTTGGTTCAATGTTGTTTTTTCCGATAAAATGTCATTATCACTTGTTCGAGGGGGTAAAGATTTCACTACGACAACAAAACTCGAAGGAAAAATCCCAGTTCGTCCATTACATCTGCCCTCCAACCAATCATTGCTTTTCTCTGAAAGAAGCTCAATGGCATCTCCGGACTGGAATGTCAGTTCCTTTTCATTGTCAGCGACAAATGGGTGCACCGCAAGAGCAAGAGGTCGATCGAGTGTCAATAGTTCTTTTTCTATGCAAGGTGCCTGGGGATGATAAAAAGAGGGCAAATCAATGTTTTACACAACAAACAAAATTAAAATCATAATTAGAGAACGGATAACATTTGAAAAGACAGTCCATAGTGAAAATTAACCTGAGACTTAATTTTTTCTAGAAACTGGCTGTAATGCTGCCCTTTCACATGGATATCTTACCCTAGTGCAAAATTTCAACCCCTGTTGAAAAAGTGAGCTGGATTCAGCCCGAACCTCGTTAACAAACAAACAGAAATGTACTTAGAACGGCACTTAAAGGAAAATAGAATAACAAAGCATATAAGATAAACAAATGCAATATAGTTTGATATCGTAACAGTTCGACCAACATGAACAGTTTCTCAAACCTTTGATCAATCATTAATATGATTTGGAGTAAAAAAGGAAAAACCTACTTGCTTAGAGCCTTAAATTCTATTTTGGTTTCGTTTAGCTGTGCTAATTAACCAGTTAATTCAGGCAGGTTTTCTTCCGAGAAAAATTTGGCATTTAAAAACGCCACTCGATCATTGATGGCATCAAATATGCTTTCATTTTGTTGTTAAGAGCGAAAACATTAACGATATAGTATGTAAAAATGAGTTGAAATAGTTTATACTTTGATCTTTTGATAACATAAAAATGCAATCGAATCGCTTCAAAAAACTGCGGGTATGATCCCTTGGACTTAGCAGCTTACACAAAAAAAGTTGTTAAAAATTAATTAAAAAAAAAACAATTAATTTTTTCTACAGCTGTTGCATAAAATAGGCATTCGTGGTACAAAAATTAAAAATGGCTTCGAATTTAGCAAAAGTTTTACATCATACTTTTTTCAAAGCCATTTTTAAACAGACATCCCTTTTTCGCAGGAAATTATTCAGAGGGTGAAAAAGAACCAGCCAAACAGGTCTAAATGATTTCTTTAAAGTACTCACAATAATTTTCGACTCTAGAGGAACAACGACATTCATGTGATTCACGGGTACCATGCCTCTTTTAGTGCCAACTGAACCAAAGAACCAATCAGCGTTGACTTGAAATTCTAGTGATATCAAGTCTCCAGCCTGAGAGAGGAAAGATGTCAAGGGCGATTAGAGAAATGCAATATACAGTCAGACAAGTCATTGGCTGTTTGTCAGACAAAGAATGCTTTCAAAATGCGAGTTTTAGGCCCTACGCTTTCATCAGAGTTGTCGAGTAAACAGATCTTAATAGAGTACATTGCATACTATATATCACAAGTAGTAACAAATATAATCATCAAACATTGCAAATTGTCAATTATTAATAAGAATTATATGGTAATTTCAAAATCTATTTTTCGTCGCCTTTATTCATGCGATTAGTAAAAGTGACGACGAAAGATCACACCACAGACACAGCTGGCGTTTTCAACCCCTTCACAAGAAAAAGGAGCTGGTTGGCAAATACTGAATATCAACATAACATTAAGATTGATAGTCAAAATCATAAAGCTGTAACTAACATGTTTTTAAATTGATGTGAATTCAACAATTGCAGAGATAAGTTGTCTCCTTTTTGCTCCGATCTAATAAGACTACCTGACAACATATGATTGTCGCCACGTAGTAAAATAAACAATGATAAATAAGAAAGAAAAAACATCTGCGGGAAAACCAGCTTGACAAAGTAAAATCTTCAAATGAAATACCTAAAGGGTGTGATTCAAAGCTCAAGGCCTAACAACAATGGGAAGCATGTCTCCGAAATTGGTTACAGCTTTACGAAATCCTACAACTCAATGGGAGTAAGCTGACCTATATCTTTTGTATTAGAACCATTCACATTTAGAGGGTTATTGATAGCAATTATAAGTACACCCTGTTTTGTATCAGCTCCGCACTTTCTAGTGAGACAAACTAAAGCAGCTTAAACTCTTCTAATAGCGATAGAGCACACAGGTTATGTCTAATAAGCTTTATGAAATACTTACGCTGAATGTAAGATCTTTCGTGTCTGATGTTTTGCGGTCGTAGAGCGCTATAGCATGCGGTTTTGGAACGTTGTCGCATTCACTGTCGTTGCTATCCTCCCGCAGTATTGCTGGTATTGGCGGTCTTGATCTATAAGACACTACTGGAGCATCCGGCCTGGCTGGAGCCGATTTTCGTCGTGCCCTATTCTCTTTTACAGGTGAATTCTCAAAACCTATTGGTCTAGGTGGGACTTTTTTGCGCTCGCTTTGCGCTGAGTTCATAACACAAGACGCGTTTATTACTTTTGGAAACGACTTTGGTCTCGGAGGCTTGACAGGTATCTCCCTGCTAGATTTTTTATCAGTAAAAGTTTGATCGGAAGGAGAATTTACAGGAACCGGTTCACCATCGCCTGACCTGCACTGAATTTCGATCGACTTAGCGATCTCTGTTTCCTCAGAATCCGTTTTCTCAGTGTCACGCTTAGAGCAGCTGCCCTTTTTGTTCTGCGAAAACCCTACGAGTTCATCTGTTTCGGCAGCAACTATATCAGTGCACTTTCCACTCGCACTATTCACACCCTCTGAATTGTCAGTAATTTTCCCAGTAGTATTCATCGAAAGAGAGCTTGATACAATTTTTATAGCGGAGTTTGATTCAATATCTTTTTTATAAATTTTATTGAAGATATGAGATTTTTTTTCAACTATGTTTTCCCGATTAACAGTATTTTCAGCTGTTTCAACATCTGCATTCGAGTCACCAGCCTCGGAGGAATTCAAATTACAAAGACCTGAATCAAACTGGAGAGATTCAATGTTTCTAACGAACGGATCTTCAGAACATGAATTGACAACTGGCAGATTATCATTTCTAAAGCTATTTTGTTGAGTGCAAAAGGAATCATCCATGCTCCGGAAAGATTCGCTCAAAACTGTGCTGGTCTCCAGTAAGATTTTATCCAGCTCTTCAATTTGAGACGATAACGTATTTGTCGCTTCGTTTGTTTTCGATGGTGAATATGGAATATCTCTGTTATTGTTATCATTGATCTCTGTGGGGTTCTCCTTTGGAATATCTCTTTTATTTTGAAATTCACAATGATCAGGACCAGGCCCATCAGTCTCTTCGCTACAAACTGCTCTCTGAGTATCTTCCTCTGTAATTGAATTTTGCATATTGTCAGACAAAATTTCCTTATCTTTATAATTGCCTAGGTTTTGTGGAAGCGAATTGATGGTAGAACCACTTTTCGAAACAACGTCTTCTTCATTGCAACATTCTTCTCTGTTTTCGATTGTCTTCCTTTCCATTCTTTTTTGTACACTATTTCCCCCCTGATATATGATCTTGGATGTTCCTTTCACCTTCAAAGATGAAGTTCTGACAGGCTTTTTCGGGGTAACCTTCTTACGATTTTCAGGCTTCAGGTTCTCATAAAGTGTAGTGTCTGCTGATCTCAAGTCAACTTGTTTTACTGTCTTACTTTCAAAACTATTCGAGTCTTCCTTCGCACCCTCATCCAAGCTTAAAGCTTTAAAGCTTGCAAGAGACCTCCCTGGCTTAGGAGGAGCTTTCTTAATCTGCTGTACATTAACCTCTGGGCTTTCATTCTTGTCAGTTGTAACTGATTCACAAAATACAAAATTTTCCATGCTAAATGACAGAGGTCTCTTCGGCTTCTGCGGGGCAGGGCTTTTCTTTCTAGTTTCTACTTTAGTTTCAGAGTTCTCTCTTTTAAGGCGCCAAACAAATGCCAGTGCTTCTTGTCCTTCACGACGAACCTCCTCCGTGGTTTTATTGGGACTGTTTTCTATTTTGTCGTCCAACGGGTTCCCATGCTCCAAATTTGCCTTACCATGGATCGCTGGAGGTCTTCGCTCTGTTGGTTTCTCAGTGGTACTTTCAAAGAATTCAAGTTTTTGCGAAAAATTTTCACTTGCTTCTATGTGCTTGATAGGTGCTTCATTTGACTGTGTCACCACAGTCCTTTTTTGAATAAGATTGGAATCACAGGGTTTTAAGTCTGCATTTAACACAGTATTTTTCTGACTTTCATCAGTATCCCTAGAAACTGCCTCATTTTCCGGCCCTTTCGTATCAGCATCGTCCCTTGCAGTGTTGGTTTTGACGCCATTGTTTTGCAAAGAATTCTTTGCCTTGGTAATTAATAGAGAATGAGCGGCTGAAGGTGGTTTGGCTGGCCTAGGAGGTGGAGGTGACTTTATCTCCTTGTCAATTAACTTGTTGCTGGTCATCATACTGTCAAGCGATCTGAGATCACTTTGAACGTACATACTGGGAGCTCTAGGAGGCACTGGCGGTTGACAGTTGGTGGCAACTTTGGAAACTGCATCAGATGGCGGCATTTTTGGTGGTGGGGGTGGTGTGGATGGCGGCGAAGAGGTTAGTCTTCTTCCTTTTATTGACCTGCTTTTACGATTTCTGGCCTTTGTTGTAGCAGTAACTGGCGCTGGCTTCCCAGGCTTTGGTCTTCGCCCTGGATGGCTGCTATATGGCTCTGGGGCGGTTTTCTGCATACCCTGCGATGAATTCGACTGATACGGAACCTGTGCTCCAGCCGCTGCTCCTACATCTGCTATTTTAGCGGAAGTTTCTCCATTAAAAATAACCGTTATTTGTGAAGTAAGCGAAGACAAAGAATCTACAGATCCCGAACTCTCAGGCTCCGATTCTGATTGAGTCCGAGGTAATGATGCTGCTTCGGACAGCCTGCCTTCAGCAGCTTTGTCTTCCTTTCCTGGCCTAGATTCTGATTTCGTCCGAGGAATCAACGGCATTTCATCAAATACACTATCGTCTGGTGTATCATTTCTGCCATTTGGTCTAGATTCTGATTTCGTTCGAGTCAATACAGTTTTATCAAAAACCTTTTTATCAAAGTTAATAATATGTTTTGAATCGGACATTGTCCGGTTGACAACAGATGGTTTACAGGAAATACTGTCTCCTTCTGATTTCAGGCTTTCAGAAAAATCTTTGTTGTTTAAGTCAGATTTCAATTTGTTTTCTGAAAGTCCTTCTTCGCTTAGGTTTTCTTTCAAGGTTATTTTTGTACTAATTCTGTTTATAATCTCTTCACTTTGGACACTTCCTGGAAATTTCTTTGATAAGTTATTAACCTCATTTTCCTTCCCTTCATCGAAAGATCTTTGCTTGCCAAGACTGGGCCTTCTTGGAACAGATGGTTTAGGTTTCACTGCAGGGGGAGCTGACATTCGTCGAATTCCTGGCTTTACAAGCGCCACGCCTCCATTTAACGCATCTCCGCTAGCGTCTTTATTCGTCCTATGTTGCTTTTCAGTTTGAACTACATATTTGGCAACCGGTTTCACGGCATTCAAAACGCCGTTCGGCCTGCTTTTAGTTCTCTCTTTATCTGTAACAACTTTGCCTGCTTCACTCTGACCCTGCACTTCGATGCTTTGTCGCAGGCTGTCATCAGATGGAATAGAATGGACTTCATCAAAAACTTCAGGTTTTGAATCCTTGTACGATTCTGCAGTTTTAGAGCTCTTTCCAATTTCATTGTCAACAAATACAGATTCGTCAAATTCTTTCTGCTTCTCTTTTAATTTTGCTAGAACAGGGCTAGAATTTATTGCATCATTTAACGATAAAACAGGACTGGGAAGTTGTTCATCTTGCTTAACTTTATCTGGTTCAACACTGGTTAATTCTTCGTTTTTGATCTGCAGCCGCGCATAAACAGCGTTTGCTTGAATCGCATCACTAAGCGTGACACTCCCAACGGAAGCGGTTCTAGTATCCTCGTGCGGGTCATAGACATTGGTATCTTCCGTTATTGCAGCTCCCTTGGATTCACAAGAAACTGTCGTCCCTACTTGCTCGTGAACTAAGTGGCCGTTAATTGGCTTTGAAGCCTTTGTCCCGAAACTTTTAAGTTTCACGTCCCGTTCGCGTTTTTCTTCGACGCTATTTGAACGCGTAAGAATAACAACATTTTCCTCTTGAGTTGTCTTGATCAACTGTCTCTGTCCGTGATTATTAAAAGACCTGCCGCGCGGTAATGTAGAAGGCCCGCGTGCTTTTGATTTTTCACCAACGGTACTTGTCGATTTGCTACGAATTCTCCTCATATTCTCTTTGCTCTCTTCATTTTGATGCACTGAAGTAGTTGTTGGCCTGAAAATAAAATTGAAAATGATAATTTCAGAAAAATTAAAAACCGAGGAAGAAATAAATCGTGATTTTAACATTTGTATGTACAGAGACCTTCATCAGTTGAAGTTCAGGTTACAGGAATCAATAGAAAGGTGTGCTATATAAATTACTTTGCGAGCTTCGCCAGTTCAGTTTTATGAGTATTAATCTATTTCACAATGCGCTATTTTAAAAAATATTATTTTGATTAATAGGTGTAAAAATAATGTGCCCAAAGAGACTATCTTTAAATTTTGGATAATTTTTACACATACAATTAAGCTCCAAGTGACTTCAAATATAATTTTCCTCGTTCAGAGCCATCACATAATTAAATAAGGCTTGAGAAAGCACTAGGACCATAAAATGTAGAAAGGGCTCATTTGTAATTTCAGGCCAGGTCAGTTACCCATAAAACATAGTCAATCAGGCCAGGTCAGTTACCGCAAATTCCTGAACCTACCAGACAAACATTGCTAATTCAGCAAGACAAAAGATACAAAAAGCGGCAAAATCAAGCTCTATAACATAACTGTTAAGAGATATTCTTAGCTAATAAATGTCGCGAGCAACGACAGCAAAAACTTTGCAGTATGATAAACCGAATGAGAAATAAGAGTCGAGGATGACCAAATGGACAAGTGGTATAGAAGTCAAAACGATTATAGTAAACAGGACTTTGACAACTTTAATCTTGGAAAAGAGGACTTTTTTGAAAAAAGGAATCAAATGGCTCATCTTCATGACATCAATCTTGAAACACTTATTTCCAAAGTTGATCTCGATAATTAAAAAATGGCAGAGAAAAGGAACCATTGTTACCACAAAAATGACTTTTGAGAATAAGTATAGAGAAAGTGTTAACAGATAGAATATTGCAGAAAATCAGTAAGATGGAATTTTTTATAATAGATGAAAATTTGCAGTAATTGTATAAAAAGATGGATTTCTTCTCAGTAAATGGAAAGAAATTGTTGATCGTAGGCATAAAATTATGCTTTGACCTTATACCAATAGCGATTTTGAAAAGATTCGCAAAACTGAATTATATGGCATTCCTATGATAAAGGTATTTTGTCAATATTGCAGAGAATGAAGAACGACTTACAGCTGCAGCAGACCAGATATTGCGGCCACAATTACTTATAAAGGCAAATAAACTAAAAACTGACAATCGTTATAACATAGATATAATGTAAAAGCAAGTCGGCAAACCTTTGAAGATCCCATTAATCGAATTTCTTGTAGAAACATTAGCAATAAGATGGTAGTGATAAAACTCGCTGGCCTTGAAATGCCAAAGTATTTGTGCATAATGTATTCTTTTGGTGCTAATCTTAACTTTTTAACTCCCCTCTCACTCTTGGCCTTCATATACTATAAAGGGGCGTTAATCGCAATGATTTAGGGCTCATCATTCCACGAGGAAAATTCTCAAGATCACTGACGGTTTAATCTCAACCCAGATTGAAGACCAAATTTTTAAGCAAGCTTGAGAAAGCAAACAGATCCAAGTTAAGAACCTCGGCACAAAATCACACGGTTCTGAAGGCGGTGTGAGAACGAAAGATTAAGCAGACGCGTTCGATCTTTAGCCATTTCAAAAGCAGGCGAACAGAAAGATTCTGGTTTTTATCCCGTCTGCTAGGTAATTTATAACAAAAATAATAACGATCAACAAGGTGTTAAACACAAGTGCGAAACTGCTGGTATTTTGCACCAACATTTTATCCTATAAATCGCGTTAAGAAATCAATTAATACATCGGTTATAGCTGTTTCTTTGTGGCATTTGGCTGCCATACCACAGAAACCTCTAATTAAAGAAAAGGAGATAAATTGAAAAGTAAACCTATCTTCATCACGACCCTTGCCCAAAGCTCAAAATATCCCCCTTTCCTCGTATAAGTCTAAAATTGATTTCTGACAGTTTGTGTTGCGTTAATTAACCCTCAATGTATTCTAGAATGATGTTCATGATTATTATCAGATTTATAGATAAATTGCGATTAAATGTGAAATCGGTTATATTGTGCATTCATAATATCATTGGATAATTCAAAAAACTCTACAAGTCTGGATAGACAGCCCCTCGAATAAGTCTTCGCGATAAAATTGTTGTCGCAATACGTCACTGACGACACGTGGATAGATTCAGGCTCAATTCAGGAGCTGTGCAGATTCTACTGCAGTCATTAGATTTTCACGCATAATGACAGAACTAACCAAAAATGGGAGTTTTTTAGGATTTAGGTGATGAAAAAATTAATTATTAAGGACACTAATATATTTGACGCTTTTCTTTAAGGATAATTCTTACCTTATCCCATGCCATATTCGACTAAATTTGCAAGGTCCAATATATGAAAACATAGTAGCATTGCAACGATATTGAAACAGGCGTACAGGAAACAAAGCAAATGCAACGAAAACAAAAAACGATCGAATGGTTCGATCACTTACTTTGAAGCAGGTCCTTTTTTGTTGAATGATAACATTGGAATAGGAGGTGCCGGTCTTGACGGGCTAATTGAAGCTGCTTGATCCTTGGTTTCATTTGATTCCAAACTAGGAGGCGTCGGTGCTTGGCGTAGAGGCAGTTCTCGTGGGGGCTTTTTGGGGGCATGGAGAGACTTGCTTCGGCTTACTTTCTTACTTTCTTTTCTGAGCTGCTCTTCGTCGACTTTTGTCGCCTTCATTGACCTGAGCGAGTTAAATCCGTTGTAAATCTCTGATTTGGGGCGTTGTTTCTTGATGAGCCCCGTGGACGAAGGAAGCGTGGCAAATGCGAACCCGTTTCCACTGTGATTGCTTTCTGTTGGCGAATATATGGATCTTGGGCTGGGAAAAGGCTCATTGTTCAGAGGAGATTGATTCAAAGGTCTCACATCGACGATCGTTATTTCAGGTCTAGCATGCGAAAAAAGACGATAAAATTTTTATGTAGACGAATACTTCTTGAATAATTTAGAAAGAACTTTAAACACGATATCTTTTTAGACAAAAGTTAAATAATGCAAGAGGGCCGCCAAGGATTCTCACTTGAACATATGGCATCATCTTTGACATGCCATGACGAGGTTAGATATTGAAGTTTGAAAAAGCAAGCTCTGCTATAACATCTCGAAAAATAAGTCGGTTTCCTAACGTCTTTTTAGTTAGAACGTCAAAATCATAAACTGTTACTTGACACTATAAGAACAAACCTGAAGTGTTGCCCTTATCACAAAGCTTCCTAATACAGCTGATAAACTTATAGAGTCGATTGTGGCCATGGCAAAATTTTTCCTAACAGGGCTTTTGTACCGATGTTATTATTAACTCTAAATAATTGGATTTTCTAGACAGTTGCTACGATGTTTATTGTCTTAATATAGCTGGAAGCATAACCTTTGTGATTAAACAAAATTTTGTGTTACCTGAAATCAAAATTGACAAAACAGGCAATTTGTCTAACTAAAAGGGAGATATTGAACTCGTTCGACGTATTAACTGAGCTGACACTCTTTTGTGAAGCATCAATTAACGCGGTTTGATGCAGGCAGACGCGGATAAACGCAGACAATAATGTTTTAAACAGTTTAAAAGCTCAGCTCAAAAACATTGTTTTACTCTAGGTTTTCTTTTTACTTTTGGGTTTTTCATGTGGGTTTTCTTCTAACAACAATGCAAATGAATACCCTTAAAGGCTGGCCACATTTGACCCGATCAATGTGGCTCAGTTAGCTTGTCAACGAGAAGGCGGCCACACAACGAAGAACCAAGTATTTAGCTCATTTTGTTTCAAACAAAAAATCTACTTTACACGGTTCAGGTATTAAACTATACTGCTACAGGGTCATTTAGTTGGACCTTTTAGAACTCGCTTTTCCGTAGAATATTTTCGGAGAAAGGATCCAATCGTCATTCAGTGCGGTTGAAAATAACGAAAGTGCTAAAAGGTAACGAAAATCACGGCCAACCCCCGCCAAAAAACGTAACAACCTGTACTGCACATGGACAAACCATAATTTTGTAGCAGCTGCTAATGAACAGGCAGCTAAGCTTAGGGATTATCTCTATAAAAGTTGTGGATCTACGAAGCTAGCAATGGAAGCGTCAAATAAATGACTGAATTTACCTTAAAAAGACGATTATTGATAATGGCCTTTAATGTTATCTAAAAATTCTCCAGAGCACGCATCTTAAAGGATGATAAAGCATTGCAATTCATTGGCTTACTCAAAACAGGGTGTGGTTTACTTCAGTTGTTATCCTGTTATTGATAGAATAGTTTGTTGGGAAGTTTAAGGTTGCTTCGTTAGGCACGCTAGGTCGGTGAATTAAAGTATAAAATTTTGGCAAAATAGCTGCTTACTTACGCAATTTGGCATTAAATTCAGTATTATTTCATTAAAAATAATATCTAATGAATCAACAGATGAATGAGATTTTACCTTTACATTTAAGTCTGTATTTTTATTTTAGCTACAGATCATAATGGTTTTCAATTTCTGGATGAAATTTTGGAATAGTGACTATAGCCCTTACACTCTACAATCTGATAAATATATATGTTTGATTGAAATTGAGAAAGGAAAAAACGAGAAAGATTTGGTCAACTAACATTTCGTGGATGCTTTTGTGATCGTCTACAGTACATAGGGCAATAGAAAACGGGTACTTTTCCGATATATCCAGCGATTATCTCTGGCACAATCTGTATTCCGTCTATCAGAGAATGGGCCTAAAATATGGCCTAACCTCTGCTTAACATTGCTTTGTGGGATGTACTTATAAACCACCCGGAAGATACCATTTAGAGGATTTCGGTACCATACCGGTATTTCATATTGCCAGCACGAGTTTATTTTTCCCGTTTTACATGACATAGAATATGGTGGGAATTTACCACAACAATAGTTTGTGTATCACAGCATCTTCTTATCACGCACCAGTACTTTTTTAACTTTCCTCATCATTTATATTTGCTTGACCATCAGCCACAAGAAACTAATCTGTTTATAACAGTTTGCTAGCTAACATGTTGGTAGCATTTCTGTATAAAAGCAAAAGAATGTGATAATGGCATGGCTTTATGCACGGTGCCACACTGGTAGTGCAAAAGTGTAAAGGCTTTAATACTGTTAACTGATCATTCTGTTGGGAAACTGACCAAAAGTAGCTAAGGCCTCACAAAAGCATTTAAGCACCTTTTGTATAATTCAAATTGTACCAGTTATACATAATATTTTTGCATTGGTTCTCCTGGTTAGATAATAGCAATGTGGTTGAAAGCCAGAAAACTTATTGTACTCACTGTAGAAGTAGGAGGAAATATTGCCACAACTAAAACACCACAGTTAGCATTGATAAATTTGCTACAAACAACCAAATTATGGTAGCTTTTCACATTGACACAACATTTTAAGATTTGGTGGAAAAATCTTTATAACAGAAAAGACATCTGAATTTCAATCATCTCTCCGGGAGAGAAGCATTGAACTTGCCAGGTCACAAAATCCCCTCATTAAAAGTACTTATTGCAAATCTTACATTTTTGCAGTCAAGGGTTAAAATTCCAAGACAACAGAATCAATATATCAAGAAAGGGCATATGACTTGAACCTATGGATTACTGTTAAATGTTGTTTGTACCTTAATAATTTGTTTGGTTGCTATACAGTCTTTTGAACAATTTTCATAATAAGTCTGTTTTGACAAGAACTGTGCTGCCATGCCTAATGAGCTGTGCCATAAACAAGCAGCATTTTACTGGGGTTTAAGTCATCACACTTCCCCAAGGCTTTATAAAAACACATGCATAAATTTGTCCAGCAATGTGCCAACAATATTAATAGGGTTATCAAAATATATTAAAGGCAGCATGTGGCAAACAATCAACCTACTCTGTACCTACCAACAATACCCATTCAATTCTTGCAAGCCAGAACATGTTTTGAATATACTTTCATGCCCATGCTCTTTAAGTGTGAAAAGGCCTTCGCTAACAAAATATATCAACAAAGTTAAACTAATGTTACTTCACAAATGATTTATTAATTGGGCAGTTCAATCTCTCTAATAGACAAGGGAAGTGGGACACAGCTGGAAGAGAGACATCCTGCATCTATGTGCATCAACTCACTTAGTTTCAAACAAAGTCAAAACAATCACTTGTGGCCTAAATGATAAAAGAAATAAAAAGCAATATCACAACAGTGCGAAATTTGCAAAAAACAGTACAAATATCGTGAAATACTGCTGAGCAAATTTTTTTTAGAAAAACGAGACAATTAAAATTTTATTTAATTGAGAATAATTCATGCCTGTATGTTGTATTTTGCATTTTAGGACAGGACTTCCCCTGCACTGCTTTTAAAATAGAGGTTAAAAAGATATCCATCCCAGATAAATTATGGAAGCTTCATATAAGACTAAAAAGACCTCTTGACAACAACAACCAAGAATGATTGAAATGGGGAAAATTTGATGCACCAGAGCTAAATGAAGCTTCAACAAGAGATAAAGCAAGAGAGAAAACAGGATAATACAGAAAAATATGTCAAACTTGTGACAGATCATAATTGAGCATGCCGATGATGAAGTTCCTGGACCAAGGAGTGGCAAAGGAAGGTTATGTGAATATTGATGTAAAATAAAACATAGTGTAGAGGTGAATGGGGAAAGAAACTGAAGACAATCGCAGAAAGGCATAATAAGACAATTATACCTAACAAAGCAGAATGGTGGTCTCCATGACCTTTACATCCTGGACAAAAATAAAATTTGCGATGAGAAAATAATACTTTGCCTTGGTCAGCTGTAAAACTATTGCCTAATGAGTATTACAAACAGCACAATACATCAAATGGTGCTTTTCTGATTATTTTGGCTTCTGAGGCTAAACTTGAGAAAACAATTAAAATTTAATAGTCTGCTACTGCTAAAAACTTGTATTTGCATTTCTAAAAGCTTGATCAAAGTATTGAATTTCCAAAAGTTTTTCAAATATGAAAGGTTCATGTAATTTACTTTATCTTAAATCAATTCCAAAATCTGAAGAACATTTTTCTAAAGTCATTCAGCAGAACTGTGTAAAAAAGGAGGGTATATACCTATGGGACATTAACACCCATTTATTCTTAAGGTTTAACTAAATATTAACACCCATATACAAGGGTAAGAATAGCCAAGGAAAGGTTTCAAAAAATATTATCCCTTATTGCAACTCACTCCAATATACAAAAAGGCTAAGACTGTTAATGAAAAAAAACTTTAATAAATGAATAAATCTATGTTTGTTCTAAAAATATTTAATTCTCAGACAACTGGCAAGCAATATGAGTATCAAAATGATAGTAGAAAGCATTTTAGTAAAAACCATCACCCATGAATCCTCTTGAAACATGAAGGGCTATCAGAATTCATTCAAATATCTATTCCACAGCAGATCAGGAACTTCCTTGGGTGAAGTGGTAAGAGTTCTTTCAAACACAATGGCTAATTTCATTAAAAAGACAAGAGCTTTTGAAACTGATACATGTTGGTATTTGATAGGATAAAGGAGACAATCTTGTTTTTGAAGATGTACAAAGATATTGGCACGAAATCAAGTAAAAAACAAATTGAGATCGAATTCTTTATAGAAAAGAAACTTCCTGTTCTTTAAATTCTATTGCAACCAGTGCTGACCAGACAACTTAGGTTGCACTTGAAATTATAGTAAACAAGGGCAAAGAACACTTGATAATTTGTTATTTCCAAATTAAATAATGGTTGAAACATGACACGCGCAGAATCATGAAGGATTATATTAATTGTTTATAGACCACATTTGACACCTGGTTATAATGAAGTCGTTAAACGATAATAACAATACACGCACGTCATTACCAAATTCAGAAAATATTTCATCGGACTAATTGTCTTTCTTTTAGAAATTCATGTTATTCTCAAAGCAAGTGTTGACAAATAAAATTACACTGGCAACAGGGACGGTAACACACCTCCAAACTGCGAAGCCGTCTTTACAGAGGCTCCAAAACGTTAATCAGCTCTTGACTTAAATCTCGCAAAAGATTTTAGTATTTATTATCACTCACTGCAACATAATCCTAATGAAAACTCCATGAATGTATTTCTACATTGGATAAAAATGCAAATTATCCGTCTTTGTGAAAATTATGGTTGAAAATGTTTGCAAAGATGGACAATGGTTAAGCAAAAGCACTGGCGTAAAGGCGCGGAAGATTATTGAAATAAAGGACAAATTAGAAGATCTGCAAGATATTGAGAGAAATCTATAACACCTCCAATGCCTTAGGTCAACAAATCTTCGAAAAAAGTACACGATTTGAGCGACCACTGAGATTCCCCAGGAAAGGCTTGGTAACGCTTCGCTTCAGTGGCAACACCGCATGCATACACAACTTTTCAATTCAAGGTTAAAAAACTGACAAGCGCGTAATCTTGAATATTATCATAAAGAACTTAGCTGTGCTTGAGAGGCTTATGGATACTTTTTCTGCTCGAGGCCTATCAAAAGTCCCTTTTTCCCTTGAAGTCAAGATCTTGACAAACAATAACGGTTTCAGTCCAGGCGGATGATTGTCGATTCAAGGTTAAATTGCACTAGGTACGATACCTTTATACATACCTTGCAGAAGACTTTTTGCTTCTAATCATTCTATCACGCTAATGATATAACTGTTAATTCCGATTTCGCATGACGAATCAACTTTCTCCAGACGAAAACAATCATCTTTCTCGCAAATCAGGAAAACAAATTCATTCTTCGGCGACTAAGCTCCTCCGCAGAGGTGTATCGAGGAAGAAGAATTGCTCCTCCACACTCGCATAGATATTGGCGATGATAATAACAATCATGATTAAAATGTATTAGGCGACTATAATGATGATAATTGATATATAATAATTGATATATAATGATAATTATAAGGCGACTATAATGATGACGATGATGATATTATGATAATTCAAGGATTCTAAATTGGTAAAGAAAACAGGTCAGATGTGAACCTGATTTGACTTCGTTTGCTCTGATGAAAATTAATCTAAAGCTAATTATGAAAAGAGTGGATTGGGTTTAGAGAGAAGTAGCATGTTATGTCAGATTTCAGAAACACTGCTAGTAAAATGAAAATAGTTTTCCTTACACCACCCATTACGTCTAATTTAGAATAACTCGAGGCGACACATGCTACTTTTAGCATTTTCAGTATAAGGCAAGTAGGATGGCGTCTTCAAAAGACACCGCGCTTATTATGAGTCTAAATGCTGCTATTGAGGGGGGCTCTTTGATTTTTCTTTGCTTGGGAAATAGGATGTTTTCCCTGACTGCCCAAAGCAGTTGCACCCCCTGTCTATTTCATACAAGCCGGTAGCTAAAACACACAGAAACCGCAGCTTAGTTGAAGTTAAGGCAGTTCAACCACGACAGCGTAAAGGAAGAGGAATTTTATCGTCGGTAATAGTGTGCTCATGTAAATTTAATAGTGCAAGGAACGGGTTTTTATTTGAATTGATTTCTCCAAAGATTCTAACTGTGTTTGTGTTAGATATTGCAAAAGAGAAGGCAAGCATCTCTCTTGATATGAGCTGTGTCAAAGTCCCCTGCCTATGAATGTGCGCTGGGTATAGGCATTGGCAGTTATTTAGGCATTCAGAACTCCGTGCCACTTTTCATCCATTACAATACGTTATGTGTGCGTGAGAAGTGCTCCCCACTTTCAAGATCCCCACAACAGGTCAAAAATACAAATATCAACCATGAATGAGCTATTAGAAGCTTCGGAACATTTTTCAAGTACCAATTTCCTAAGGCGACGGAATTCCTCTCCTCTCGGTATGTATTGACAAACATTGGTTCGCAAATAAGAAACCTTAGAGCCAATAAGAAGAGCTGTGAAAATTTAGTGCTAATATTGCTAAAGTTAAGAAGCTTTTGTTCGAAATTCCTAACTTTTAATAATATTGAAATTTTTTTAACATAGTTAGGGAAGATGCCTAATCATCAAGATCAAACGTGTGGAAAAGATTTGTTTTGAGAGATATTTTTTGCAGGGGAGACGAGAAAGAGTGTGTCAAAAAATATTAATTTTCTGAATATTCTTCAAAAGTTTAATTCCGCCTACGTTTTTATTATGCAGAAATATACTGAATACTTATGCTTTGAGGCTGGTTTTGGTTAAACGGAATCATGAGCAAAAGTTCTAGCATGCTCAATTGATAACGATGTCAACCACTGGGCTCATGACCGGCTTCAAAAGTGCTCAAGGCAAGACAAAGAGACAAGTAGCGCTTGGTTTTTCCTTACATATCAACAAAGAATGAGGATTAACATATCAAATACTGATTTACAGTTGTTTACATATTACTAAAAAAATTTAAAACAATCCTTTGGGCTACCCGAATGTCTCATGAAAAAGAAGGCAATGGAATGAAGGATTTTCTGTGTTCTTGATAGTTACCCACACTTTGCGGTCGCCGTTTTACCTGAGTATCTGTATTTTGATTGTTTATATTTCTGTTGCTGCTTTTTGTTTTAGATTTTGAATCGGACGAAACAAAACGCAAAGCATTGTGCATGAAGATGGCTGCCTTCTCAGACACCTTCTTTTTATTCTTTTTCTCGCTTTCCAATTTAATTGGTTTTCCACTCTGTTCTTGATCACCAGCCGTTTTTTGCTTCTTCGTTATAGAAGAAAGTATTTTCCTTTTCTTCAACGTGTCTGATCCGGACTTTGTAGTTTCTGCAGGTACCCTAATTTCATTTTTGTTTTTGTCAGTAGTGTTGTTGATACGAGGGCGGGGCAGTGTACTGCAGGATTTTCCCTGATGACTTGAATTGCCTGGCTCAGTGAAAAATCTCGCCTCATGATTGTCGTATTGCAGCTGGGGTATCATTTGGAGTTCCTCTGAGCTCTTGCACGGTCTAACAACGGTGTGAAGTGTTTCGGAATTCTGAGTTTCCTTAGTGGACGACATCGAGGCATCGAACACTGGCTTAGTAGAATTCTTACTCTCAGATTCTTTTTCATAACTTGTGTTTTGGGAATTAATGGGCTTGCTCCCTTTACGAACTCGTGGGAGTGTCCCGTATATTGAGACACGTCCTTGTCTGGATGTGCCAGTGCGACTAGCTGGTCGTGAATCATCAGCAAGGTTTTCAAGACAAACAGAACCACGGCTTGCCGGTCTTCGTGGAGAGGCTCCTGTGCTTGGTTCGTTTTCTCTTTTTCTCATGCTACCAGTCCTTGACAATGGTCTGTTCTGCTGATAACTACCAGTTCTACTTTGCGGACGTCCCGCGCTTTCAGTTACAGGAAGATTCGATTTCAAGTTGGATGAAGCCCTGCTCGAGACGACCTGACTAACCGGTCGTGTTGTTGATCTCTTTTGCAATGTTTGTTTAGGAGATTCATTTGAAACATTTGAAACCGGTTCAGGGTTTACCCTGGGAGCATGGCTTACAGGCTTTTGAGATTTCAACAACTTCTGGCTCCGGGGCAAAGAGCTGCAAGTGTCACTGTATGCCATTTTTGTCGCTGATGGCCTTCTTGGTATAACAGCACCCACATCTGCCCCCTCGTCTGCTTTCTTGGTGCTTTTAAAACCTCTTGGCAGCGTTTTGTTCCTACTAACCACTCGATTGCTAACATCTCTCTTCTCTGCGACAGAACTTGATTGTTCGTCAACCTTTTGCTTAGGTTTTCTTTCTAATGTATTAGATTTAAACAGTTTCTTTTCAGGGTTGCTTGGCTTTTTGATAATTCCCTTCCATACCCCTGCTGGATCGTAGAAAACTGGCCGATCTTCCGGATTCAATATTTTATCTCTTGGCGTTGGTTCCGTTAACCCAGTAGTAAGTACGGTTGGATTGAGACAGATCGTACCAAGAATTTCTTTCCCTTTGGCCGTTTCTGGTGGTCCTTTAACGATAATTTCGTCACCTACCGTAATTTTGTTCTTAAAATTATTTGAAACATCCCCAGTTTCGGCCTCAGTCTTGCTTATTTCTGCAGTTTCGTCGCTTTGAACAAAATGAATATTGTCCTTCGTATCGAAATTCGTCTCAAAGAAACTTTTCGCCATAAAAAACCTTTCATGGTGATCTTTACAGTCGGTTGAAGTAATATTCACCCCTTTTTCTTCCAGATTTTCTTCACTTGAACTTGAGACATATGATAGGCCATCGTGGTCCTTTGAAAGACAAAATCTCGACAGAAGGCTTCTTTGATCTTGACCCTGATCTTCACCTATTTCTTCTTCAAATTTTCTCTCGATGGCATTACATATTTCCTCCTCACTTTCTTTGATATTGTTAATTTCATCAGTCAGTGTTTCTTCGCTCTCTGTACGGCTTAAAACACACGCTTCTGGACGCAGCCACACTGTAACAGCACTGGTAAAGCTTTCTTCCGCATCAAAGAATTCCTCACTTTCCGACAAAGCGGCATGAAAAGAATATTTATTCACTTCTTCAGTTTTTATTGATTCATAGCCACTTGACTGTGTTTTCACAACGTCAAGCAGCTTCTGCTTGCTTTGCTTTGATTTATGAATCATTCTAGACGACGCACTTTTGTCCAGGCCTCCGTAAAAAGATTGTTTGCCGGCACTCTCTTTCTCGTAGCGCTTTCTCTCTCCTAGAGACAGACATCTAAGATCGGTATCATCTATGTCTTCCTGCCGAATATAGCGAACCTGGACTTCTTCGACTTCCTCATCACTGTCAACAGAGAATTGCTTCAAATCGTGCAGAACTCCCGTTTGATTTGCAGTAATTCTACAAAAGCTACTTATCTCATGACCTTCTTTTGAGACTGAGGCACTTGTGGGTGTGCTATCAACTTGGATGTGTTCTAAATCCTGAACGCTAACAAAACCACCTTTAATCATAACGAGCTTAAAGGCATCACTGAGCCTATCTAAGGCATCAATTCTCTCCTGTAACGAATCAATAATGCGTACTTCAGCTTGTCGAACGTCCTTAGAAATGGCATCTATGTCCATTTTTAAAGGAATGCTCTCTTGAGTTACATCAGCTGCACTGTTGTTATTGTATTCCCTCCCCAGGTAGGTTCGTCCATTAACCAACGCGGCTCTTGCAGCCTTCAGTTCAGAAAGCTCCTCGTGAAATTCGTGGCCTAACTTTGTCAACCAGCGAAGCTTCTGAGCAAGGTTTTCATTCTCGTTCTTGACTTCTTTTGCATCTTTTCTGACAATACTATCTCGAATGGATGCTACTCCAGATTTTGCAGCTTGCGCCTTTACCAGGAAAAAGTCAGATTTCAGCACAGAACGAATATGCCACAAGGAATTTATCTCTTTGAGAGTATTGGTTTGCTGCAAAAGAAAATAATACTTTGACATAAGGTCAGCAAGAGCAAGCTCAAGCTGTCCCATTTCTTTGGTAACGATTTCAGCTTTAAGTACTCTTTCTTTCTCGTGACTTTCTGATCCGAAGCCTTTTTTGAATGCAGTAGTATTGTCATGCTTTACAATTAAGTATTTCATTTCATTTCGAAGAAGTTTCGCGTCTTTCTTCAGCAACATCAGATCGCCTCTAAGATGTGATCGTTGACTAAACATCTTCAGTACTAGCTTGTCGTATTTATTACCGATGCTTCGCAAATCTTCTGCGATATCGCTTCTTGAAACTTCATAATTCATTTCTTCGTAACCACTTTCGACATTCTGCATCCGCTCCGTTGTAATTGTGAAGTCAGAACGGGACCGCCTTGCAAGCAAACTGCTCGTGTTACGTTTGATGCGTCGTAAAGACATGTTCAAGGAACAATATGTAGCTGAAAGTTTACAATTATATGTTGTCAAAGACCGGTGAACTCTTCATTGCTTACTCTAAAGTGACTCGAAAGTTTTTCAGAACAGCAAAAAACGTTTGTTCTTAAACTGTGACGCTTGATGAATTGATTGATTTTGGTGCATGCCAGTTTTTATTGCAATGCGTCACACAAGTTGATGCCTCGCAGTGACAAGACCTTAAGGCCTGTTGCTAAGTCTCACTCAAGCTTTGCAAGAAGGTAATGCAATTTCAGCAAGCATATATGAACAGTTTATAGTTTAAAAATTTCTCTTGATTCACTTATTTCCCCTGATTCTAGTATATTAGAGTTGTGCAATTCCGGCTGCTGTCGTGTTTATACCATGTCCGAAGAGTACATTGTACAAATGTAATTGTAATGTCTTTATACTTTAATGTCTATATACGATCTCGAACAATGCCCAGTGCAATTGTTTTTATGTTTCTATGCAAAGAAAATCGGCAAATTGCTGGTGTCTCAGTTAGTAGAGCGGCTACATGAAATCACTTTTCTCCAGGAGAACAACACCAACACTGGGGCTTTGTTCTGTCTCACACTCAGACTCTACAAACAGGTGACAGCGTGGCATCGGCTTTAGGTTGAAGTGACTAATTGATTCTACCAAAGGTCCAAAAATGTCAGCTTTGGATTTGAAATCTTCTGCGGGCACATTGGTATCTGTAAGAAAAAGATTTAAGATTAAACACCATAATCTCAAGTAGATCGAAGCTTGATTATAGAACAGTAACTATTTGCCACTAATCCATAAAAGAAAACCAATAACACGAAATCTAGGGAAAGAGGAAATGAGAGGGAAATGTTTTCTGCGGGCTTCCACAAGTGGAGCATGATAAAAGCAATGTCTAGAACAGAGGCAAGAATCAAACTCTAGACTTGAGTACTTCTGCTTGTGTGGTCATTCTAAAAAACCTTCTTAGTTCTTTATTCGGACAAGTGACTGTGTCTTACTTCTGCTGTGGTGTGGAGCTCATAGCCCTGTAACCTGAGCTTCTAGAAACTAACAAAGAAACAAACAGAAAAGGGTCCTCTTGAAACAGGGTCAGTATACGAATATCCTTTTTTGCTTTCCAACTTTTGGTTTAAAAGCGTGCTCTCTGCTGAAAGCTAACTGATACGGTGACAAGAGGACAATAACCTTGGCATGATAATACAATCAGATTTAGACAATTTGTGCTGACTAAAAGGAGATTGAAAAACTTGAGTCGTGCTGACTAAGTCCGTTCCAGGCAGGCCGTATAGAATCAAAATGTACAAAAATAAGTAAACAGTAAATATAAATTTCTGAAACTCGGATTGGATCTTTGTTAACATTTAGGTGCGTTACAGGGTATAATTACACTAATGTGTAAAGATTCCGGGTAGAGAGACGAAAAAAAATTGTGCATTAAACGATCTTCATTTTTTGGAAACAGGATTAGGAAGGACATATGTAAAAAGTTATGTATTAATACTGTTGGCAGCTAAGATTGAGCTCGATATTCGCAAAACTTTGCAAAGAAATTTCGCATGAGATACAACTATTGAATATCTACATATATCTATACTTAAGATGAATCCTTGTTGAATCAATCCCAGATATGCATTTGATTACTAAAATCACCAACTCTGGTATTTATCTCTGAATAACACTTAACACAACCAAAAATAGCAAAGGCAAAATATATCGAAGTATGATGGAAACAGTTGTATTCTCAAAAATCACTTGATGACCAAAATTCTTGACGAGGACGAAATTTTGCCTAGGATTTATCCTAGGATCTTTATGAACGAACAAATCATTTACATTTATTTACTGCATAAGAACATTTCTTTTCCATTTTCATTGCATGGCATTTGAGCTTCACATTGTAAAAAGAAGTTGCTATAGACAACAGGAAACAATGCGACGAATTCCCTGAGATGGTACATACTAGTGGTTTGATAGTTTGAAAGAAACAACCTTTGAGTACATATGGCAACTTTTTATAAAAAACAAAGAGCAATATAATTCATTTCGTACAGCTACTACCTCATCAGGAGCTCCAACTTGCTTAACGGTTATGTCTGCTTTCCAAAATGATGAATCTTTCATTTGCTTAAAACTGTATCTCCGGTGTTTCATTAATATCGTGTTTCCTTGACCTATGAAGTCAGCTGGTGGCAAAAAATTAGCATCCATGAGAAATCGGGGGGAATGATGTATATCACTAAATCAATCGCATATTTAATTAGGATTGGCCTATGGTTGTGGATGGAAAAGCTTTAATATAAATCGTGCTCGTGACAAGCAGGGACATGTCTGATGTCAAGTGAATGTCCCCCAATCGTTTGCTTGAATTTTCAGCACGTGATTACAACAGTAATCTTCTCAACAATACACCTCAATGAAATGAGACACATTAAAGTCAATACACTACTATCAAAAATAGCAATGGCCTAACTTCTTCAGTATAAAAAGGGCTTTATGTAAGATGCCTTACCGCAGAGCAACCAGAAAAACTCAAAGCTTACTTTTAGTGATTTTTCTGCACAAAGAATAAAGCTTCCTCAGTAGATAATAAAGCATCATTAGTGACCCATACTGATAAAAAATCATTCGTTTCTCTGCGATCACTTTATCTAGCCACTTGATTTCTAATTCTCTCGTTTTAAACAAAATTCAATATAATTAACGTTATCGCTTTACACTTTCTGTCGCAACTGTGTTCCCACGGTTGTCAGATTATGATAAGGACAATTTTTGTCTCATTTATTTGCTCATGATACTGTAACTTCATTACAGCATAGACGCTTTTTAATGTGCATAATACCCTAGAATGAAACTGATGCAAAGCAGCTATATCTTCATTGAGTATACGTGTAGATGAAGACAAGCACCCTCTATCACATCATGGCCTTCGACATATTTGGGCCTTCGATAACCTTGAAGTCCTGTAGGCTTGTTAATTGGGGAAGGGTGGGGTTCTGCTGCACTCCAATAAACATTATATTGTCAGTTTCTATGCCAAGATAAATCATTGTGCCTAGCTTCTCTTAACAAAATATACATGCTTTGCCCCCTGTACCTGTAACTATTTTTGATTACAGCCATTAGTTCCAATCCCCCGTCAGCTGCATGAATCGCAATTCATCATTTCTCCTAACAACTGACTGCTATTTGTTGGCGCAAACAGCGACCACAACTGATGGAGTTCGTACTTTAATGCATGTATTGGCGGCAGCAAGCAACAAAGCTCAATGCTGAATGAAACCTGCCATATTGTAATGCCTAAAGTGGTGGGCAAATTAACTATTCAGGAAGAAACTCATCAGGATCACGTTTGCACACCGATTTGCACTTCCTGAATGCTTCTCAATTAGGTTGTGCCCATCTTATCAGTCGCCATAAGTTTTTATCGTTCAAGTGATACCGAAGTCATACCGCGAATCTGTTTTTAAAAAGTGATCTTACAAAAGTTTTTTTGGGTGTTGATACTCACATATACTTCTTCTAAATATCTAGCCCCTAAGGCAGCCCAAGTTGTTTAGCAGACAAAGTTCAAAATCAAAAAAGAATAGAAGTTTCATTGAAAAGACGTAAAGCTTCTTTGAGAAGTGAAACTGGTTTGCCGCAATTTTTTCAAACTCTCAAAGAAATTTTTACCTTATCACCATCGAAGACATAACGTAGCGTAACAGTGGCGTAGCTTGACCGTCGAAGACATAGATGAAGAAAAACTTAGGTGCTATTTCATCTACTGTTAGATAATTTTACTAACAAATTAAAGACTTTATGGACCAACTGAAATTTAACCGACCAACTCTTGAAGAATTGGGGGGGGGGTGGGGTCACAACCCCTACACCCCCTAGCTACACCAACGGTCTTCAAGAGAATACGAGCCAAAAAGAGCTTCAAAAGAAACGCATTTCTATTCAGCAAAGCGAAAAGCTCAAAATATCAAAATCTTTTCTGTACACAAATAATACCTTCTAAACTGTCTTAAAGGTTTTTTTTCGTCTAGGTATCTTTGTTTGTGTAACAAATTTTGTATGATGATGAGAGTATTCCACTGACATACTGACATGGCCTTAAAAACGATGCCATTGGCCTTAAAAACGATGGCCTTATACCTCTCAATGCCTTGAGATGCCATATTACTTTGCACCTAAATTTCTATTTTTGTACTTGTTTGTTGTTTATTTCGCAGGTATAAACTCAAGCTAACACAAAGATGCCGAACCATCATGAGTCCACCTCAGATCCAGGATACCGCTGCATAATTTAAAGAGGAGTGGTGTGACAAGACGAGAGTTTATTCTGCGGTTTTGGTTTCAAGAGTAACCCTGTATTAAGGAAGCTGACCAGAATCCTATTTACAACATCCCATAGAAAATTAGCTTCTACCTAATGCTGAGATTTGGTCATTGCATTCTGGTATTTTTGAAAATATTCATTTAGAGTGGAGAATGGATTTGATTGCAAACGATTATGTAAACAAAAAACTTCGAAGTAAAATCAGCGAGAGGCGCTTGCAAAGCAATGAGTTTTCGTACAACAAATTCAATTCAATTTCAGACTAGAAACCAATTATCATCTTTGTTACTCCCAAACTTATAGCTTTCCTTCCTATTCATCTATGTCAGTGAAACAGGAAAAGGTGCCCTACGGTTGAAAGAATTATATCTGCGTCAGTTCTAAAAGAAGGATTTTAAAGCAATTTCTTAAGGTTAAGGGTGATTAGTGCTATGGTTTGTTAATTTTCGTCATCTAAGGGCTCGACTACTTATAGACGATGAGACACGTGATGGATTAATGAAAGTTTCCTCTTTATAAGGACATGAAAGGTCTGAGTCTCAATAAGGGTGCAAATAGGTCCCTCTGTAACTGCAGATCCAGGGAACCGGCATTCTGTCCCTTATTCCAGGGGTTAGTAGTGTGGGTTTAGGCAGCAAAGCAATATTTGCAAACGTTCTTAAATTAAAGGATAGGGATGCTTCAGTAGTAAAAATTCCCCTTTCCTGTAACAAAAGAAGGTATACTTCCACTCGACCCCTCAGTTCAATCAAGGAACAAATTCAATTTGTTGAAAATTTTCAAAGAAAATAAACATTCAAAGACATTTGAAAATGCAACTCAAAAACTTACTTTAATCGACACATAACACCAGGCATGCTCCAGAACTTAGATCAATTTTCAACCAAAGTTGAGATAGCAATGGGTAGCTTGTATATAGCTGCTTGCTAAAACTTTCCAAGTAACCCAATAGACTAAAATTTTTCAACGCCCTGTGGTAAATTTTCGAGATTAAAAAGTCATTTTTGCTGCAATGTTCATCATGTCTGACCAGTTTATTGCGGGTTTATTGCACTACTGGGCCTATTCAAACTGACGAATCTATACAAAGAGCCCCAAACTCACAATTAAGGGCACTTTTAGAAAATTAACGCAGTTATTTCAAAAGCAAAGGAATTTTCATTTCCCAGAATTCCTTACAAAGTCTCGCACAGGAATAGAGGAACTAGAAGAACGATATTTTTCATTCAGGCTCCAGCAAAAATCGGATTTGGCTGAAGATATTCTTATCAATGTTAAACCCGCCAGATTAGACATACTCAAAGCATGTGGTGGGACCTAGCACCACTTCTGCGGTTTCAGTAAGAAAAAAGAAGTCAACGATTGAAGGATTTTGTATGTATTTAAAGGCAAGAACAATTATCGATTGTAAAGGTAGTGAGTTACAACGAAAGTAAAGCAGATTACTCTCAGCGTTTTTTTAGGTCAATTTTAGTTTTTCCCAATATATTACAGCCTGATGAGCAATTTCACATAAGAAGGTCTCTCTTTCGGGCTCTCGGGTAATCGGCCAGTGAAATTAATAGCGATTATACAATGGAGAAAATTTTGCCACATCATTTACATATTTGTCAACCCAGAGACAACGAAACAACCTGAAGAATCAACATTTTCCATTGAATTGCAAGTCTCCAACATTTAACAAGCATCAGCAAACATTCACTGCCCAAATTTAACCTGGATTTCATACCTCCACATAACAACCTTTATAGACGGTTCGCACGCAAACAGCGACGTGAAAATACGACGTAACTTTTCAGGTTTGAAAGATTTCCGGCCTAGCATCGGTCGTTAGTGATGCTCAACAGACACATAGCAATAAACATTTAATACATATAGCTTTTTAATATAACTTACAAATGACTAGCAATTATAAACAGTCATATGCTGCAGAATATCATTACACTTAACTACAAATATGAATAAATCCCAACGAAAAACTAATATGTTACGACACATATATACATCTTTATATTTCTGGAAAAATTTTGCTAACCCAAGCAAAACTTCCCTTAAACAAAGGCTAGAAAAACAAATACAATACTTGGAAGCTTTTAAGAGTAACCCTTTCCTGGGAAAACTATTGAGACATACACTAGACAGAACTTCCTCATGAAGTGTGCAAACCCCTGTTAAACCCTTTTATTGACAGTCGAATGTTGAAATGATAACATGACCCATTAAATAACTACAGCCAAAGAAAGACAAGCAATAAATCTTCAAAGACTAGAATGGCATTAAAATATTTTTCTGACACAAATTCTCTTCTGCACCAGAAAGAACTACGCCCAATTTCCTAAAAAATTAACCCCCATAATTGAATTATTGATGAACAACCATTTGCAAAATATACTCAGTTGAGAACTGTTTGTCCAACGCCTATGAATATTACGAACCAGTGCTTTTTTACTTACATTGATATAGATTAATGAACAGTCAAGGCCCCAGTAATTAACCTTGTTTTACCTCTTTGCGCAGGCAGTGCTTGAATCCTGCCCATTTGACAGGACTGGGGAATTTCTGAAAAATTGAAAACAAAAATATAATTAAAGCAGCCAGCAGATCAATAATTAGGTTAAATAAAGCAAGAAATGTGTCACATTCAACATTTTCACTGTAACGAAGAATAATTTAGTTTAATGATTAAATGATTAAATTAATAATTAACTAAATTTCACCATCATTAATAGTCATTACAAATACAGCAGATATATCATGACTTATAACGAGCAGAAAGTGACAAAATATAACAGACAGATAGAATTCATAAGCTCCAAACATTAATCCATCAAAGTAGACCAAAATATCAATTACAACTGTTTTTTTCACATTGTATGATTAAACAAAATCATTAACTCTTGATCTGCGTAAAGTATCAATTGCTTTTAAAAAATCCAGCTCAAATTCGTTTTCGATTGTGCAGAATATCATCAGTCGGAATTGATCCTGACCTTAAAAATTTGCATTTCAAACAAACTGTTGACTTCAAAAAGTAATGGTAGAGCTGATGAGAATAACGAGATCGAGAAATTTCTTACAAAAATCCATAAAATATCTTGGCTAAATTGAAATAAATCAGCCATCACTTTGCTACAGTTCAGAGTTTGCCAAGACAAACAGATCTATCTTGCTACAAAATATAGGTAAGTTAATAATTGTCGTAACGCTAAACATTGCTTGATCTCCATATCAAGATGAAAATGCAGAGTGCCTACCCCAAAACCCCTCTTGAGCCTGTCTTTCATAATACCAACAAATTCCACATCGCTTAGCTTTCCATCACCTAGAAAATTCAATATTCTACATTAATTTAAAAAAGCTTTCCTTAGACCTGAAAATTTGATGGATTTGTCTTTTAGGCCCGGAGGTCTATATAAAACCGCCGAACAAGAGAAAAGTAGAAAAAGCCAATAATCGGGAGGTGATATCAAGTTTGATATCAATTCATCAGCACATTAAGAAGACGATTTCAACAGAAAATATCAAATTTCCTTTATTTGTGAGGAAATGAGACACCTAACACTTGTTGATATAATCAGAGTATGTGAAAATTACAGGCTGAAAAACTTTCCAGTTCTTATCTGAGATTTTGGAATTAATGGATAATAATGTACAGTGTTTTTGGAATCAAGTTTGAAACAGCCAGGAGTTAAAACTGACACTAACAAACTGCCAGGTGATATTAACGTTCGTGAAAATAAATAATTAATGTTCGTGGCTTCCAAGATTCATAAGAAGGAAGGGAGCAGAACCAGAAAAAAGCTTCTCGTCAAAATAATAACAGCTTTTGTCATCTTAAATTCGCTTGGTGACACCAAATACCAGGAATTGTGCATTAAAAAACCCAGGAAGCAGTCATTTCATCAGGGGAGGGGGGGGGGGTTAGAAAGGTGCCTAAGCTGATTGGAATCGAATTTAAAAATACACACAATGAAGCTTTTGCGTATACTTCAAAATGTTTCCCTTCTCCAGGTGGATTTGAATGGGCTTAAAGAATATGCCCAACACCACAAACATTTGACCTTGGGAATCATAACTCAATTTTGGCTCCAAAGATTAGAGATTAATGAAGACACTACTAGCACCAAGAAAGTGAAAGATACACACATCCGTGAAACAGGAACATAACGAAGAGCGAAAAAAAATCTTAGGGAAAGAGCGCTCCATTGTTGCTTAATTGGTACACCCCTTCTCTCTTCACTTCAGATCCGCTTAGGCCATAAAGAAAAAAGATAAAAATGTACCGTCGATGTCGAAAAGCTGGAAGACAACATTGATGACGTAAGGATTGATATCTTCACCAGTGGAGACTTTGATGGCACGGATGAAAACATCTGCGAAGAAAACAAATAGATTAAAAGGCTTCAATAGAATTTTGAATAGTCTTAAATAGTTCAATAAATAGTTTTTGGCAGTAAGACGTATCGAGCTTGTTAAATCAAGGCCGCCTTTGCTTATGAAGATTCTCATTCTCAGAACAGTCTCAAGACAGCTAAGCATATCAGGACATCAAAATTTTTAATGGTCAGTTCAATGGTACTTTCTTTCTGCAAACAGCAATATTAATATAACCTAAACAGGAACGGGGTTTACCGAAAGAACTTTGATTGCAACGTGTTTTGAGATGTACATGATAGTACTGGTTTATAAAACAGGAACAAGAATTCAAATTATGGCGTCCTTCATGAATTTTCCAATTAACATTGATAGTGTTCTACCAAAAGTAGTAAGCTTATAGTTACCCTGTCCAATTGGTTCATGCATCATGTTAAACATTCTCATTGCGACCACAAAATCGTCAACGTTATTCAAGAATCTATTAAACGCTTTGAATTCCCCCAAAGTCACTCCCTAAAATAAACAAACACAACACTACACATCAGAAGCTTGTTCCTGATCGAAGACCATTTGAAAATATCAGCTCCTTCGGCTTAGGATTTTATCTAAAAAGCAACCACCCTGTCATAATTTCTCGCAAAATGTTTGTCCCGTACATCGGGGGGATATTCTGATAAAATATTATAGATGCCCTTTAACGTATAAACATGACAGCTCAAAGTTGGAACACTAAGTTTCACGCAAAGACATTCGTGTATATGACAAACCAGTAAACAGTATTTTCATCATAAGTAAAAATAAATTAAAGTAACTTCTCCATCTATTTTGCTTTAGCGGAAGAAAACCAGAATACCTATGCAATTCTATTTGCCGAGTGATGTTTTATCAGCTTAATCGAAATAATGTTACAAGTATATGACAAACCAGGATCTAAGCAACATCAATGTAACTTAGTGTAGTAAAATAGTAAAATGTTTGATAAGTGCAACGATCTTTCCGCTAAACAAAAGCCAACAAATTTGCCCTTTTGTCAGATTCAGTATAGTATTTCTGCAGATCATGAGAACTATTAAAGAATTCTAAACAGTTATTTTAAGCAATCAAGTAGCTATCTCGATGAATCTTAGCCCGACATTGACGGTAAGAGTATCCTAATAAGAGCGCCAAAGATAAGAAAACAAGGTCAAATGATCAACATATTAATTCAGTGTTTTGAGCGACTTACCTTTGGTTCTGGAATCCTCTTGTGCAGCCTATTCAAGTAATCCTCGTGCTCATCAGCTGATAAAACGGTATTGCGAAGTAGTATACGAGCAAAATCAAGCTCTGATATCGTCTTCATGCTCTTTGAAAATTCATGAAACTGACACATGGTTAAGGACTAAAGCTTCACAATAGATAAACGTGATTTCAATATGAGAACACGGTTAGGGTGAACAACTCTTAAGAAAACAAGCCCGAATTTTGGCCGCAAATTCTATTACCCTTAAGAAAGCAAAGTCGAAAGGAGGTCATAGAGATGTGGAGGAAGTAGAGGAATGGAGGACTAACAGAAATAAACGAAGATAAAGCGATATTTTTCTCAGATATTGCGTTGACAGCCTATGAGACTTGTTTGTGTTATCAAAGAGACTTCTGAGAGCATACAAAGACATAAACGTGGCGCTTTGGCAGGATAAAACAACAAAGGGGAAATTAGTATTTCTCTATTTGCAACTGACAAAATGCAGTACACATAAAAGCAACTGATTATCTAAAATTGCATATGTTACCAAAATCGAAAAGGCTATGTCAGACTTTCCGCAACATGACAAAAAGGATACCTCAAGTTCTAGAACCTCTGACTGCAAGTCATCCATAAATCTACAGAAAATATTTTACCTTAATAATAGTTTTAATGGAGATAAAGCCAATATGTTGTTAACGCGGAGCACCCACGGGGTGACATTTATTTTGAAAAGGAAGTCCTTGACACTAACAAATTATGAATCCACTAACATATATAAACGTAGTTTTAATGCATTATAGTAGTGGATTCATTATTGAACGTATTTTAATAATGGATCCACTAACATATAAATTTTTAACCACCAAGACATTTCTGTGATTGACACACTGTCGAAGGGGATTTCATCTCAAAAGTTTAGCACCAAAAATGCTATTTGCGAGAGCAACAAATTTCGGCTGGAAAAACAGACAGAGTTTCAAATACTACATAACCTTTATATATGGCTCTTATTCTTTTTAAAAATACCCACACAAAAATGACACTTAAAGGAAAGTATTTTGAGACAATGGCGAAATGTTTTGCATGTTTAAAATGACAATAAAGAAACCTAGTCTATGTTTACATAGTGCTATTAATAATGCATTCTTCAATACGATTGTCTTGAAAATAGCAAGGTAGATGAAATTGTTTAGTAAAGGTATAATTCGGTATTTGATACATACTTGAAAAATTGCTCAAAAGTAAGCTCTCGCTTGCCATCGTGGCCAAATAGATGGGTGAGCAGCGTCGTGTAATCCAATGAGTTTTGACCATTTCGAGTTTCCTTGTGAAAAGTAGGGAAATCATTAGGTAACAAAAGCCAAAAGGGTGAAATGAATGATACATTTTATATCGCATCACTGTAATAATTCTTTACTTCGAAGGTTTAGATGCCATACACCAATATTAACTCTTATATATTATAGGAAATTGTTTATTAGTTGTTTGATAATAATAACGTCTCTCTGGCTGAATACTATTGATACTAGATGAGTGAAAACCCAGAGCGGTAAGTTTGTGTATGATAACCATGTTCTACAAATCTATACATCTGATGTCATACAAAAATAAACAGTCTAGGAGCTGTTCCATAGTAATAATGCTGTCTGTTATCCTAATTTAAGCTGCCATGCTGACTTATGAAACTAGAAGCTCAAAATGCCTTGATGTTGTGCAAAAGGTAATTTTCCTAATATATTTAGATTATATAAACAAACTTTTAATCCAAATGGAGTGCAAATAGGTACATTCAATATAACGTATAAAGCAAATTTGGTTTATGCTTCCCCTGAAAAAATATGTTACCTTTGATAATGGCAATTTAATGGCATTCAACAGTGGAAGAAAATTCTCAAAGGTTTTAAAAATCCAATGAGGAAAAACTTGCCTTGAGATACCCATACAAATGATCAGCATTACAAATATTTATTTTAACAGGATGAATACTAACGATCTGACTGGAAGCTCCTAGTCAAAGAAAACTTACTCGAGTAGATGACTTGTTTATCATTTGTTGAATCTGGAATAAATTATCAATACTTTAGAAGGTACTTTGAGCGTGGTGTCAAACAACTTTTAAAGGTAATTGTAAATAGTGAGAGTTCAAGATTACTTAATGATAGTATAAATATCCCCCTGTTGATCACATTATATGTGAAACTAAACATTATGCCCTCCACCTTGAATGCAAAAAGCTTGTGAATCATATTTATGTCTAAGTGTTGACTTCAAAAACATTGTGCAGAAGAATGGTTGTGTGATGAGCAAACATTTTGCAAAATTAGTGGTCTGCAGTATCCCAATTTTGATCAGCAAAACTGTTCAGTCAAAACATAATGCCACTTGTCACAGTCCTTTTCGTGAGCAAAATTACGCGTGTGTGGCAAATCGCACATGTAAACAAATTTGCGCGTGCGATCGCACTTGTAAGAAAATTTGAAGTACAAACCTGATAAAATTGGTAAAAAGAAAAAGCCACTCGAATACGTGCAAGAGCAAAACTCAATTAATCAATACATAACAGATTTTGTTGCCCTTAGCAGCCATCTTTTAAAAGTCGTCGTAACTCTCCAAAGTTACAAGAGCAAGTAAAAATTGTTTCCAACAGCTACTTGCTTTCAGGGCCTAATTACGTTTTGACAGGAAATCAGTTATTACACTTAACATGCTAATGGCGACTTAGCTGAAAGACGAGACGCTAAGTTGAATGGAGCACTCAGTCAAAAGCCAAACATCACTTCCGAAAATTGGAAAAATCATATTGTGGTCAAAAGTGCGAATCAAGTAACAAGGGAAAGGATAAACAATCATGAGACCATGGGAAATTGATGTTAAAGGGCCTCTCCAGCAAAAAAAAAATTTTTTTAATGACTTAAAAGTTAGCATCTGGTGCGTGTATTATGACAAAGTCATTGTTTTTGAAAAATTCCAATTAGTTTAGAGGTTGTAAGGCTTTAAAGTTGCACCTTTCCGAGAAAAAAAACGACAAAAGCCGAATCAGTTTGGTGACATTCTGACGTCACAATGTGCGGCTCTCGTTCGCCATGAATTTCGTATATCTTCCACCGAAGCTTGAAGGAGTCATGGTCACGCGTTGATAACTGCATCCAGCTCCAGTTCCTGTTCCAGCTCTTCCCTCGCGTATAATTAATCGAAATTGTCACTTCAGTTGTTCTCCAGAAACGATGAACAACTAAAGGCTTCAGAATTGGTGTCTGAAATGCTCAAACTAAAAGCTGGCGGAACAGAACTGAAAGTACCATCACTTGCAGTGTTCAATTTGCGAATCGCCGTCGTTCGATTCGGTTTGAGGCGAGACTATCCGAAATACACTGTGACGTCAAAATTGCGTCACAGTGTCACCAAACCAAAAATTTTTGTCGGTTAATTCAATTAAATTATCGAAATGCAAGAGCTTATATCTCACAAACTGTAAAAAAATATCGAAAAACAAATAACGAATTCGTGATCAGCAGGCTCAACTTCTTTATAAAAATTGCCAATAAAATGCAAGTGCAAAATTTGGCTGGAGAGGCCCTTTAACAGAAATCTGCAAAAACACCTGTTTGCGCGTGTGGTCAAAAGCACGCGCAATTTAACTTGCGCGTGTGCAGGCGTGTGCGGGTGCGATCGCACGCGCTAAACGAAAAGGACTGTTGTCACTTCCTGCCTTGGCCTATCTGTTGCAGCTAATCAAGATTTTACATTGAATAATTAAGATGTTAATTGTAGCAAGACATTGAATTGAGTCAGCCAAATAAAATCTAAGGAATTGTCTTCATACCCCTTGGAACTCTTCTTTGTTGATATGATGGTTTCCATCAACATCAATCATCTTGAATGCTATCTTCAAGCCAGTTCTGGATTCTAAGAAAAAAAAGCAAATAAAAATATTTCAAAAATTGAAACAAAACTTGTATTCTACAATCAGCTGTTGATAGAACATAACATAATAAAACCCTTTAATCATAGATGATGTGATTATTCTCTATATTTTCATAAAGCTGGATTGACAATATCGATAATGGTTTACCAGGAGCATGAAAGAGAGTGTAGTCATTTTGTTCATTTATATTTAATGATTGACATGGGCAAGCTAGACAGAGCAATAGCACAGTTAAAGAGGTGATTATAAAAACAAGGAGACACACAAGGAAGTGGAAGTGTATTTTTGTAATAATTCATTTATGTAAAGCAGTTACTAATTAAGAATAAATGTTAAAAAAACACTTCCCTTCACCATAACATTAATTTTTGGTAATGCTAACTATATAAATTTTGCGAAATAAAATTCACTGTAAACTGAAGGGCAATATCTAGTTTAAAACGCTATGTGAGTAGCGAGTTTTTCAAATGAAAGTATGAAATCAACAGATTCTTCATACAGACATGATTGCTGCCAATAAAATCTTAAAAAGTCTATCAGGCAAAATACAATAAATAAAATGCAACAGTGTATCCTAGCAGAGCCAGAATCCATCAGGTGATGTGTCAAAAACCATAGAGCTGTTGAGTTGCTATAATAGGACAAGTTTCAACTTTATTAGTGAAAACTCATTTTTTTAAAATGGCTGCTCACTGATTTATAATGCCAAGAGTTTTCCAGTACATCTACAAAGAAATGTATCATGTCTACTTACTTGTTAAAATAGTGACCAGAAACAGGTACTCAGAGTATGTTATTACTCCTAAAGTAAAATGACAATTTCTCATCAAGTTTTCCCAAACAAACATAAAAATCAAGGAATGAAAAACAAAAGCGATGTCAAAGCTTTGCATTGCAGGAAGAAACGGAATATTTACTTGACATGAAAATTAGGCAGATATTTTTCTACTTGGCTAATTATTTATATTCACAACAATAATAAATCTGTATTTGCGCTAGTTACATCACACAGCTGTTTGATTTATTATTGTGTTTACATTGAACATTACCATTTTGGTGGAGATCTCTGAAGAAAGTGTGTGAGCCACTGTTTATACCAGGGGTCTTCTGCTTTATCTTTTCAAGATCCTATTCCAAAAAGATTAGATAAGCTGTAGAAAAGGGAGTGTTTAATAAAAAATTTCATTAATTTATTTCTTTGTAATTACCAATGGTAATAAAAAGAAATTTTTTTATAGAAACATAAAGAAGCATTGTTGAGAACCTTTTACAGAATTTTCAGAGTAAGCAGGTGTTTTATTCAAACATACCTCATCCTTCAGGTTTACTTTGCTTGTTCTTGAAACTAAATACAAAAACCATGTTTAGTGTGGATATAGCAAAAAATATTACGATTGTGAAAATGTGTGAACAAAACAAATTTTAATTTTGCTAAAAAGCATCAGGCTTTTCTGTCTATGCAGCTTATTGTCATCACTCATAGAACCAGGTGAGGGAGCTACCAATTTTTCAATGTGTCAAGGGCAAAATACAAAACTAATAAGTTAATTAGTACCACCAAAGGTGCTTTTTGGAGATAATATGTTACTAGAAACCCAGCTGTCTCCTCTTTGATAATGGATGGGGAGGGAAAGGGTTTTGGCTTTTTTTAAAAATTTTGAAGAAATAGAGGGAAACACGAGATTTGCTTGTACAGAAATGTATCCATTAAAAGGACATGTGCTTATAGATGGAAATTCGTGATTTTGCCATTTTCAGGATACAAGAAAACGATTCAGATACAGGCTAATATGCCTCTAAATAAAAGAAAGTTTTGACAATAAAATTCCATGAGAAATGTTTTAACAACAGAAACTGGATATTATAACAGTTATTCAATGTCAATTTCCACAGGATCCGAATCATTTTCAATGATCATTTATTCTTCATTAAGCTGTCTTTTGTCAAGGTTGTCTTGTCATCATGTCAGTTTATACTTAAAGCAGGCCTTGCTCTAAGCAAAATGAAGGTGCTCCATAAAAAAAGCCCCTTAGAATCTCTAGGCACTCTATTTCGCACCTCTAAAAAAATGTCCTTGAAAACATCCTTCGAGAGCTTCAATGGTCATACCAAAAAGCACCATAATATGTAATAACAAAACATGCAACAAACACTATATTGATTTAGATATAGAAAAATAATGAAACAAAGTTTCAAAATTGTTAAGATTTTTCTAGATATCATATAAGATATCATATCAAAATTATTAAGATTATATATCATATATATGTAAGCAGTGGCGTCGCTTGACCTTCCAGACTAGGGGGTGGAGGGTCATCAATAGAAAAATCTACCGACGAAGCTCCGTGGTGATATTGTTTTTATCTTTTGAGGGGCTCAAAAAATTGCTCTCCAAGGCTCTTTTTAGATGCGCTCTAGGCGTGCGTGCTCAATCGAGCGCCTTTCCAGGCAAGGCCTGTTAAAGGACAATTTAAAGAAGTTGATAATGCAAGTAAAGTAATGGAGGAAGCATGTAAACCGTCTCAAAGAAAAAATAGATAGCAATATGGTTTGTTGGCTTTTTTATCTTTCTCGCAAAAAAAGATTAGGATCCACTTATAAGCACACTGCACCTACATCCAAATATAAGCAGATGCAACTTTAAAAGAGATGTGCCTATAACCGGGTAAAAGGGTAAGACAACTTCATGTTCATCCAGGCTACAATCCATGTGGTGGTTCCTGAAGAACTTCAGAATGAAGTTATGTTTTACAGCTTGGCATTGGTGAGAGATCAGCACCTTCTGGCAAATGACATACATTGAAATTTAGGTGAAATGGTGCAGCTGCCTGGCGGGAAGTTTGTTCTGAAACTTTTTGATCAATATTTAAACTGATTCTACATCATGGGCTGTGAACAATAATTGTTATTAAATAATTATAGTCTTATTGTGAAAATATTGTGAAAATTCTAAGGCACAAGACTCCAAAATAATATTATGCCTATCATCTTTTATAACTTGCCTGAGAATTATGATAGGAAGTCTGGTTGAAGTAATGTTTTTTTTGTCTTTTATTCAATTGAACTTTGGCATACACCTGGCCTGACTTCAGCGTACCCTTGGTGATGATGTTTACATGGAATGCACCCTGGATGCTCGTATCAAAAATATGTTTTTGGTAACTTTTGATTTTTCTCAACTCCGTTGAATTCTGGTTTCTTTCCCAAAATGAGTTCTTTTCCACAATAGCTACCTCTGCACACAACATAAACGCATCTTTTTCTGCAATTTGCTCTTGACCAGTACAAAAATTGCCTACTTTGTTTGATGAAATTATTGCAAAAGCAGTTTTCAATACATGAAGGTATTGACAGTTTCAGTTTTAAACATGTAAAATAAAGAGATCAAAGAATTTTTGGATATGAAATGATATCTAGCAGGTTGTATACAAATTCATTGCTGAAAGCGAGCCTACTCACATTTTGGCTCATTCTCTGTCAAGGATTCCAAAAAGTCTTGAGCTGTCATTAGTACTTCTCCATTATAATCACACGATGCAAATTGGTTGAATCTCCTTTCTCGCCGTGACATCACTTTTGGCGCAGCTTCTTCTGCTTTTCCTTCTTCTGAAGCAGCAATGCATATCAAAGTTCTTCCCGGTCCGGGAACCTGTTTGTAGTTATAAAGCTCAAATAACGCCAAGCTTCCAAAACAGCCACTCGTGAAAGCGATTACATTACGAGAAAGCGACCCATTAACAGTACTTTTGGTGTGAAACTGGCAAAACTTTTGTGGTCTGGAGCTCTTTAAGTATCTACTGGACCCGAAAAATATACACAACCGTCTTGCCGCCATTTTAATGTTTCCTTGAGTACAATTATGTCTACAACAACAACATCGTTAACGCCCTTGCAAGTGAAACGATGAAAATTATTTTAATCATAAATGACAGGACCTCCGATGCAAGTTTGAAAGTAGAGGGAAAGGCCAATAAAAAATATTTTGTAAAATCTCTGTTTACAAAAAGAATGACGGGGGACATGACCCCCCGACCCCCGACCCTTGCTTCTAAAGGTCCATCCCCCCCAAAAAAACTTTACTAGATTCCTTTTTATGTCTTATTCCTTTTTAAGTACTTCTTAAGGCAGTTGGGCACATCCTTGGTTGGCAGTTACGTATAATTGGTTTTTTAGTATCATTCCTTTGTCTAAAATATCTTTGTATAGAATTTTCAAAGTTCGAATATTCCTTTTGCATTTTGCATGGTTAGAAACCTTGGTATATGACTAAGACTTCAAGGCTGATTTTCAAAACTTGGATTTTAATATTTATGAATTTTGAGTGCCAAACCTTGGTTCCGTCTTTGAAGTGTTCTAAGTTTCAATGGCACCAAATTAATGGCACAATCAATGCTCTAAAAAAAATTTATACCTTAAAAAGTTTTAAATTGTTCTCTCGAGTGTACGACAAACAGGGGTTACAAACAAAATGGAGGGTTGGGAATTCTAAGGACAACTGACAAACGAGGAAGGTCAAAATAGGAGCTTTTTATACTAGAAAAAGGTCTATTATTGAAAGAAACGTGGCTGATAATTTTATCAAATGTAGCAATTAGAATTTTCATTAAAAAAAGGAAAGGAGCAAAACAAAGCAGAGACTATTTATTGCGAAGTATCTTTTGTACAGAAATTTACATTAAACGGTGAAACAAATCTTAAACACAATAAAATCTCTTAACCAAAGACGCTTAAAACAGAAGCAAAATAAAATATTTGACACTCTTACTTGGATAACTTCAGCTCATTTTATTCATATATACATTAAATCCACACGATCTTTAAAAATACAAGCTAAAGTGGTTCTCAATTTGACGCACGCAGGTAACACAGCTACAAGTCAAGTAACTTTAAACAATTTTCAAACGTTCTCCAAAAAATCTCAATATTTGTGCAAAATGCAAAGAACAGGTGACATATTGATTTGAAATTTTTAAATTACGGTGCATAAAACTTAAAGAAATATTCTGTTTTTTCAGATTTCAACTGAGGGCCTAATGCCTCTCACATCAATGTAAATTTCCTACCTTCAAGACAGTAATTCTACCAGTTACTATTTCTTTATAACTATTTCAGCGACTGGGATTGGCATATTTTTATCGGGAAGTCGACCAAAATGCTAGATGTTTCATCCAGTGATTTTTCTATCAAAAATGACGAAAAAATAAGGCAAAGCCTGGGAAAAAAGCAATAGCTTCGCTGCTTTTAAATAATCATTTGGTTGGGATTTTTTGCAACTTTCTACAAACTAAAGAGCTAGATTAATCCTTTCAATTCGTTTTTGCAATCCTCCAGAACCAAATTGGGAATAGAATAGACTGACGTTCTTTGAGCTAGTCTCAATATAGGTTCTTAGAATCACAGTTAACCACAACCCAGAAAACAGAGCTTTTGCAAAATGTTAAACACCGTGCTGTAGTCTCCTTGCGGATAAAAGATAAAGCCCCAGCAAAAGTGCTCCTAACCCAATTGTATTGAAGGTGTTTAAAAGGAACCAGTTTATTCAAAATACCTCTGTAAGTCGTGGATTATAATTCATTGAAAATACCTCTGTTAGTCATGGATATTTTTACTTTAAACGATGGGTTAACCATTATATCTCCTACCTATTCAATAAAATGCCTCTCTGAGAGTTTAGTCGTACATTTTGTTTCTTCAAGGAACAGTATATCACACATCAAAGTAAACAATGTTAGACATAAAAAACTTTTGTGGTACAAAGTCTGTCTAAAAAACTGAAAAAATCAAAGCTACCAGCATTAGTCTGCAAATTATCACCGCTTGTATCTCTGATTAAAGCAGCTCTCTCTGATCGAGATTTCTTTGGCATTGTAGTCATTCTGGTGAACACCGTAGATATTTTTTGCAATGCTTTGTCCTTGAGTTCATCGGAACAGCTTGCCAACTGCAAAAGAAAATAATTTGCACTTTCCAAAGTACCAGAAAGTATTATTCCGAAAAGGAAATTTCGAAATAGTTGCTCAATAGAGAAATAGGGTTTATTCAAAGAGATGTCAATGAAATTGCTTGATGCCTTCAAAACATTGAAATGCTTTTTCAACAAAAATGTGACAAAACTATACCAAAATGTAATTTTTTAACTCTAAATCAAAGTACCAGAAGACCTACCTATAGAGCAACAACGATGGAGCCTCTAATTTAATCCATGACTCTATCAGTTACTCCCATAAATAAGTTTCCTGCTATACCCAAGGTTCGAGAAACAAAACCAAGCATAGCAAGTTTCAAGCTTCAATTTGTCATTATTCAACAAATAAATAGCAAAAAAGCTAATCAATACAACTTGTAACTCACACTAGCTGAAAAATATAATATATCGTAATATTTGATTGTCAGAATATTAGATTACGAGAGCATGTTGGAATGATTTGAAACAATAATAGCTTCGTTTTTAACAAGAGCACGTATCATATACCGGGAGAGTGCACTGAGTGCATGTCATCATAAAGGTTTTTTGAAATGCAACTTTTCCCTATTTCGATGTTGTGACGCTTGAAAATGCCATGCTTTGAAGAAAGCCGTTGGCATTAAAGCCATATGCAACTGGCACCAGAAGTTTTTAAAGTATACAGCAAGCAACATAATGGGCAGTGCTATATGCTAAGAGATCCCAGCTGGAATAACATTAAGGAATGGGGGATGTACGAATTTGCTATTAATTTTCGCACAATGACGTAACAGTTTAAAAAGGCTTCCTCGAAAATTCAAAAGAAAAATAGAGGTGATAGAAATAACCATACCTTTAAGAATGTCAACATCACAACTTGTAGTGTCTTCCGTTTATCCTTGAAAAAAAACTCTTGGATAAGCACTTGCTTTTATTCTAAAGTGCAAAGTAGGTAACAGATTTGTGTTTTGGAAAGCTCTAAAACACAATGTTGTTGATTGTATTTTCCGATAACATTACAGCTGATCAATATAAACCGCAGCTTTTCAATACGTCACAAATAAAATCTTTACCCTAATTACCCTCCTGTACAATTACTAGAAGCTTCTTATCTAACTGCCTTCTTGTGGACTGTCAATTACACTTTTTCCAAATTCGCCATATTTTAGAAAATAGGACTTTTGAGTGGACTTTTTTGCTTTCCCGTCTATAAACAAGAAACCTGTTTTGCTTTAGGCCAGAGCTCCATAGCCATATGTTCAAGCTTCCATTGTCAATGCATTTATCATTGCATTGTCTCTTTTAAGTTTTCAATGTGCATAGTCTCTTCTTCTTTTAAGTATATACAAATATCTTTATCCAAAGGTTGTAAAGAAAACGATTGGATCTCAGGATGACAGGCAAAAGTTCAATTTTATGCTAATCTTAGATTCAATCTTTTCACTAAAAATTATAGATTTGGAAGATTGATCCAATATCCCCTAAACAAGCCACATTGTTGTTTTTAAGTAATACATTAAATTTGAGGTTTCTTAGTTACTAGGTGACGCAGCAAACGGTGAGTGACTTCATACATACTTGTAAGTTTTGCATTGTTAGCAAGAAATTGGTAACAGGCAAAAACAAAGTACCACAAACAATGAAAACTCACCCTGTCTAGTGACTCGAAGCCTTTCAAGGAATCGTCTTCACATTGTGCGATTATTTCTAAATCTTTGTCAACTATTACAGGAGGCTGCAAAGAAACGTAACTCTATGAAAGCTGCTAGAAATTTTGTGAAATCTTATATATACTATACATTATATAACATGTTACATATTATAAACCAATATATATATTTTGATATTATTTTCAAGACCTTGCGTATCTGTACCGGTCTGACTTGTTTAATTAACGAACTTATATTTTCAAATAAAGTTCAAAAATCATGAAAATATTTGACATGTAGTATATAAAACAATTTAATACTATACTTTAATACATTAGCAAACAAACAAGCAAGGTTTATAAAGTCCGAGTCTTAATATAAATTAAAAAGCTAGCAAAAGATCCCGATTAATAAATGAGTATCACATTGTTTGCAATGCAGTAATTCTGCTTTAGCAACAAATGCTTCGCTTCCTCAAAGTAATGCAAAAAGCAGCCAGCTGGATTCCAACAAGGTAATACCTAGATTAAACGTTTTCTTAAATCAACAGTTGCTTATCTCTTTTTCCAATCTCTCTACTACTTTGTAGCTAATAATCCTCCTTCATTTTTAGTTACTTTCTCTCAATAGCCTTACTACATCACAAACATTGACAGACATCGACAGAGACACAACCCCCCCCCCCCCCCCAAAAAAAATCCTGGCTTGGAATGTCAAAAGCACTTTTATCCCATTTGCAACTTAAAACGCCCGATCATGATAACTAAATACAGCCAAATCCTTCTTTAACAATTTGAAATTCCTGCCTATGTACACCCGAGCAAATAAAATCCGTTTACCTCTAAATGCTCAAACCAGTGCCACAGCAAGCAGGATAAAAGAAAAGGATTCTCTTCTTTTGATAACTGATCCCATGTGCACTCCGATTCATTCAGGTCGTTCTAAAAAGGGGTGAACAAAAACGTTAATGCTTGATACCCCTCTGAGAATTTGTGTATTTCATGATCACCATGAAAAAATGACACTGGAAATCTATCGCTTAATCTTTTCTTTAAAATAAAATTATTATCAAAAGATATTATGGTAAATTTAGGAAACTCAGCCGCAGCTGTAACAGTTTTGTATAAAAACAACGACTTTCAATGAAGATGATTTTGATTAATCTACTACTGAATTATAAAGCTTTAAAGATTTCTAACAAAATAATAGAAATAACTTCAAGTCACCAGTAAAACATAAAGCTGGACGTACCTTATACTTTTCAAGCTTTGACATAATTCTGCCTAAATTGACTTTTGGTGCCAGGCTCGCAGCCACATTTGTTAAAACGCTGCTATCCAACTCAATAGAATTTTGGGCTTTAAAACCCTTTTCTTCAGTTACAGCTTCAGATGAATTGGATTGATCCTGTGTTGCTGGTTGGGACCCTCTCCTTTTTACTTCAGCCTCTACTTCTTGTCCATTGATTGTCTCATGTGACATAAAAACAGATGAATCTCTGGGATTCTCGGACTTGCCGCTGATTACAGATGATTCTTTATCTATCTTTATTGATATAGTTTCGTCACTATCAGAAGCTCTAGCATTCTCGCAACTGACGTAGACTTCCTCGTTATTAAATAATTTTAAAGATTCCCCTCTATTTCTCGAACTACCCCTGTGCGTATCAATGTTAAATCTAGCTGCTTTATTCGAGCCTAGCAATACAGATTCGGAAACTGAGTGATGAATTGCTTGCTCTGGTTCTAGTTCGTCCATCCCACAAAGTTCTTCCGGACCATCTCCAAAAGAATCATAGTAGACATTGTCTTTTAATTCCCCAGGAAATAAACCATCTGTTACGTCATCATCAATGTTTTTCTTGTCAAAAATATGTCCTACGTCAAAATCACTGTCAGATTTATTCTTATGTTCCTTAGACGAAGCGTCGAGCTTTCCTGACGATGCATCTCCTTCTGATGACAGCAAGTCACTTGATTCATCGGAAAGACTTAGCGATGTAAAAGCACGTCTCCTTAATACAGTTACGCTCCTTAACTGAAAATCGATTCCTGCGAGTTCAAGAAGGCGTTGGCATATCACGAACACGACCTGGAAAAATCAGGAAAAGTACTTGGTAGTAACAATTTGAAATCAATAAAGGCAACAAAAGATAAATTAGCGATAGTGTAGTCTTTTCCAAGGAAGTGGAAACTATTTTTAAAGAATAAAAACAAAAAACTGAAAGTTCGACTTGTCAAGGTGATACAACATCATTTGATTGTTCAAGGATATGTTATACAAACACAACGCAAAACATGTAGGATGGAGGGGCACTCCAATTAAGGCCTGAAAGGCGGGTTCAGTCAGTTTGAGGGTCTTACTAAATGGCTACCAAATGGCCCTATTTAGATAATAACACTACCAATTGGGGTACTTTAATCAGATGCCTCTTTTTAGAGGATACTTCATTTATCTTTCCCAAAGCAACCGCAGTGTCAATGGCGAAAGAACTTTTCAAAGAAGGACAGAGGAATGGATGACATATGGCATATTTTTGGTCCTTATACTGCCGTTTTGAGGCTACTGTCAAAAAATACTGCCATTCGAAGTAAATTTTAAACATTTAGCTTTGAACCTTTAAGATCCTATTCTCACCGGGGGCACTCCTCACCGGGGGCACTCCCATTAAGATCCTATTCTCACCGGAAAACGCATACTCACTTTTGGAACATATCTAAGATCTCTCTCTTCCTCTCCATGGAGAATATGAGCTTGTCGCTTTAGAAATTGCATAAGAGAAAACGGTTTATGTTTTGTAGACCTTGAAAGAAAAAGAATATTAACTTATTATAAATGTTTCATTGCAAAAATCAGCAATGAAATGATTAAAATACGGCCGTAAAGCCAGAAGACAAACAGCCAAAGTAAATAGCTCTTGTTTTCATAACAAGAACAACCTAAAACATTTCTGCTCCCAGAAAAACCTAAAACAACTTTTGAGTCACGGGCTAGACAAAACAAACAAATTTATTGAACAAAACAAAGCCTTGTTTGATTTAAAGAAAACATTGTATTTGGGTAGCAATGCTATCGTTACGTATTTTCAATAGAAAATAAAATCAAATAGCGTGTGAAATAAGTCGTGTGGGCACTGATTATCGGAGGGAGGGGGGGGGCTGTAAATGAGATAAAATAATTATTTTGCCGTTTGATGCTTGAGTGGACTCCATCTAGGCCAGGAAGAGGTGGAAATACAGATTCAAGAAGAAGATGAACCTACGAGTTAGCAAATATTATCCACATTGGCTTTAAATATGTCTCGAAATCCCTGACACAGGCAATTTGTCCTCGTGTCTGTATAGCTTTGGGCCTAGAAAAAAAGAAAATGTTGCGATAAATCAACGAGTGTAAAGGTCCTAAAGTTTTGAATAAAGGTCCTTAAACTCTTTGTCATGAATTTTACTCAATGATGTAGACATACTAGTAGTACGCAGCCTGAAATGCTAGAATTCAGTCAAGTATCCTTTGTTAAGGATTTTCAAGTCCCTAGCCTGCTTGAAATAAGATGCATGCTTTTGATGTAGAATATTATGATCAACAATATATAAAAGGTATCTCCTTTAATAGAAATAATTTATGATAAATAATGACAAGAAATGAAGAATTGAATATTACTAAAATTTTGTTTAAAGAAACGCTCACTGAACTGAATTACCTTTTCGCCCGAACAGTATTTATGGCCTGCAAAAAAGTAAGGGAAAGGAAATAGAGAAAATATATGCACGAAGAAGAAAGACCGTTAGAAGTGAGCAGTATTCTAGCTTCAAATCAATTATTTGGGGAAATGGGTGATTTCAACGTATTCTAACATATTACATATTTATACAAATAAGGGTGTACAGCTCTCCCTTTACGGCATCGAGCACTTTATGACAGATCAGTAAACTGCAACTTTCTTTGTTTGCAAAAATAACAGTCACATTCTAAGACAAGCGAGAAAAACTGCCCAATTTTGAAAATACATAATGTTGATGGATAAAGTTTGTTACTGAGTGTAAATGTTGAAAATCGTGAACATGCTGCAGATCAATTAAATTGAGACAAAAAAATATTTAATAATCGGACGTTTTGGCTTATTGCCATGTAGCTAAGTAATTTCTCTGACCATCTAATCAGTTATAACCTAGGTTCAAGAATTATACAAATGGAACTACAATCTTGGACCAAAATTATTAGACCAACATATACTTGTCTATCACCTCCCTACAGTGGCGCACACTTGGCCAAATACTGGGAAGGGGTGGTGACAAGCCTACAGTTTTGTTAAGATGACGTCACATTTGTCCATTGTTTTAGAACAAAATAATATTGTCTTCAAAAGTATTGGGGCGCCCCCAGGTGTCCGCCAATGCCTCCCTCTCCCCCATATCAATGTTGAGATCAATGTGAGGCAGCAAGGAAAGAACATGATGATCATCTGGCTCTCATTCAACATTGAAGTAAAGGGGAAGTCACCGTTTGTTGGATTGTCTATTTATATTTTTTCCATGATTGAAGCAATGGTAAAATTACCGAGTCGGCTTTCATTCTCTGAGAATAAACAAAATAGCAAGCGATGAGCACACCGGTGCGGCCTAGTCCAGCATGACAGTGAATGGCGACCTAGAGGGAAAGAAGTGTCTAGAGAATATAATTTGGAACAAATTAATGAAAAATTTATACGCAACATTGACAAATAAACACATTACAAAGCTGAAGCAAAATGAGAAATGTTTTTTCAGAAAATGAAGTATATGAACAACCTAAAATTCCCTAACTATGTGCAAGCAATTCATAGCAAAATATTTTTTATTAAATATTTATGCTTTTAGCTTTCGTATAATTCAACATAGATTTCATTTAATGAGCGAAAATAGCAATTTGAAAAGCTGAAAAACAAGATTTCATCCTTGCTTCATTTGCAAAACTTTCTCAAAAGATCACAGAGTGCGTAAGGCACTTACTTTTCCATCTGCAAGAGCAAAGTCCATTACTTTCACCATGTCAACTATCGACTGCAAAGCGCGCACACCATAATCGTCCCTGTACACCAATGGAAATATATTTCAAACTTTGCTAACAAACCAGCAAAACAAAAGTCATCTTAGAACAATTGTTGAAGGAGGGGAACAAGTTGCAACGAAAAGTAATGAAAGAAGGGCGGTAACAGACAGAAGAGTAGCATTCCTTCATCTTGTCTTGATTTAAACTTCTATTCGACACCAATTCAAAAACCATTCATATTCGAAAGGCTGAGTCTGTTTTGCCTACCACCTATCTCTGTTTTTCAACCATTACTTGCCTTCAAGATTAATGCTTCTAACAAGCACGGGAAGTTCTTCTTTCCGGGTATATAGAGTACCGAAGATTTATTATTGCTCTGAGTGAATTTAGTGGCAATATATTTGTGCTAGCATACTAGACTTCAAAACATATGGTCAATTCTTTATTTGAGATTCAGATTAGCTCTGTGAAAGATCTTGTTATTATCTTGTTTTTAAGAAGCTCGATGAAGTGGCATTTTTACTTCATTTGTGCTAGCATACCAAGTTTTCAGACAAACCGCCACTTCTTTCTTTGTTCATCTAATTAAACCTATTTTGAACACCCGACAGTCTCCTTGCTCATTAGCAAAAAGTTCATTTACCGTTTCATGGTATTTAAACATACTGTATTCGGCTTTATATCATATTGATAAGTATCTTTTTTTTCTTTATTGACCACTGTTTCGATGTAACAGAATAGTACTCATATTGATTAGAAGAGCCTTACTTCGGGGATATCAAAAATCTATTTCGATAAAGAAAATTCTATAATATGCAGTGGTAATTTCCAAAACCAAGGCCTTGAGTATCGAGAGGGCTCATAGATGGCAAACTGTGTTGTCATCGATTGTGGTTGATGCTGATAAAAAATTCAGGACTCAGAGCAACAGAAAATGCTAATTATCTCAGGATGAGAAAAGCTTGACGACTAAAACCATTTTTGCAGTTGTGTGGTTTTTCTCAGAATGAGGAGTGGGCAATTTTCTTCAGCGTAACAGGTGCCAAGACATATGGTTTCTGGCTGAGATTCCTCCACAGCGGTGTAGCAATGCAGCTAGAGGGGTTTAGGATTTTAACACTGGTAAATTGCTAGATCATTGACCCTGCGTAATTTCTTTCGTGGGTTTTGTATCAAACCCATTGATCTCAATGGTAGGCATCCTGTACAATATCGACTGATCGCTTACTAACAGTGTCGAGAACTGGCCAATCAAAACGCTTAAAACTGCACCAGGCTTAGGAATACCCTGTTTCAATGTACCACAGTTTCTGAAATCCTCAGCCTTTTGAAATCCACAGATAAAACAACAGCCTTTTCCACGCCCAGTCAACACAGGAGCGTCTATCATATAATCAGTTTACGATTACAGATATTTAAAAAGTATTTTGAACAATTCATGTTTGGAGATGAGTATAAACAGGACGAGCAAAGGCTTCGAGCATTTGAGATGAAGACATTCAGAAGAATGTTGGGAGTATCATGGAAAGAAAAAAAGACAAAAGAGTGAACAAAAGATAAGATCTGTGAAATTTGCGGATATGAGCCAGAAGGAGTGGCGAAGGTAGTGAAGGAGAGGAAGTTTAAGTACTTTGGTCATTATTGGGGAGGCGGGAAAGCTAGAGGAGTGATAAAAAGAGGAACGAAAGAAAGGAGAGTAAGGGGGACCACAGGGAAACTGGATTGGCAATCCTAGAAACTAGACTGGAGGAAGTTATAATCTGACAAGCACGGCTGAAGATCGGGAAGGCTGAGAAGCTATGATGATGATGATAGCCATTGTTTTGAAGGATATGAGCAAAATTTACTTAATGATAAGTTCAACCCTTAACACTAAATGCGCTCCCAAACAAAATGCTATAAAATTAAAATGTCCATTGTTAAAACACGAAACGTTACTGCCAAAAACTGCATATAAAACGTCATATTTGTATCGGGAAAAAAAGTAAAGCAGCATCAGTTATTGGTCAAGTCTGGTGATGCCTGTTGTCATACTGTAGCACTGTGGAGCTAGAGAAGGTTAGTCGAGACTGCTACAGTAATGTATGGATTTCAAACGAAACTGGGTTGTTTAAAAAAATTACGCTGGATCATTACTGAATAAAGCTCTTCAAATTTGCGTCTCGTAAGCAGTAACAAATATCTGTTCAACTCCATTTTCAAGAAGGTGACATATCACTGGGCATTGCTGGCGTTAAAATTACGAAGAGTTGAAGTTATGTTACACATGCAACTTAATGTAAAAAGTGTTGAAGAAAGGCTTTGTAAGTGTGTATCTCGACTAGACAGTAACAGGTTTAGAAGGATTAAAGAATAAGTTACTTACCAACAAAAGTTGTAGAAAAACACTGAAAAAGAAATTAAAGCAAATGTCTCAATTGATTCAAACATAAGTTCCTGCTTATACTATCACTGCATTGTGAAAAGAGTCGTGATTTACCAAAAAGCCGGAAATATTATAAAACGATCAATATAGCATATCTAGACTGGAATGATTTAAAAAGAAACAAGCCACGCAAAGTTATCTGCAATTTAAGACATTGTAAATACTTAAAAAAATGGCTATTGGTAAAGGTAAACTGAAAATGGAGTCAAGGCATTGTTTTCATCAGTTAGTTGGCACTTGGAATATGGTTAATTTTTGTTTATCAATTTCAATTATGACGTTAAGCATGCAGATTTAAGGGAGAGATTACGCTAAGACTGTTGCTTTCCAAACATTTTTAGTACAGGCTCAGGTGTGTTTTCATAGAAATAATATCCACACTGGTGCAATAATGAAACAAGATATCAAATTATTTTGTTCTTATATGATTCAAATTTCATTAACTTCATTATACCATCTTCATCCATGAACTCCTGTGGAACATAGGAGAAACCACCTGGCTCCAGCCCAAAGCCGCAACTTGCATGCTCTCCAGGATGTTGTAGGTTGATGATCGCTGAAATATTGTTTCTGAAATCGATAAAAACTATTTAAAAAAGACGTATTACATGTTTCAACGAACGAAATGGAAGGGTAGAGACCTCAGACACATGTGTTACAAGCCCGGCAAGCATTTTTTCTTCATGGGGGATAGGGATAAATATGGTAGGGTAAGCAAAATTCATCTTGAACTATCACAGACTGGGGAGCTAATACAGAAAATCAATGCATTCTCTATTTAAATAAATTTACAGTTCCACTTCAATTTAAAAGGTTTTTCTAAACAGGAACTCTTTTAAGCTAGACAATGTAACCACCGGGATGCTTTGATGAGATAATTTTAAAGTGATATATTCTTGGTTGCGCTATATCTTCACAGGTTTTGAAAACCACAGCTGCTTGTTGTTTTCCATACCACCTCAGCTGCAAGTAATCTGCTTAGGAACCATCAAAACACAAATTCTAGACCTGCTTTAAGACATTTTCGCAATTTAGCATAGTTTCAACAGCTATACAACATTTTGGCTAAGGCATAGTTTATTTGAAATAATAATGACATGGTACCTAGGTAATCAATTTGAATTATTGTAGTCATAAGGAATAAAACATGTTTTAGAATTTTGGTCTTAAGAATGGTTACCATGTGTAAATTAGTGATGCAAATATATTTTCCTTTTATTGATACTGTTGAACAATCCCACAAACATTTCTAGATAAATTGGCATAAGGTTACTGTTTAGCCTATTATGTTTTCATGAAAAATCTTGACATTGTACAGCCTAGCTAAACCTGTCATTATTCTTTGCAATCAATCCGAATACTATCCAAAAGGCATTATCACTTAATTCTTTCAATTCATTGATTTCATGCAATGATGAGATACATACGATTTGAACTGCTTTAGGACATCAAATTCATTGATTGCATAAGTTGATGGCCTTGCCATTGCCAGAATTCTACCAGTAATCCTAAAAGGAAATTCGATCAAGGTAGATCTACAATCCAACATTGAATAGATGGATTATACCTCAGAAGGTCTTCTCATACAAAATATAGTTTCTGAGGGTTGCCCATGAAATAGAATATTTATGAGAACAAGTAAGCTTCTTTTACCAAAGACTTCTACAAGTGCCTAGATAGAAGTCAAATAACTAGCCAACTAGCTATGAAGACAACTAACTTACTAAGTGACCAATCAACTAACTTACTGGCTAGCTAATTTTCTGGCCAAAAAGCATTTAAGGTGCCTTTTCCCTCTTCAAAAAGTATGATTTGACAAAATCGATTTTAGATCAAAGCATCACAAACAGAAGGTGATATTTTGGTAAAATGGTTCTATATTTTCTAAGTTTTTTAAAAAAACCACAGCTTTAACCCTGCAAAATTAATACAATTCACTCTATATGAGAGTTTTAAGTAATTCAGTCTTACAGCAGTATACAAACGGTCCAGAAATTTTCTAAACATTTTCTGATCCAAGTCTCATTGTATCAAAAATTGATATTATTTTGCTAAACATAAAATTCCCTCTGAACACTTCTCAATTTATTTTTGGAAATTTGTTGGGAGCAACACACTATTTTTGCACAGCAAAAATCATTTGCAGCCTGAGAATAGACTAAGCTATAGCCTTTTGGCTTAAAAACAAAAAACATAATTTCAAGCTAAAAATCCACCAACCTTTACCTAATCCCAATAAACTAGACAATATGGAAAAATTTCAGAAAATGTTTTACAAAAGCCAGTTTAATGGCAGGAAAACAATATACCTATTGGTCATGTGAACTACTCATTTCTAAATGCAGTCATTAATTCTTTTGCATCCAAGGTCCTAAATCCATACTTTATTGAAATAAAGCAGAAGATAGGAAAATAATCAGTTATGATGCTAAATCAAGTACATGCTTTGTACACATGCTTATTTATAGATGCATCCAGAATAGCTGCTGTCTTTTTCTATCCAAATATAATCATAATTGAGACTTGCTATTGTTGCTTTTAAGGACAGCTGGTTATGTTGTGCATCTTTTATTACTTAGAAGAACCATGGACCCAGAATTAGGAAAATCTATAGCTCTCTGCAATTCCATACCTAAGCCCTATCCTTATGTAAACTGTGTATGAGTATGAGTTGAGTAATATTTATGCCAATTAACCTTTTCTTGATTTTTACCTTCGCGGTTTACGAAGCAGTCATATTCAAGCTAGAGGAGGCACAAATATATCAATTTTGATACCTAGTTTTCTCATAATCACAACAAAAATGTCAGCGGGCAGAGTGCAAAGTATTCCCAGGTGTATACCCAAACTTTGCAGAACCATTTTACTCTAAATAAAACGAAGTAGCGCATTACCATGATGAATACAAGCCCCTTATTGCCATTTCTTCATCTTTCCATTTTGTTGGGTTGTCATACTTGCATTGTTTCCCACCGCAAAACATTGAGCATTGGAAAGCGGTGGGTGTTATATGCCGAATTCTTTCTCCGACTTTTGAGTACTTCGGATCTACTTGAATGTCCTTCCATTCTTGATCTCTGTTTTTACCGATCCACTTGACCTCCCCTTTTTTATCAGCCATGTTCATTATCAACATCGACAACCATACCAGTGCAAATTCCCATAGCTACACTGAATGGTTGCCCTGAACCTACTAAATTATGAATAGGCCTAAACCAAAGTCGTGAAAACAAACTGCCCACTGAAGCCTCGATCATGTCAAGCCTCGTTTTTGGTCAGAGCTTGAATGTATGTTACCATGGAAACTTACTTTGTTACGAAATAAATAAATTCGTAACATTAAATTTGGTTTCGACATTTCTTATTACTGCAAACGATTTCCGTTAAATTATGTTTCTATTTAGTTCGTATACAATGTTATATTGTAATAAATGAAAGCAACAGTAAAAGATTTCGGTGCGTGTTGGTCAAGGATGAAGCAAGAATTATAAAAGTGAGGGCACCCGGTAAAAGGGACAGCCTAACAAAGATTCTTTAGGGTTAAAAACCTGTCTAAGGTGCACTCATACCGGAAGGCTGCTACCGGAAGCCTGGCCACTATGATAAAGATATCATTTTCTAGCTTACACACTGTCTTTTATAAGAATACCTATTTTTTTAAGCCTCCATATTCTTAATTTTTTAAAGATTTTGAGCCTACAGAAAAATTCATTACCCTCTAACATCAAATTTTTACCCGTCCACTGCCCGTTTTTTGCTATTGAAACACTTTTGAGAAAACATCTCTAAATTCTCAAAGCGGTTGTGTGGCTGCATCTAACTTGCTCAATAATTTTTCGAAAATTGAAATCCTCTTCGCAACCTAAGGTCCTTATAGCGACTCGCCTCTCTTTTGCCATTTTTTCTCCTTTATGCACCTTAAGCCTTGGCCAAACTGGGCAACATTGTCGGGCAACATTCACAAATTCCTAATGTTGCTCAAATGTTGTCCAGTTTGGCCACCGTGTCGGCCGACAAATTCATCAAGAAATTTGTTGCTCGAATGTTTGAACATGCTCAAACATTTTTCGGCAACATTTGTTGCTCAGCTCTATGTTGTCCAGTTTGGCCACATTGTCGGGCAACAATTCCCCTTTATGTATGTATAGTATTGCAAAACAGTATGCTCTACTCGATTCAAATAAAATGGCCTGTCAAAATTTAAGCTTTCTAGTTGATTGTTCCTAATGGGAAGAAAACCATGGAGTGGAAGAATAGTTTAGGAAGAATAAAAAGTCTCGTCTGAAACAAGTCCAAATGCAAGTTTTTTGAAAAAACAAATCAGCCAAATGCTACCCGCGTGTTCGACCACAGAGTGCCAAGCAACAAAGGTGTTGTGATGTCAAAATCAGCTTCCAGTAGCTGCAGCTTGCTTTCTATCTACCATATTATCCAAATTTTTGCTCAAATCAAATATGGCACGGAAAACCACATATCAGATCATATTTGGCACGCTGTTTTGACAACATCATCAAAAGATGCTGCACGACAATGTTGCTCAGTTTGGCCACCATGGTTCGGCGACAAAAAATTAACAAAATTTCGAGCAACATTGTCGGGTAACAATGTTGCCCAGTTTGGCCAAGGCTTTAGGACGAATTCGATTTTGCAACGGAAATATTTTCAGATTTGGGCGGTCTTTCTCCAAATAATCTAGGCCTACGTATCCCAAAATAGAATTAAAAGTTAAAAGAAGGCTTCCACTTTTGAAGCATAACCATGAAAACATAGGATTCTTACGATTTTCCTGTTTATAACAGCAAAATATGCAGGAGGGTTGCATGGCCTAATAATGGCCAAGTCACAAGACCTTCACACAATTTTTTTAGAGATGTGCAAACAAATTCAACTTTTTTATTTCACGTTTGCATAAGAGAGAAATTTATTAAAAAAATTACAAGATCAAACTTAAAGTTTCAAATAAAGTTTATTACATCAGCGCAAACGCTACAATTTTATTGAATTACTGCAATTACAAAAGCTGAGTAGCAATTTTTGCTTTGAGAGAGCATTTTCTTCTTAAAAAGCCGGACAATTTGTATTTCTTATTTTTTATAGCCATGTTTTTGCTTATGTTCCAAGATTTAGTTTCATTTCACATGACAACAGAATTTCTGGTAAGGATTTAAACATATTACTTTGCAGTTCCTTCAGAAATGACCTTTCGTCCCTCGGCGTCGTAAACTTCTTCGGTCTGCCAACCCTTGGTATATTGTTTACTTTTCTTGTACGGAGAAACCTTTTACAAACCAAAAAGCTGCACTCATTTAGCAGCCGACAATTGATGCATTATTGCGAAATCCATGCGCGATATTTTAGCAGAAAGCAATTTGAAAGCGCTTCTCTTCACTCAGTTATTGATTTTCAAGAACTCCCATGTTTACGTCTCAAGGTCTATAGAAATTTTATGGCCGATATTTTTCTAATTGTCTAGCGTTCATTTAAGGCTTCGAAATATCAACAATGTCTTGTGAAAATTTCATGGAAATAGCTGTCATACTTTTTTACCGAGAAAGATTTTAAAAAGTCTTTCCAAATTTGTTGCATCAAATGTCGTCGAAATTTCGAAGTTTGTCCCAATACTTTTTGAACAAATAATATTTCTCTGTACAAAAAAACTCTTCTGCATAATCTATACATTTCAAAATATGTTTTCTATGGCATCAGTAAGATTTTCAAGAATTTACCGTCAAAACTTGCTTTAAAGTACGCCTATTTCAACCAATTCATGCATTCAAATGTTTGGTATGGTAGAAAAGTTGTAAAATGTGCCGCCATTTTGAACAAGGTGGTGCAATACTTTTGTGAGGGGAGTGTATACTCTTAAATTAGTACTAAGCAACACAAGGCGTAACAATGACTCTAAGAGCGAATAGGTGTATTTCAAAACATAAAGCTTGAAAATCGCATTTGATTTGCTTTCCAAAAAGACTCAAATAAACAAAAAGTTTAATTCTTGGTGAGACTTGAGCCTTGTATTATTCTTAAATTATTTTTAAATTTCAGCGATTTTGAGGCTTACTTAATATTCTTATAGATTTAGGGTCTGTTAACATGGGGGCGAGTTTCCCGGCTAGCTGAGTTGCCCGGCAAGGGGGGTTAATTAACTGCCAGTGTTTCCATGAAGCGGGAAACTCGGCCAGGCGGGATGAAATTTCTGCAAAAAATGAAGTACATAATGCAATGTATGCTTTCGGTGCCATGCAAGGGCAGAAAAGGAAATTTTCGCATCAGGATGGTTTCAACAAAAAGTTCCAAGAATTTGAAAATGATTTCGATGATAAACCTATGTTTTCGCCTGCTGTTATTTCATCTGCAAGGAAATTGTACTCTTTTTGGCTTACGGAAAAACAAGGGATGATAATTGGTTAAAAAGCTTTTTGCTGAAAAAACAGGATCATCAGGAGACTCAAGATATAAAAAACACTAGATTGTTAGTGAAAAGACGCTGCACATGGTACCACACGTGCGTATGTCAGATTACTTTATCCCGTTTAGGCGGGAAACTCGGCAATTTGCGTTTACATGAGTTGGCTTGGAAACTCCGCCTCTGTCTGCGGGGATCCCGGCTGGCCGAGTTTCCTGGCTGTACATGTAAGCGCTGAAGTGAGAAACTGTTGATTTCCTAATACATGCCGGGAAACTCGGCTAGCCGGGAAACTTAGTTAGCCGAGAAACTCGCCTTGAACCCCTGTGTAAACCGTACGAGCGAGAATTTGAAATGGGATGCTGAGTGACTGAGAGTGGAGCAAAGATGTGGCACAGCTCTGTTCTACTCTGTTTACACGCAATATTGCGTATATCATTGGTCAACACTGCTGAGAATGAGCAATTCATCGATGCTTGCATTGATGAGGTTTACTGTAAAGGGGAAATACTGAAAGTAGTTCAAATGTCCAAAGCGTTTGGAGACGCGAAGACATTTGTTGACATGCCCATGCGGGACGATCGCAGCAAAATTGTAACTCCTTTGAAGGATGCAGTTAGCGGGCAAAAAAGTGCAGCTGATATTAAAAAGGCGGTCAAAAAATACTTTTATGAGGCTGGGACAGAACTGACTAGCATTCAGCCATCAGACTGGTCTGAAAATCCTCCATTCCTACTGAAAATCAATGACCCAAGCTTACGAGGCTGGGCTAAAGACATCCACAATAGATGGAAGCTTTTGAATCGAAAAATGAAGAAGGAGGTGAAGACGAATCCTGAGAGGTATTCTTTGATTTATTCAGAGAATCCGTTTGTCGTTCCAGGAGGGAGATTCAGGGAGTTTTACTATTGGGACACTTATTGGGTAATAAATGGCCTACTTTTAAGTGACATGGCCGAGACAGTCAAGGGTATGCTCCAAAATTTTATAACTTTAGTGAAGGACCGAGGATTTGTACCAAATGGAGGACGCAAATATTATTTGAACCGAAGTCAACCACCGTTTTTATCACTGATGGTTTATGAATATTGGAAGAAGACAAATGACACCAATTTTTTGACGGAATCCTTACCATATTTAGAGAAAGAGTATCAGTTCTGGATGACAAATCGTACGATAACGCTTGACAAAACGGATGGATTCAAAAATGCACATTCTGTGAACAGATTTTCTACGCCAATGGGGTACCCCCGACCGGAATCGTACTGGAACGACGTGGAAACGATGGAGAAAGCCGGAATTCATAACGGAACTGAAAGAAAACAGCTGTACGCCCATATAGCGTCCGCAGCTGAGAGCGGTTGGGACTTCTCTTCGCGGTGGTTTTCATATTCAGGAAAACATGCAATGGAAATGATGTCGATAAAAACACGGGACATCATCCCGGTTGATTTGAATTCCATCTTGTGTAAAGTTGAAAAATCCATTAGTGACATGCATGCAGCGAATGGGAACAGCGCGAAAGCGAAGCAGTTCGCTACAGCTTACCAGGGTCGAGTAACAACAATGAATGAAGTATTTTGGGATGAAAGTAAAAAGCAATGGCTAGATTTTGATATTAAACTAAAGAAAAAGCGCAGTGCATTTTATGTTTCGAACATTTCTCCCATCTGGGCTGATTGCTATGGCAACAACGCTTCTCGTGCAAAAGAGGCCATTAGATCAATCAAAAGACAGGGTGTTCTTGATTACCCCGGTGGTGTGCCGACAACATTGAATGAGACAGGTGAGCAATGGGATTTTCCGAATGCCTGGCCTCCCCTGCAGGATATGATGGAAAATGCGCTTAGAAAAGCAGGCAATATAACTGGAAATGACCTTGCCTTTGACCTGGCAAGGAAGTGGATTGAAACGAACTACCTTAGCTGGAAACAGACAGGTCACATGTACGAGAAGTATGATGCGAATATACGGGGAAAGCCCGGCCACGGAGGGGAATATGGAGTGCAAGTTGGTTTTGGGTGGACGAACGGCGTCGTGCTTCAGTTTCTAGATCGTTATGGACAACGATTAAAGGCACCAAAGTACAAACCACCAGATAGCAGTGCACCATACCCCAGGGTAGCTATCGAAGCTTTGCTAACACTGCTCATTTTAACGCTGATGCTGACAAATTTTCATTAGATTCTAACAATCAACTGCTGGCAAAATTATTACCTTTTGATTTCTACTTGATTATCAAATTGAAGGTTTTTGGTTCACCGCCATTCACCAATCACAATAAGTTTGGGAACTTAATCGACATTACACTGTTTATTGTCAAATTGAATGTATTTATACAATTAATGAACATAGCTTCTGAGATTTAGATTTGCAAAGTTAATAAAGATCTTGATCACATAAAGAAATTGCTAGTATGTTTTCGAAAACCTTTTAATGCTTCGGCTGCTTATATTGCTGCGCTTGGTGCTGATAAGCATACTGGTGCGCTGCGCATCTTGATGCTGCTGCACAGTCTGGTGGTTCTGTGCACCCTAATGAGGTTGGCGCACCCTCAATGGTTGTAAATCGATTCTATGGTTGGAGTTTCTATTACTTGGTCATGTTTGCAAAGTGAGGACCATTTATGTTTTCTTTAGAATCACCTTTCCTTTCCCTAAATCGTGACTTTAGAAAAATTTGTGATGTTGTTCTACGGAAAATGAAAGTTGTGGCATATTAGATTATGTCTAATCGTTGGCATGCATGAAGATTGAAAACATTTGACAAAATGTCTTGTTACCAGTACGAAATGAAAATGTTTCTGTGTATTATAAACTTCATAACAAGAAACTTTAAAATAGAAAAATGTGCTTTCACAAACTTTTCTTTTCAAAAGAGATTCATACATTTTAAAAATGTCTGACATTCGCGAAAATTCCTTACTTTTTAGAAATACGTTTTAGATAGTTACGGAACAAACACAACCCGAACTTTGTGCCGGTCAAAACAACTTTTAAATAAGATTTGAAAGGGAGTGACAGAAGCGAATAGGTGTTTAATAGTTATAACTTTAGAAGGGGGAGGGGAAGAGAAACAAGCGGATATCAGCCAGATGTAAGGAGTGAAGAGGGCGATATAAAAAAGAGGGACCCAAAAAGTGGCGAATCATAGAGGAACATGATAGAGAAAGCAAACAGGGAAGGGTTACACAAACTAGCAGAGAGGAACAAGAGCTGTGGTGCAAAGGAAAACAGGAATATGATTATACAATCATAGTTTCAAAATGGCAGGTCTAAGGGAAATAAGCGATACTTTGACAAAATTACAAAATTGCTAGTCGACACTCAAAATTGATAAACCTATAATTAAAATGGGAGTATTTATTCTGCTGAAAAATGCACATTAAGCACACCCGTTCATGTACTAGGTGATAAAACTTTCTCTGACGTTTGCAGACCAGTCTCAGAACTCCTAGTAATTCAAAAGTATACTATCTGGAGGCATTAACCGGCATAGTGAAAGGAGATTGGATTGCAAAAAATAACTAACGTGATTAAATTCAGATATTGTAGAAGTTTCTAAAAACCATGTTTATGGTGGAAATTTCAAAGTTAAAAAGGCGATATAGCCCTTTATCAAAAAAGGTTTACATTGTATTAAAACCTGCACTAAGGGTTCTGAAAACCTTGAGAGATCGTTTTCAGCATTGCATTTATCAAAAGGACGGACTGAGGAAGTCCACTGAACATTCGAAGATCTTGATTCAAGAATGTCTTTCTGACTCCGAATGGTGTATGACGTCATATAGACTCTATGCATATTCGGTGTGTTAGAGAAAAGCTATCTTTGATCCCAGTAGATACTTGAGAAATAAACTGGATCCGTGAGAGGAAACAGGAGAAGATAAAAACCAAGTAGGCCAAATAGAAATGTGGTCGCTATTGCTGAAAAATAGAAAATAAATCCCATAAACGTTTCTGTTGTCGTTAGTGACATTGATGAGAACAAGATAATCCTAATGATTCAGAAGTTCTACAACAAACAATAACAACTTATCTGTACTGCGCAAAACGGGGGGCTCCTGTCAGTTACAGGATCTTGAAAAACTCGAGTGTGTGCTATTGCCCTCTAAACGTTCTTTCAATTAAAGATTTATATATTGAAGGAGGAAAACATGGACCACATCTGAATAAAAACTTATGACTGCAAATAAATAAATATGAGTAGCTTTGAGAGAGCCCTAGAGACGAGGTCGAGATATTACTTATCTTCAATTTATTTGTGATCGTTTTTATTTATTCTCGGCGCGTTGCTTTCTTTTTAGGTTTCCTCATTTTATCTGCTTTTCCGCAGGTATTCCTTTGGAACCATTGAGCATTTTTGCTACAATTGTTTTAAATTTTTTACATATAAATTTCGTACCAAATATGTTCCTAGAAATTTGTCCATCTACCATGCCAACAAACTTAAGAAGTAGCCTTTTTAATGTGTAACATCGGTTCAAGGCTTTCGTTCTCACTTTCAAAGAACAGAACAAAATTTCTACCTCTACTATAGTTTTGATTTTCTTACAGATTTAAACGTGTTCAGCTCTCGAGAACCACTTACTACTAGCTTCTAAAACCAGGCAAAGCAACATATAAACGCTGTTTTTTGAAAAACTGGATTTTCTGAATGTAACTCAGTTGTTCAACGTAGAAACTGGTAAGATCTATACATAAAACTTTTCCTCCACCTCAACTCTTGACAGACAATTCCAAGATATTGCAGGCTACCCATCACAAATTCAGGAGTTTGTCTCCAGCGCTGTCCAAAATTGTATCTCATTCATCTGTCACCAAGATTTTAAATGAGGCAAAGCAAATTGAATTGGATTGTTATTCAACATAATCGTTGATCGCCCAAAACCTCTGTAAAGCAGTACTACATAACAGGTGGACACTTTTACAAGACGTTCTACTTACTTTTCGGGTACAAAGAGTGTGGAATCCTATCAAACTCAGGAAATCCCATGAAATTACAAAAAGTATGACACAGAACTGGACCAGCCAAATGACCTACAAAGCGATCATGATTATTAGCTACTTTTTAGTAAAATAGAACCTAGAGCAGCAGAGGGGACTAGGTTCCCATAAAACATTTTAAAATTGGCAGAAAAATTTACCCGAAATTAATGCATTTAACCAGTAAAATCTACAAATTGCTTTCATTGTAAGAAAAAGTAATCATTGCTTTGCAATATCTTTCATTACGAAAGCTACAAATTTTTAAAGTCAAAAATAAAAACCAATTCCTAAAGTATACTTTGTTTTTTACTAATGTGGAACTTCTTTACTTAATGATAAATGCAATATTAAATCAGCAGGAAATGTTTCTCTAAAATAAAAAATTCCCAGAAAAAACATTATTTTTGCAGCTATGATAGACTTTTTGGCAGCTATGTTCGCCATTTCCCTTTGTGATCCCTAATAATCAGCATTGTTCTATTAAAGTGACATGTGACATAAGGTCAGAGCTGTGCAAAGCGGAATAGTAATCAACGTATGATATATCAAAGGAACAGATAATATACAACATGAGAAAGATAATAAATTAATACCTGTTCTTAGAAATAAAAATGCAGAGTATGCGCCAAATATCGTTGTGTATCCCATTTGAAAAACTAGCAAAGAAACAACTCAAACAACTTACTTTCTAGTTGATGCTGAAAATACCAATGGAAAGTCGCTCATTTACAAACAAATTATGGATTCGAAACAATTTAGTATAAATAGTAAAATGCTAACAATAAATCATGACCTTCTGATATAATATGGCGTAATGATGGTCTGGAAACTGAACAATCCACTGAAAAAGCCCTGTCAACGAACCCTTGCCTAAACTGAACACTTTTTGCTGCTCAATTGTCGTTTCAATAAACATCTATTTTCCTTTGGTTTAGTTGACAAGATTGTCATGGTAACCTCTTTCCCAGAAACCTAGGGCCCGTTTTGGTCTACGTTCGCGTTCCCTTTATGTGCTAAATGTTTGTGAGCAAAAAATTCCATTTTCATTTAGTGAGAACATTGCTGTGAGTTTATTTAAGTGCAAATTATTTCGCATGGTAAAAATTTCGGACGCTCCTACAGTCCGGTGTACATATATCTATCTCGAAAACTGCACAAATTTTAACTGTATATCATTGTAATATACAATTCCAAAATGAGATAAATAGATAAATATTCTACAAGAGAAAAAAGGTATTTGACTTGATACCCTCAACACACCTGATCGTATAATGACTGAGCCCAGTGTCATCCCCATTCTTAAACCTTCAACTGCATGATGAACATGTGCTAGAAAACAAAGCGGGCTCTCGTTAAAAGCATAAAAGTTGTTAGGCTACAAAGTTAAATCAAACAAAAACCAAGCAGAAGTAAGGATGGCAAATTCATATGCTTCAATAAAAGAGAAAAGAGAATTCAGGTCATTTTTCCGCTACTAAAATTCAAGAAAACACTCGTAAATAAGTTACTTTTCATTAATACGTTATCAACTAACATAGGCTGGCACTACAATATGGCGGAGTTAAGAGCATGCCATCATAAAATTTGTCTTCCATTTTCATTCCTAGCCCACATACTGGAACTTCACCTCCAAAAAAAAATCAATTTTCCGCCTTGTTTTAAATTAAGAGCGACCAAAGGCGGAATTCATATCAAGAAAACATATAATTATGTTAAATTAATATTACAACTGTTTATATATTTTCATCTTAGTCTGATCGCAATTTTTCTCTTACACTTTAAGGTATAAACTAAGGGTAATCCAAAATAAAATTCTGAAGATCTTTTAGAAAAAAACTTCGTAGCGACCGAGTTGCAACAAATCACTTTAATTTCTTTTACTGTATTCTTTACACGATAAACGAGGGCCAGTCATCGTGGTAAAAAGGAAGCAAAAAGCTGCAAAAGCTTTTACTTTTATTGCCATAAAGTTGATATTTCATTCTATAAACCTATTCTACAAACATAAATAAAAGGGCAGAAATCATAAAAGATTGCTCAATATACCACACTGGAATTGCTAAGCAATCTAAGGAAGGGATATATGCTTGCTAATGAACTGGTTGTATATAAATCAATTTGTTTGGCCATTGGTTCACCCCTCCAAACCTCCCAACATCTCCCAACTACTCCCAATGTCTATCAACTATTCCCAACGTCTCGCAGTAGATTAAGATCATAGCCTCTTACCTATGCCGAAAAACAGCGGACAGAGGATAACTGATGCACGACATCCGAATGCAGGAACTAGAAATGGAAGCATACATGCACGAAAAACAAACTCCTCTGTGAATGGGGCCTGTGCAGATATTAAGAGGTATCAAAATCGAGGGATAATGAAAATCAAACAAAACAAACTTTAATCATTAAAAAATATCATAGATTCATTGGCCTATTAAGTAGGGTGAGGGTTGAGGACACAGCCCAAGTATATTCAAACTAACTCTGTGCTATCAGACAAATGGAAAAGTCACCCCTGAGCTCACAAAAACTATTACTAGGGTCTTAGCAACTGTCTTCGCCAAGGCATTGTCAAATGTACCAATCACTCATATCCTTTGAAAATTTTGGCATGAAGACAAAGGCTTCGCAACTTTATTTTGGATACAATAGTGAATTACAGTTAGGTGTCTAAGGAGGTGTTAAGTTTCTTTGTGCTAGCCACTCTTTACAGGCAGCTTCCCTGTAGCATACAAGCTTTTTACTGTCAACAAAAACAATGGGCGCTTTGAGCAAAAACCTACCACAATGTAATTGCGCCACCAGATTATGTCATGGAGAGATCTGGCTATCCGCGTTTTTAATGAAACCAATGAACCTAAAACAGAAAAATAAACAGACAACAGGTTATAAATTTTGCAGACATCATTCTCGAAATGCCTGGTGAAGGTAGCAGCAACTTCAATTACTAATGAAGATACACATTGTATTGCAAAGATCTTTAACATTAAGTTCTAATCACGGTTAAAGTTTCTTTATTATGGTGATATCTGTATTATCTTACGTAATTTCAAACTCAAAAATAATTTTTGCTTATGTTTTGAATAGTAAGAAATGACATTAAATATCAAATACAGATACCAGATTGCTTTGGAAAGATGAATGTTTACTGATCTTTCATGAAATTAATCAGAGAAGCTAGCAAAAACATGATTAGCTAAAACATATCAATTCATATTTAGGTTACAATTAATTGTTTTGGTATCAAATGAAACAAGTGAAATTGTTTCAGACCCTGTATTCAGAAAACACTGACTCGGGGAGACATTGGAAGGCCAGAAATTGAATATTTGTCCCCAGTAGCTCCAGTCTTTTAGATTATGTGGTCAAAGCTACACACCATAACCTTGTTATTCTATTGCAGTTCCAGATTGAGGATCTAGATCAAAGAGTCACAAGTTAAAGTTAAAGAGCACTCACTGTGTGTTACTTCTTCTTCCTCAAGTGTTTCAAGAATTAGCTGCATTATGGGACCCAAAAACAAGATCTGCAAGTTAAGAAGAAACATATAATGCAGTAAACCAATCTTGTAATTACCCCAGATATGTTTAATAATGTTCTTAATTGTATGTTAGATAAAGTTTTGATATGACTCTTGACATAAGCATAGTTTGTTCTAAAAAGTTTAGATGCCTAAATTTAATATCCCAAGTTTCCTCCCATTCAAAAAGCTATGCTTGCAGTTCTCAATTTGAGTTCATCTTGTGAAATGTAATTTTAGTATGTATACACTTCATCTGAGTGTGCTTTCTATTCTATGCATATAAAAAATTAAACAAGTCTTAACAACCACACTTGGTAAAAATTTTTATTGAAATTAGGTGCTATGTAAGTTTGGTCAGAAAAAAACATCAAAGCATAGAAGGATAACATTTAAGTTAATTGTGACAGTTTGAAATGAAAGTGGAATCAAAAAAATGTAACAAAATCATATAAGAAACCAATTCTGAAAGTAATAAAATGGAAAAGGACATAAAATGGAAGACAACTCCTCTTTATATGTTTCTTGAAGTAGGCAAAGCATAGGGAGAGGCTAGAAATCTTTTGTTCAGTAAAATTCAGAAAAATCTTTCTTACCATAGTTAGAGCCATGGGCAGCAATGATGCTATTAAAATTCCATCTGTGTGCATTCCAAGCCAGTGGAAAATGGTGTAGCTGGAATTCTTTGGAAAGTTACAGAGAATGAGCTTATAAACAATTCTTTGGAGGTTCAAGTCCAAAGAAATTTGCAGGTCTGGCACATACTGGTGGCATTCTGCCATCAACTTTCTCAATTGACATTCTTGTTGACATTTCAGTGATAAACATTAGTCTTATGTAGCTTGTATGAACAACACTATTTGTCTTAATTAGCATTCTTTAAGCAACATAGCAAAATGATACTAAAAGTATTTTTTTCATCTAGCAGTGGAAAACTTCTTGGTGGCAGCTTGAAAAATTTTAACAACAGAATGTGGTCATTACCACTTTCTAAAGGTGAGAAAGAATTGCAAAACAAGGCAAACGGTGATCAAAAAACGAACAAAAGACATAAATTGGTCAAGACAAAAACAAATTAAAGAATTGTAGGCTTAAATTGCCATTCACTCACTTCCAATAAAAAATTTTCAATAAAGAATATTGTTTCACTGATTCATAATATTACATTTACATTTACAATGTTGCAATTGCATTTTGTATTTGTTGCTACCATCATCCATAGGTAGCTTTAGGACAGAGAAACTATGATAATTGAGCTGTGCCCTGGTCCTTCCTGTCAATGTGACCATACCTTGATGCTCGGGATGATTTTGATGCTTGGATGTTTACTCATGGCAGGGACCCAAACCCTATACTTTTAGATATGTAATCCACAGCCCTACCGCTGAGCCAACTTCACTCTTGTTTACCAACTAGGGATAAAATAACAAGTAAGTGAAAAGGAATTAAAATCACAGATACCTGCAATGATTCATCTGCATCTTTACCCCATAAAAAAGCCAGCACCGGGGCAACAAGTGAGACAAAAATAACTCCTTTGAACCGCTTCCAAACAGTTACAGGGTGATCACTAAAGCACAAACGGAAATAAAATGATAATACCTTATTGTGGATTGATGGATTACATCCTAAACTGTTAATAGTTCATTGAACAAATATTCCAGGAATTAAAGAAAATTCTGAAGCAATTCTAAAAAAAATATGGTGTTGGGGGCTGCAACCCCTATAGGAAATATAGTGCCTTTTTAAAAATAACATGATAATATTAGATAATTCTGTGATTCAATGCATAAAAATCATGCTAAGTTCATCTAGAGGGGGTGGTCTGCAAAACAAATCTGGAGAATTTTTCAGAGAAAAATAATAGAATGCACTGTGGTAGAGTTAAAAAAGGGCATGGATTTTCTTTCCGACTACACCTATTTTACTTGAGAAACACCCAGTTAATCAAGTGTGCAAAGACAATTATAAAAAACATATATCGGGTGTGGAGCTGTCACATTTTTCAAACAGGAAGAATTGAAGTCGGTATCCCTTCAGTGGACAATATTGATTGTTGTAAAAGAGATGTGGAAAAACTTACCGTGGGAAAGGCGATTTGTTGACATACAAACTGCCGACATAAAGCAGTGCAAGTATTGAGCAGTATGCAACAGCATAAATTCTACTTGTTGATGCAAAATTTATTGGCCTAAGAAACTCTCTGAGAAAGCTTGTAAGCATTATTGCATTAGATGCGAAATAGGTAAACAGGACTTGTCAGTCTCCATCCGCTCTCCACTCCAACGAAAATTCAAGCACGAAACAGGTTAAAGCGAGGCAAAAGTCGTACATTAACCTCGTTTAGAAAATAAAAATTTACAATTTTAAGGGTTATTGAAAGTCGCGATAATATCTAATACTTAAATGTACGGAGTCGTTACATAAATATATTACTCTTTTGTCATTATTCATGGAAGTACAACACGCTAAGCTACATTGATTAAAACTTTCCTACTTCTTTTTTGTTACTTTGTTATATTCTTCTATTTTCGACACCGAAAGACCTCCGGTTTACATTGCTGGGGCCCTGTTTTTTAAAACGTTAGTTTGACAACGCTGTTGCATGCCAGAAATAAATAAAGTTTAAACCTGCACTACGTATGTTTATTATTTTAAATGCTAAATGAAATTAGAGAAATTTTGCTGTCCTTGTGTTATTTATGTAAGATGTCAATTGTTGTTGATTTTTACTTCTTTCGGTAGTCTTTTATACTCGAGCTGGACGCGATTATGAAAATAAAGACTTGTACCAGCTCTAAAATATATTGTTAAAAGAGTTGTTCACCTCTGAAAAGTGTCTAACAACTTTGACTGTCAAAAAATTATTGACAATATTTGGCATTGACTTCACTTCCGGGACATTAATTTACTTGGTCATTATTGATTTTTCCTTTAATTTAAAGGACACTTTCTATTGGTTTCACGTGTTTTTAGCTGATTGGTTGTTGTTTGTTATTTATTGATAATGGACTTATTTGTATAACTACCACAGTATACAATGGTAGTTAGGTTAATTCTATTCTGGATAATTTTGGTCAATTTTAAAACGACTTCCGTGTCATAACGCTATTCTGCTTGTCTGTTTTGTATTGTATTGTAGATTATTTAATGTTAGTTTTTACAATAGTGAATATACACTTATTAAGACTAACATGAAGCAATTTCAAGGATTGCATAAGACAGTTCATATACTGCAAAATGAGCATGCGCATTTGTTGTCAAGAAGTTTTGATCAAATTCTTTAATGGTCTAGTATTTTGTGCTGTTTTTATTGATTCCAGGAGTGAATTTCAGATTCTAGGCCCTTGAAAATTTGATGTAGTACAATTCAGTTAATGAGCCTTTTATTGCCATAGATATGAATCCATTGCCATATTTCATAACCTCATTCAAATCCTATCTGTTAGTGTGTACACGGTTTTATTACCTCTTTATTACCCAAGACGGTATTCACGTCTGCAAATGCCTTATCTTAGCTTTATAATAAAATAATATTAGTAATTGTTTCATTCCTATCAAAGTCTTCGTTAAAAATGTCTCGTCTTGCATTTTTATTTTTGTCATCAATTTTTGAAATCAATTTCCAATACCCTCTAGCGTGCTACTCGCAAATTTTGAAAATTTATATTTAGTTCCAAATTGTAAGATCTAGCTATTTTCCAAATCACTGTACTGCAGTCTAAAATAATTTTGAAAGTATGTTATATATCCTTCATAACGTAGCGTAGTATTGAATGAGCAGCCTACATAATGTATGTATATTTCGTTCTGACGATACCAGGGACCGCGCAGTACGCTAAAAGTGGGGCTGAAATGGGTGTGACCGAATTTTTTTTGAAGCCACGCCGTCTAGAACGCCGGAAAACGCCCCTTTTAGAAAATGCTTGCTTATTTCTATCGAATTTTTATAAAGAGTCTGGTTCAGAGAAGATATAAATAACCATAAAAATAGATAAAATTAGCTCGAGGGTTATGAAAAATCAAGCTAACCAAGTTAGAAAATACATCATATCATAAAACAAGATAAAACACCTAGAAAATGAACAAAAATGGTTCCCAGTCAACGAGAACTGCTACTGCATAGGCGTAATCTATCCAAAATTGTGTTAGAGTAAACTTTCAAAAAATTTTCTAGTCTATTATTGCAAAAAAGTGGGTGGGCTATAGCCCCTGCTAGCCCAATGGCTGCGCGGTGCCTGGACGATACCGAATGTTAAAAGTAAAGCGACTTATGTCTGGACTGTCGTCTATATTCTGTATGAAGGTTATAGTTAAACGGAAGCTTTTTCGTTCCTGAACCAATCAGGAAAGCTACCCAACATTCTCTGAAGTGACAAAACAAAGGAAAAGTTTTCTATGCGTCTCTCTTGTAAGGCTTTTCTTTATTTTGCAATAAAGCTATCACTGATGGCTAGGGTTTTTCATTTGATTTTTCTTGCTACGTGGTCAAATTTATTCCGTGTTTTAAGGGCCTTGGAAAGGTCAAGTTGGTTGTTTTCATTCTCAGTTGAATAAATCAGTGAAAATAAAGATTTAACGAGACCAGTCCAGGGCCTTGATGAATTTCTCAGAAAACCAGACAATTCCAGAAACTTCCGAAAAAAAGCTTCCTTGTTGCAAGCTATTTAAATACTAATCTAAGATATCTTTTTCAGGCAGAGCTGGGACAGGGATTGGTGTGGTGAAACCAACTGCTTTTGCTAGATCCGAACAAAATCAGACAGGATGCAAGGTAAGTTATAATATCTGCTAAAGATATTGGAATACTAAAATAATTGGCAACGTCGTATCTTACTCAAATCATATCTAAACAGTGATCTTTTGCGACAAGGACTGGTTTTCTATAATAATTCGTCGTTTACGATTTGCGGTAGAGAACATCCCCACATGGTAAAGCCATTTTTGATCACGAAAAAGTAAAGATTCGAATATTTGCTTGGTAAAAGGCTAGTTGGCTGCAGTCCATGAAACGTTAAAGGGCAACGTTTGAAGATTGCACCATTACTGAAGAAGAAGCTGATTGAAAACGTTCCGCGAAAGTTGTATTAGTGTATTGACCTTTAAATAAAACCAAGAATTGTCAGCTTTCACTCTGGCTACTCTACAATTACCCAGCTACTTCTTTCTGCTTTCGATTGCGACCCTCAGCTCAATGTTCACTCTGTCATGAGAAACTACGCCGTTGTGGCGTCTCTGCGAACTTGCTACCTCTAATCAGAAGCATTCTCAAAAACTGACAAAGAAACAGCCCACACTCTTTTGTGGTAAAACATCATAATGGGGGCAATATCTTAGACCTTATCTTCTTTTCAATCGATATAAGTAAGGAAGTGTAGCCATAAACTTTTCGCTGGCGATACATCATTCTTTGAATCACGATTTAAGGCAAAAGGTTTAGGAATAGTAATATACAAGTAGCAAGTGTAATTAGGGGCAATTGTCAAAATTTGCAGGGAGTATCGAAGTGTGAGTAGCGTCGATATCATTTCTACAAATTAGTCTCAAGGTTTAGTGAGGTCGTGCAATGATTAAGGGTGGGTTCGTCCAAGGGTTGAATTTGGGTTGTTCAAGGGTTGATGTTGGGGTCATTGAAGGGATTGGATGGGGTCGTCCACGTGTAATACGGATTAATACTTTGCTGATCACACTATTGTTATACTAGCACATACGCACTGTAAATAGTATATAAAGCTTTTCTATTGTAATGAGAGAGAGAGAGAGAGAGAGAGAGAGAGAGAGAGAGAGAGAGAGAGAGAGAGAGAGAGAGAGAGAGAGAGAGAGAGAGATAGAGAGAGAAAGAGAGAGATAGTGACTGGGTTGTAATCTAATTAATGGTGTTTGTGTTATGATATGATAAAAATGACAAAATCGAGCTTCCCTTTGGGTACACATGGGTTGAGGTTGGGTCATTGAATCCGAATGCCTCTACAGGCATGGAAAATCATGTACACCCAGGTAAATTGTATAAATGTGCTGATAGTTTCACCCTACCATCAGATCAGGAACTTGTACACTCCTTTTTCCTTTTCGTTACAGTTGCAGAAATGAAGGTTTTGTTTTTCTTCTGTTATGCTGTCCAACTTGCTATCATTGAAACGGTGAGTAATCTTTAGTGTTTACAAACGTTTTTATACAATAACTCTATTTCAAAGTTAATAAATAAAGAAAAGTTGTAGGACATGTTTTAACCCTTTCCTTTTAAAACATATCTTGACGTCAATACAGCAGCCGGAATTGCCATTCCCTTGCCCAACTTAGGATGAATCCCTCAAACCTTCAATAAAATGTTCCTATTTTACTTAGCGACCAGTTATTCAAGTAAAAGCCATACCAAGGTCTTGCCTTGACTTCCTGAAAGATGGGACAACAACAAATGGATACTACTCCATTGCGGGGCCTACCTGGGAATCTATCACTGTTTACTGCGACTTCACATCAGAACCAGGCACAGCATGGACGATGGTTCTCTCATGGGCACTTATAAACAATGGCATGTTTGGGGGAACACCCTTTTCTGCGGATTTGCCAATTAATGAAAGGGCGCCGAATTGGGTGGCATACAGGTTAGATATCTGTCTTTCGTGAGTGGTCACTTTTATTTAAAGATTGTAAAGATGTAAGGCATTTTAGAGGTTGGAAACTTAGTTTGCATGAAAGGTAGGGTTCGATAATACTTTCGGGAACTCAATCGTGGTTAAAATGTCACTTGAAATATGCCGAGCATGTGCCACTAAAGCAGTAAGTTCTACAGAACTTGAACAGTTAGCCCTGTTAGGCAATATACTCGAGCAAACATCCTACAAACAGTTTGCTTCTTTTAGGCTTTCAAAGGCTCAAATGCTTTCTATCAAAGCCCATTCTACCCACTGGCGGGCTACATGCAGTTTCAACACACACGGGATTGACTTCACCGATTATGTGAGAGCGAACTTGAAGTCAATGGATATAATGACCTATCAAGGCGCTGGAATGTGCAAGAATACTGAATACATTAACATTCGCGGAAAAGGAGCCCATCATAAGACCGCTAGGTTTTGGCAAGCGGGCACCGTTCTTCACCATGACAGTTACCATTCAGGTGATGCTTGTGAGTTTGGAGCAAGGCAAGGCTCCGTTGTGAGCGAAGACAATTTCGGAGCCTATGCTAACACAAACAAGAACTTCAGATGCACTGCAAACAGGGAGTCAACGACTCAATACTGGTTCGGTGGCTATATATAAAGGGTAGAAATAAGTTAACAAAATCTTTTTTGACTTCAGAACTCTGTCAGTTAGAGACATGCTCCAAAAAAATTCAAACAGCATAGATTATAACTGTTTTTCGTTCCTTGCTCCATTTCTACTCATATGAAACGGGAAAAATGATATGTGAGATTCAAGAGCGAATGAAGAATGTTCTACAATGCTTTTTGTTATAGGTTTACGATTGGGGCTTGAAGAAAAGCAGGCCATGTAGCCGGATCCAATCTGTTTCTGCCTACTTTAAGGCCCTAATTAGCTTTCGTTGTTTTTTAAACAGTGAGCTTTGTGGAAGGCGCCTCTGGTTTCCGATATTGATGGCAATAAAATAACTGAGTTGACGACAGAGATGAAATTGCAAGTAAAAAAGTCTGCATTTGCAATTCATAATAAGCAACATTGTATTTTCTAATTACGTCACTGTCACATTTAGCTGGCACTGTCTTGCTTTTCACCATCGTTCAATTTCTCAAGCGTTTTGCTTAGCAATGTATTAAGTCTACCGACCATCTCTCTTGGATCATCCAACAGGCCAGCCACGATCAGTGCATTGTCGAATACCTGTTTAAAAGAAGCAATTTTAAAATCAAAGTTCAAAGATTAACAATCAGTATAAAGAGGTAATTAGACAAAAAGCTGCAATGTTAAATTTTTACATTAAACACACCATAATTATCTAACTAAGCCCTTCTCTTGAATAAGCCCCTCTCCCCCCTCCCTTTTATAGGTTAGGGTTAGCTGTAACTTATAAGTAGTCGTATACGGTAAGAGGCGAAGAAAATAGTGTGCAACTTGTGTGTTGAGACTCAAAACTAACTTATCATAATATAATTACAACAATACATACTAAACACAAGCAACATAAATTAACATAGTAATGTCCAGCCTAATGACCACTTTTGATGGCAAAGTTAATGCAATGTCTACCAAGACAAGAACAAAAAGAAAACAAATTTATATAACTCGCTGTAAACTGCGTTTGGGTGCTCTACAAAGAAACATTACATAGGAGTACTCTGGGATTCTATTAATGGGAAGGGGGGGGGGGGATTACGCAGCAAATTGCCCAACAACACCGAATCTGGCCCGCAGTCTTAGATTCATTAATCCATGGTTGAAACACGTCATCATAAAATTTGTTACACGATAGAAGGGACGTACCAGGGACCAAGGGGCACAGTTGTTTTGTGACTTCCTGTTTGGTGCTAAAAGTAGTTTCACATTAATTGCGTTTTTAATTGAGGGATCTATTGACAAAGTGGCGAGACTAACACGTTCAAGAGCTGGGTTTTTTACATAACATCTTGAAATACGTACCTGGTTTGCCAGAAGTGATGCAACAGTTGGATCTTTAGTTTTCAAGGCGTCCATCGATTTTATAATCTCGTGGCTAAAAAAATAGCTTTTGTCAATACGAATTTAAAATTTATGTGATATAGAATTATGAACTGTGAACATGTTCTTATAAAACCTTTCCAGTTGCAGTTGGCCAGAGATTTATATCAAAAAGAAAATTTATCAAAACCCGTTACATGAAGAACAGATTTCAGCATGCCAAGAAAATAAAAATGGAATATTACCTTGGATTGATTTCTAGTGTTGCTTGTAACACGTCGTATCTGATCTTTTGCAAGTCGGCATTTGGACCAGTTTTTATAAACTTCAGCCATCGCCTTGCAGCGGCCATGTCAGGCACGGTGATCATTGCCGGATGGGAGGCTAGCCTCTCAGATACCTTCGAGAAAAAACAAACAACTTTATTCTTGGATCTATGATGGTTCAAAAATTGGTGAAGCACTAGGACATTGACCTAGCAATACTCTTCTTTAGCAAATAAACGTTCCGACATGCTTACTGATTTTTAGATATATTTCACCCTGGTACAAACATTTTTCGGAGACACAGAAATCAATTTTAGAAAATATTCCTAACACAAATGTTTGTTTTTCGGGGAAATGTTTTGTTTCAACATGACATGAACCAAAGTCTTCTTATAGCTACAGTATCATATCGAATCTACAGGCATAATTAGTCATACTTTTAAAGAACTAATTAATCATGTGGCAAACACAGAATTTGGCTGTCAACTTCCTAATTGCTACGTAACTGCTTGCCCAGCACATGGTTGTAAAGCAGGGCTCCATCGAAAAAGTCGCAGATGGTATCATGTTTTCTGGCACCTGACAAACAATAAAAGCCTTATAGTGACTCTGGTTCGTTCAGGTAACAACTTTCTAATTTGGATTTCGAATTGCACTTCAAAATCAACGACCAAACAAAATATTTGCTATGAACTTACTTTGACATTGAATACTTTCTCTTTACCCAATGTACTTTCCAGCCATTTCACAAGTTCTTTGCTTTCTTTCTCCGAGAGACGCTGTTCATCTATAAAAGAGAAAATTGAGCGAATCAGCCTGAACATAGTTAAAAAAGTAAATTTAGATCGTAGGTAAAGTTCAATAAATCCTAAATGATGCTAAAATTTACCTTGAAATTTGTTTCTTTTATGCATGCACATTATCTTTCGAGAAATTACCCAAAAACGTTTTGTGCAAAATTCAGAAAAAGTGGATTGAAGCAGAGTATTGATAACTTATACTAATTTACAAATAACTTTAACATAGGGTCTAAGGTGCAGGCTTCAAAGCATGAAACGTCTTACATTTACTGATACTGACAAAGAATTAACAACAATTGTCATTTTCAAAGCATTGTATCAAATGGCGTTTCAAAACAAAGTTCTTCGATGTCTTCGTATGAAAGTTTGTGAATGATGTTTGTTTATATCCTATGTAAATGTTAATTAATCAACAGGCATCATATCAACGGTAAATAATTGTAATGTGACATACGCTTTTCACTATAAAAATCTTACTTTACTAACAGGACTCATTCTCTATCGCTATAAATACAAAGAGCAAAACTATTTCAATTCAAAATAATGCTACCCACGGATAGAAAACCATAAAGATCCCCGTTTACCTTGAACTGCTTCATTTTCTTTTGATGTGCTTGAGCCAGCATTTGTAAGATAATTTTCAGCTGACGTCAAAGGCTTCTTGTTAAATTCTTTCAGCTGATGAAGAACGACGTCGTCATGCTCGTTGTAAGTGAAAAGCACCTAAGAAAAATTTCAAACTGTCAACAAATGATACAAATAACTTCACAAAGAATATTAGGGAGCACACATAGAGTGCGTATACCAAAAGTCCTAACTCTCGCCGACAAAAAAACCAAGCTAATCTTTCATTAATAAAATAACAAAAGACAAAAAGCATAGTACACGATTTCAATACTTTTAAAGATAAGATTTCGACATGAATGAATTAAGCATATGCAAAGTGGCAGAAAGTGAATGCAAAGGTAATGGTAAAAGCAAACCTCCACATCATCGCTTTTTAAAGCCTCAAAATATGGCGACGATTCTGCAAGTTCTCGACTGAAAAAGACACAGGAATAGAAATATACATAGACATTATTCAAGTATGAAAGAGAAAGATTAACAGGTTAGCCTAAAAACATTTTTGCCATGGATATCTGCTGCCACATATGTAATGACATAGATGGTAAAATTTGCGTAAATTTCCACATGTGTCTATAAAGAAAGTTTAAAAAGTTAATTGACAAAATTATACGTAGTCGACTTCCTTGAAAATAAATTTACTGCTTTGCTGTCTAAGAAATATTTTTACTGAGAACATCAAGTTTTATGGTGGACTTCTTGTTATTGGTTATCTTATTCAAAACTGGTGAATGAACATATTCTTATTGTTATTTGACGCCAGTCTCCTAATTGTTGTTTTGTTTTTTTCCAAGAAATCAGAAATCAAGAAGATATCTTCAACTTTTTATAATTACTTATGATAGAAAAGAAGAGCTGGCGGAAAGGCTCAAATAAACATTAACATATCTAAACTTAAACAGTTTTAAAAAAATTCTATGCCCTGTTTATGGAGAAAAAATTAAACGAACAGAACATTTATATAGAAATATGCTGAAACAGCTTTCTACTTTACAATGAGCTTGCAAGATACAATAGTTGTTATTACTTACAAGCTAATAAAAAGAGACATAATGGAACTTTCTATAATGGACAAAGCTAATCTACAAAATATCCATAACTCGTTTAGATATTAGCAAAGCTTATCATTATAAAGAAAGAGGCATAAGTAACCAAGAGCAGCAAATATGATTTTGAAAGTGGCTCGAATTCAAATGCTTCTCGACTCTTTTGAACTATGCTCGAACAATTTTTAATCACAAAAAACCAAAACAGCTTGGGGCTTACCAGCTTTGTTCTCCATTTAATCATAAAAAGCTTTTTTCAAAACATACCTTGGAATGCAAAGATAGAATATGCCTTTCTGGTCCGGCTTCATGTCCTTCACATACTGTGTTAAAGTCTTTTGAAAGCCTGGCTTTTCTTTAGAAGACTCAAATCTGAGTAGCTTAGCAATTTCCTCTCTTTCCTGTTGATTTTCTGAAGACACCACGCCTTCCCTTATGAAGATTCCATAATCCTTAAAGAATTTCTCATACTTGACATAGTCCTTCTTCATTTGATCCTGAAAGAATCTGGTTAGCTTAGAGCTGACAACCGAGGCTAGTTTCTTTATAAGTGCGCTATCTTGCAACAATTCTCTGCTTAGATTCAATGGAATATCTTCACTGTCAACGACGCCCTTCATAAACCGAAGCCATCCAGGAAGTAGATTTTCAGCTTTAGCTTGAATAAGCACTTTCCTTGAGTACAAACTAACGTTATTTTCCATTTTGCCGAATCCGAAAAGTTCTGGCGATGTTGTAGGTACATAGAACAGCGATCTAATATTCAAGGGAGCATCAGTTTTGTACACGATGTGATACCTTGGGGTATCCGAGGTATTGGTGATAAATTGATAGAATTTCTACAAAGGAAACAAATTGTATAGATTTAAAAATGCCAGGGATAAATAAAAAAATCAAAGGCAGGTTCCATATGACACAAATAATATGTATAAAATCTGTTGAGACTAATGAAACACGATGAAAAAATAACTTTCAATTATATGAAATTAGTGTTTTTTCCCTCTTCGGCTATCGGGAATTAGACAAACGGAAATGATTTTAGTTTTTTTGGGTCCTTTTCATTTTCTAGTCTTGTTTAAACATGTTTTTAGCCTTTTTGTTACGATTTGAAACTTGCTTCAAACAACAAAACAACACAGGAATAAACCAATCAACAAATTTATTATTGTTGATTATAATTTACAAACAAATATCGTACTACCTCGTGATCTTCATTTGAAATATTCCTTTCTTCAGACAGCCATAGTGCCTAAAAAATTGAATATGAATAATATGAAAATCCTCACAGGTTAAGAGATATTGATACCCACGACTATTCATTCATATTATTTCTTTCTGATGAAAATCTTTTCTGCTATAACTAGGAATGCCTTGTTTTGTTTGATTAAGGTGCCTGCAAAATGCTCCAAAAATTATGCCTGGGTGCGGTATGCCTATGCCAAATTGAGGTTGTATGTGTCGGGGAGTGTCCTATTGAAGTGCCATTTCCCTTTCCCAACTTAATTAAAACAGTGTTACAATGCAGAAATCGGCCCTTAAAAATGCTAGATAAAGTTTGAGAATTTGATTCCTTCTCATCGAGATTTTGTCTCACTTTAGCTTTCACTTAAGATATTTTTCAATTTTGTTCACAGGTTGTGCAGGCATATGATGAAACCTGACATTAAACAAACTATATTTAACTACAAAAATGAAATACAAAAATATGCTACCTGAACAGCATTCATTCTTGAGCCGTTTAGGAATATTGGGAATCCGACGAAATTGCTATATTTCTTGACAACATCTAGCAGCAAAAACGAAAAACTTAATGGACATCAGATATAAGAAGTTCCAGGTTAATTTCTTCTGCAAATTGTAGCTTTAGATTATCTATAAGGCTAAAGTAACTTTGTCATCAGTACAAAGTCAGTTGTAAGGCAAAAACTAGGTGTTATAACTTTGTGCCTCTAGCAGAAATTTTACTAGAAACCACAAATACATACAATTTAGCACGAAATCTGTAGCTTAACAAATAAGTCCATGTGCCTAATAAACTTCACCGCACCAAGGCGATCAGACAGGATCGTAACAGAACGGCAAGGTTTCATGACAGCTAGCTATTTGATAACATTTGTGGCTGTTCTACGACACACTTGACTTCATGCCATCGTCGCAGTCATAAAAAAGTTTTATAAAAATATCTTAACGATCTGATACAAAAATGTCTGTAATGAAAGAAGAGAAAATCTTGCCTTCTACAACAGATTTGATTGAGAATCGTGTGTCCTCTTTTTTCAGATGGATAATTATCTTGGTTCCACGAGATACACCTTCGGCTTGAGCTATTTCATAGCTTCCCGAGCTTTGAAAATTAAACAAACAGTGAAATAAAAATAGGATAAAACAAGACTAATATCCTTATAATAAGCGACTGAAGATCCTGTATAGTGGAAAATAAAGGACCACTGCAATACAGTATACTCTCGTTAAGTGGGACACTCAAGGGACCGAGCAAAAGTGTACTACTTTGTGAGCGTCCTACTTATCCGAATGCTTGAGAAGGGTAAGCAAGTTCAAAGGATCGGGAAAATCTGTACTACATAGCGGGCGTCCTACTTATCCGAAAGCTTGAGAAGGGTAAGCAAGTTCAAGGGACCGGGAAAATCTGTACTACATAGTGGGCGTCCTACTTATCCGAAAGCTTGAGAAGGGTAAGCAAGTTCAAGGGACCGGGAAAATCTGTACTACATAGCGGGCGTCCTACTTACCCGGGGTCCCACTTAACGAGAGTATACTGTATTAAGCAAATGAGAGTAAACTGTTTCATTTTGATTTTCTTCTCCACACTTTTAGAAAGGCAGCCATACTAAAAATGAATAAATGAAAAAATGGGGGAAATTTTTTTATAAAAACTATTCTATTAAATACTTTAATCACATTTTTATGTTAAAATTTTGGGAAATTTCGATATCGAAACTAGTCCAAAGATTTCCGTATAATCCTGACAAAGAATTGGCATTTCCAAACTTTTCGAGCGGTATGATGTTTGGGACTGTAGCATCTTACCCAAAGCCACAACAACCCCCCCCCCAAGTTAAATATGCGTACAGTTTCGCATGTTTTTGACCTAGATAATACAAAAGTACTTACCCATCAGAAGTCCAGAAATAACCAACGCTATTAGGCTTGCATGACTTGCTGTAAACATCTATCTTTGATCCAACCATAAAGGCTGAGTAAAACCCAACACCGAACTGACCAATGATGCTGTCTGTTGCTGACGAGCCTGAGTCGTCACCCTGGAGGTTCTTGACGAACTCTCGCGATCCAGATCGAGCAATAGTACCTAAGTTTGCAATTAGTTCATCTTTCTCCATGCCAATACCATAGTCTTGTATTGTAAATGTGTGCTTATCTTCGTCAGTCGTTAGATGAATCTCGAAAGGCAGCTCAGGGTCAGAAATGTCTTCACCGACCAACTGCTGATGACGTAATTTCTCTAATGCATCTGAAGAATTCGAGATGATCTCCCGAATGAACACCTGGAATAATTGAAGCTGCTATTAGATACTTTCCTATGAGTAGATAGATGAGTTAGCAACCTTGGACAACCTTTAATGTAGCACTTAAACTTTGCGGTACGTCAGGCTTATCTATAAAAGTACTTAGAAGTCCTTTAACTTCTGACATCAAGAGAGTGACATCAATGGCCATGTTACCAAGATAGTAAGATCAAGAGACTGAACATGATAATCATAAAGTTTACATTAATACGTTTTACCATTTAATCATCGCATATCCTGTACTGTTTTTCACATTTCGCCACTATATTCATCCTTAGCCACAATTGATACTTGACACAATAGGGCGGCAAGCAAACACCGGGAGAATGCTTATCTTTACGATTCCCCAGTGAGTCGCTGGTCAACAGGAGCTTTTTTTTGGTAAAAATTGTCGTTCAAAACCTACCTCTTTTTCTGAATAAAGTGACCTTGCAACTATATCGAGCAGTTGGCGAGTTTCCGCTTGAAACTGGTGTTTATCGAAAGGGCCTAAAATGAAAATATTCTTAATTCAGCAAGCCTTGAAGAAGCCCTAAACGCCAAAACAAAAACAGAGTAATAAAATCAAATTTCTTACATTGAAAGACATTTAAAAACATTGTGAATGGATTCAAAGATTCAATATACAAAAAACGAAGCTTTAAACCTTTCACCTGGAATATAAGAGTTTCAGACAAGTAATTCTTCTGCCAACACTTATGTAGGGAAGGGAACTTCAATCCAGGCATTTTTTCAGATAATTTTTTGCTTAAAAATTTTATGCTGCTTGTTTATTTATGCAAAAACGGTAGGTTTGTGCAATATACCTTGGATAGTCTCTTTATCAGTAATGACATGAACACTTCCGCTTTCCTGGTCTTTTTCCTGGAAAACAAGACATAACCTGAACAGATAGTCTCCTGTTCCTTACTCATGTTACGCTATCATCGATTAAACACTAAAACAGCTGTTCACAACGTTTGCTATGCTCCGCCTTGCTTATTAATGATTAGGAATGCAAATAAAACATAAGTAAAACAAGGCAAACGTCGATTATCTAAGGTCTATTCCCATCTCTGAAATCATCATTCTATACATAACGAAGTTCAAGGCTCTTGGAGGCGGTTACCCTCCTGGAAGGCTTGAATTGAAGAAGTTTTGATAGGTTCATTCCCCCTTCTAAGAAATACCCTATATTTACAAATCTGCAAAGAAATTATGTTCAAACAAGTGCATTTTGAAGTGATTATGGCACTTTTAGCATGTAAACAAAGATACAGCCAGCTTGCAAAAGCAATGAAAATATTGAAATACTTTAGAATGATGCAGCACTTGGATGTAAAAATATTTGAATCTGAATAATTATATAGCAGACTGAGGCTGATTGTGCAGCACCATTGGTTTTGAATATTGCAGGAGGTGCAAGTCACCTGCGTGTAGCAAAATGGATAAGCAAATACCTGACACACTTTTACTTATTGTGACCACCTGTATAAGCAGTGCCTACTGAATATTTGTTTTGGCTGTATGAAAACACATCAGAAAGCATAAGAGTTGCAGTTTTCTACTTTGCTTATAACTATTGGACAATGTTGTTTTGAAAGACACTAAGTTGGCCTTACATCGTGCTTTAACTGCATGTTTGGAATAGTGGGAGGAAAGATCAAGCTTTTTATTTTAGTTTCAAATGAACAAAGACAGGTAATAAGATTCTCAGAAGCATGAAGAGGGTAGGAGTTCCAAAGTTTGCAAAATCCGGGGATGAAAGATGAGTTTTTGGAGAGAGTTTGAGAATGTGGCAAAGAGACATGAAAAGGGTGAGCAGCAGAAGATTATCTGGTATTATGTGCATGTCTCTTTTTATTTGGTATTATGATTGAGCAGTGGAAGATTATCTGGTATTATGTGCATGGCATGGAACTTAGAATCATATATCTGATCTCCTAATAGCAATTTCAATGGTACAGTCTTTATTAATGTATATATGATGCACCGGGAGCAATGCATCTATAGAAGAGTGGTTGCCTAAAACATGGTTGCCTGAAAATTAGATGGTCAAAAGTCCTTAAATTAGATTGTTATATCAAAAATGTCTTCTGGCAATGTTTCAACTGTTCCAAAAAAAGGCTCAGGAAACAATCCCTTTTAAATAAAAAATATTATTTCTCAGTCTGAAAATGGTTCTAAAACACAAGGCATTTAGCAAGAAAACTCAGCTTGTGGGTTTTAAATTTTTAGGTTCCTCTTTGTCAGGATTCACTATAGATCTGGGCATACCTCTGGGATTTGCTATAGATACCAAGTTGGCCTAGAGTATACTTACATTAAAAAGAAAGTTTACAGCAACAAAGGAACCAACCGAATTCACTATTTGCAGATAACATAGCATGAACTTTAATGTACTTGCAACTAAATTTTCAGTTAACTCTTTATTCGAATATTTATGTTAATCATGTCACATGTCCCAAATCACGGTTAAAATACAGTCCAAAATATCAATATCATATTATTAAACAGATACTGATAAACATTTAATTAAGGAAAATTTTAATAAAATATTTATGCAAAATTGACATTAACAATCATAGCCTCATGTCATTCTAGTTGCCCCCATATAGTTAAATCAACAAGAAAATAAATTTACCCAAACTAATAATATGGCACAGAATTTGTAGGGTTCAATGTTGGAGCTTAAGTGTAAAATGAAAATAGAAGGAAAATATATGAAAAATTGAATTTGCTACATAAGAACTTGTCTTTTCCTGAATATACTGTGTTGCATGCAAAATAACATAATAATGTATTTTGATAAGATATTCAATCCACGAAATAACACTGGACAAACAAAGCAGTGTTAATCTTCATTTACAGATTGATTTCTAAATTTTCAAGGCAAACTATGTCTCCTTCAGCTCTTGGGACTGAGAATTTAGATATTTAGCTTTATTTCTTGAATTCTTGTCAAACCAAGAACTAACAAAATATTTGTGGATGATTTGGCAATAGAGTCCTCTTGATATATTTTACATTCTGGTTTTTCCATGAACAGTGAATAAAATATGGCACTTAAATTAAATGGAGGAGATGAGGGACTTAGTCCCCAAGTGATTCCATAAGTATACAAAAAACTGAAGACTTATTCATTTTTCCTTTGCTTTTAGTCATAATGAAAACTTTTCAAGCACCCCTCCCCCAATTTGTAGGTAGCTCCACTGTTCCTGTATTTGAAATGGCTTCAAATTAAAACAGACACATTTGAAATTTATAGACAAAGGGAGATTAGTGGGACAACGGATATTCATTTTGCTTCTTTGGTGGGTCAATTATTAGGCAGACTGGTATCCATCTAGTTCCCATTTTTTACTCTGATATTTGTTAATCTTAGCAATATCCTTGATCGCAGCATTTCTCTAATACCCTATAACTGCACTTAAATTTGGGACCACTATGGGTCTATTAATTGGACCAGTGTTTGTTAGCAAAGAACTACCAAAATGGTGCTCAAAATTTGGCAACTCTTACTGTGTTTTTATATCTTAGAAGTATTCAGTGTAAAGAGACTTGCTTGATGGGAATAAAACCACTTCTTCTTAGAAATTAAGACCACTAAATTTTGTACCTAAAACATTGCTTCTTATACTGATTGAAGCGTTTGTATAAAGTAACTATAAATTAAGCACATAAAACATTGGTACTGAAAATCGTAAACTTTGATTAAAGAAAATCAAGAGCATTGAACTTTATTGAAGATGAAATTGAGATCACAAACGTTCTGGATCAAAACTGATTTTGTTTATCATGCTCAGATGAAGGGTCATCTGGAGGAGATTTGAAACCGTCTTGTGCTTCCAAAGGACCCTTGTTGCGGAAGGCATCAGGCAGTATAGTATTATCATTTGGATCCGGATTGGAGCACATCTTTAACCAAAAGTCCTCCTCCTGTTTGCGAGCCTTCTCAACCTGAGCATCAGTTGCAGCAATTTCCCTATTGTCTCTCTCCTCATCATTTACAGAAGCATCATTTTTCAAGCCAATTCCACAATTTTTATTCTACAATTGAGTGTAATCATATAAAATGCATTCAGTTACATAAAGGCCATATTCCTTCAAGGCCAATACGTGTATGACATACCAGGCTGATTGAATACCTTGGTACATATATTGGACAAGGAATGCTGCTTGTATCATTTCTTTATAGTTTGAGCATAAAAGATCCTGACATAAAGTCTTTTTGGTTTATACTATACCTGATATATGATATTTTGATTTGACATGAAAAGATGCAGTGGTTCTCAATGCAACATGAGAATGACATCTGAACATTCTATTAAGCTGTTTATTGAAACTTTAAAAAAATCATATGAACTGCAAAAATATTAATACTCATAAAGCAAGAGCTATATAAAAAAATTTATTATTATAAATTGAAATTGAAAGTTGGTAAAATATCATGAGTTCTACTGTTACATTTTTTATTGCACTTGCACCAAATAACCAAATTCTAATACCTCCTCAAGAATCTCCTCGTTGCTTGAGCTCATACTTCTAGTTGCTAACCTGGTCCACTGATTTGCTGAAACAGTTTTAGATAAGTATGTTAACAAACTGTGCAAAGTCATCCGTTTTTCATGTAGGGAATTTTTTGAAAAATCAAATATTTGAATACCAAGCTTTTGTACAAATTGAGTAGATCATTTGAACAAAAGTGAACTGGAAAGATCATTCCTTTCACTTTGAAACATAACAACTATTGAGATTGGCTTTGGTGCATTTGATAACAATCTATTCATAAACTGGGTAAATATATGGATGGTTCAGATTGTGATAAAATATAACATTTGACAAAACATGAAAGGTTTATTAACTTACTTACGATTGATAATCAAATTTACCTAAACTTCTTTTAACTCTCATGAAGTCACCCAAACATACTTGGCAAAAAAATTGTATCTAACAAAAAATTTATTTATGGGGGGCTGCTCTCTCTTGATTAGTTCACCTACTTGGTGAGCTCCTCCTTAATCAATCTACCCTATATACAATTTATATAATGTATTTTCCTTTACTTTAGTGTGTTGTTCTGTAAGCCTTGATGCATTAAATTTTAGTCTTGTATTTGTATTTAATTGTATTGTTAATATGTAGAATTGCAAATAGGTTTAATTGATAATCAAATGCAACCGAAGCTGAAACTTCACAAACAAAGGCAAATCCATTAACAAACATATAACAAAAAACACGAAGACAACAAAAACATATAATTAGGATACTATTCACATGGAACTTAGCAGCTACATGATTAAGTTACCACATTGTTTAATTTTGCCAACAAAACCAATTTCACTAGGTAAAGATTGACGGGAGACTGACTCTCCTGGCGCATAATAACATTGAAAATTTTCAAGAAATTTTTCAGGAACAAGCAAAAGTAAGTAACAATAAATTCCATTACCGATTCTATCCCATCTTCTGCTAATAACAGACTTGTTCCATTCAGATTTCGTTAAACTACTTGCGTGCTTTATCTCTGTAACAGCACTGAAGTCTCTCCTGAGTCTCGCGTTGAAACGTGAGGGGCCTAGGCACCCACATATTCGTCTTGATGCAGAAATGTAACGTGAAGATGTGCCGCATGCTGACGACCGAGAAACGGTATTTGCCACAGCAGAAAACATTTTCGCTACAAATTTGTGCTACCAAACAGCAATAACTAGTCGATAATTTTCTTCAAACTGAGTCGTGAGTTCACGGCCATGTGACATCGGAGCCGCTGGAAACACAGGTTGGAAAACTGAAGTACTTCATGTAATTCAAAACCAGGAAAATATCACAAATCTTTTCCGCTTGTTTACTCCCCATGGAGTGCCAGTTTCAGGAGGGGGTGTTTCGGTTTTACTGTTACGGGGTTTTGCCCGTATTTTGACTCGGTTTTTCGGTTTCTGCCTTAAAATCTATCGGTTTTGTGGTTTTAAATATTGCCACGGTGAACGGTTTTTGGCGTTAATTGGGTCGGTTTTCCAGTTTGTATGGCAGAAATGTATGATTTTCGGATTTTCGGGTGAAATATTTACGAAGAGCATTGTCACCACAAGGCGCGAGAGGTATGATAAACAAGATAACTATGTACAATTTTCAGAGTGATTCATGGAATGGTCATGAAAATAAGGGTTGATGCATAATATTCCTTGGCTAGGGAATTTTCAGAGGAAGATTCTACAGACAAGACAACTGCATCTCCGTTGGTAACTACTAAACTGGGTACCATTAAAAAATTCAAACGATCAATACATCAATACATCGTAAATACTAATGTTGTAGACATAGCCGTGCATAGCGGTCTTGGCCAAGGGGCAGTTACTTCCAAGAAATTTTCAAGGCTGGGGTTTCAATACTGTTTTAATGATCTGTCTTCACACCCTGTTTTGCATATGAAAATACTCAAACAGTTTACTGAAACTTTTTACGGCTTATAAAAATTCCTCATGGATTTATGCTTCATGAAAATCAGTAGCATAATAAAGGGTTAATTCACATTGCAAAGTAAGGAATTTGCCCAACCAAACATCAACTAGCTTTTTAAGGGGGGGGGGGGGCTAAGCCACCTTAAAAAATCTTTTAATTGTTAAAAAAGTGGCTGAGCACCCCCACCCCTCTGCAGCAACACTGGTTGCACCAGATTTTGTTGTAAGGCTTAATTTCAATTGTAAATGAAAAAAACAGAAGTCTGCATCTGAATACTAAATACAAAAACGATTAAGTTACAATTGAATTCCTTTGCTTAGAAAAATTGTAATACAATTATGCATTTAAAATTATTCATCCCTCAAATACATTTAGACAACAATCCACAGATATTTGCCTACTATAGTTGCTATTAAGGGGACGGGAAAGAGTAAGTACTGGGTGTCATACAAGACATGGATCTCTATGGATTGATGTCATTTTAGTAACTAAATTTTCATTACCAATTGCTACAAGGGGACTTTTAACTTTTGCAACATAAAGTGGGTGTAAAAGGCCTCAATACCGATTTGTAAAAAAATGGGTTAGAAATTATTTGGAAAGTGCAGACCAAATTTGTTAAATATTGAAAAATGGAAAATGGCTTGTTACAAATAAGGGTCACCCTAGAGGGCTGCAAAAATCTGGTGTCTGGGCACCTAACACCAATTACCAGCTCCTTTGACTCATTCCAAGAGAGACAAATGAAATTTGCTGATAAAGTCTTATGTCCTTGAAGTAGCAATAGGTATTGAACAGAAATGCAGAACTGGAACCAATTAATTCTAGAAGGGGCTTTTACATTTTCAAAGGCATCATTTTACAAATAGGGCCAAAACAATCCTTAAACTATGTATGAACAAGTAGCAATTGTCACCAGATCTGCATTGTAATTCATTTCTAGAATCTGGCAAGAAGTTTACCAACGCAATAAGACCATCTAAATTAGAAAGATTTACTTAAACATAATGAACGATATGGGTATGGGACTTAATTTATGCTGACCTTTTTAAAGTCTGTTTCCTATTAACCATATCAGCTGGAGAAACAAGCCATTTCCTCTAATAAAAAGGAGGCAATAACCTATTCTCTTAGAAAAATAAATTAATTCCACTTTGGATAGAAAGGTAATTCCCCCCCCCCCAAATTAGCATATTGAAAATGTCCTGCTTTGCTAAAAATAAAACCTTACTGCTACCATTCACTAGTGAATGTCTCATGCAGGAATGATATCTAGTAGATTTTAACATACCAAATGATTTGGTATTATACTTCAACAAAGTCCTGCAAATAAACAATAACTCAGATGTGACAGATTCTGGAGGGTAATCTTAATGGTCGATGATAGTTTCTGGAGGGTAATTCAAAGGCTATGAACTAAGCTCCATTTGACTTGGAACATCCCATATTTTACAAAAATTATTATCCTTGGAGCAAAGTACATGAACATTTGCTATTCTACATAAAACTGTATGTTCATTGAACATTGGGATTCCCTTTCCCTTTCTTCAAATTTACTTTTAAAAATTCAGGTCTGTCATCTTCTATTTTCTTTGCCTTTTCAGCCTAAAAAGAAACAGATTTTTATAACTAACATAACATTGGGTAGTTGAAGAGAAATAACATGGAGACAACTAATTTCACATGATGTAATTGCATAAAAATTTAACCATTAAAAGCTGATAGATATTAAAGCTATTGGCTCTTCTTGCAAGTGTACTGGACGGGAATGATAACAAATGGGAAAAAATAAAAGCAATTTGGGTTGAATCCCAGAAAGTTTCACAAAACTAACCCTTTTTCATAATCTGAAACTTTGGCTTTGCTGTTTTCTAAAGGACTACATATAAACTTCAACTTTTGATATTTTCCTCTAAAATATTGCTAACATATTTCTTTAAAATATTTCTTTTGAAAAGGGTAGAATTGTCTTTAGAGGATCCTATGCTTATTTCATATACTCAACTGAGCACTTGCCTGTTCTATTTTTTCTGATCTTGACTTTAGTTTTGTGCTGAGTTCACTCTCCGCTACTTCCTTTGACTCTTTGCGTTGCTGTCCTTTGGCCATTATCTCGTGATGTTTTGCCTTAAATTCAGGTCTTTTTGCCTGAAAATCCATTCCCCTACAGCAAAGATAATTTTTTCAAAAAGCAATGAAATTCAACTCTGTGCATATAACTATTTCTGTTATGAATACCAATACCTTAAAGCCTCAATGAGTGTCCTAGCATAAAATAAATGTTCAAGCTTTCTAACTTGTTGCAAATAATTATGTTATAACAATACAGAATAATATTTTGTATAAATAATAATTTACATGTTTTATTTCAAAACACCAACTCTCCACACTTCATAAAATAATAAATATACATTTTAGGGCAGTGGTGGCTTGCTGCTTAATACAGTTTTTACTTTAAGACTGAGTATTTCATCTATTTCCATATTTCAACACACAGGAGAAGGTGAAATCAAATATTGGGACATTGATACACTGAGGATGAGGATATGGGCGTAGCAGATGCTAAACATTAAGAGGGGGCTTAAATATGGATCTTGCCTAAATATAATTGCTTTATTGAGATATAACTGCCCAATGAAGCCTGAAATCAATAAATTGCGCATGATTGGGGGGCTAAAACCCTCATAGCCTCTATGTCTTCTGCGCCTATGCTGAATGAATTTGATATAGAATTTGCATAAGATTCAAATTTCTTCCAATATTTGGGAAATATTTGGCTGTTCGTTATACATATATATTCATAAGACCTTTAACAGTCAAATGCACATCTTTTTGCCCCATTTCCGCTACAATTTACTTAGTGTTTGAAGTAAATCGAATTTCACTTAGTGTTTTAAATAAAACACTTTATCTACTATAACTTATCATATTTATCTTTTGGTATGTTTTATGACAGGGCTAGGCCTGAAAAGAGAAAAAATTGGAAAAGCTTGCATGTACTCAGTCCCTATCACTATGGCAGCAATTCTTGATAAAGCCTAAAAACTAAATGCGTTCGCTATCCGTTCGGCTGTCGAGGTCAAATAAAACAAGCACTTCCTTGTGCCGTGCTGAGCGATAAGGAACCTTGTTGAAATTCTTGTACTTCCTTGATATAACGGAAAATATTATGGCGAAACAAAAACTGGCTGTTGGATTCTTTAAACAAGTTACCCATTCCTGTTTGATATTAACATAAATATTAATCCAAGCGCAAAAATCTAAAACATAGGAATATTGCTGGGGCTAGGTATATGTAGGCCTGATGAAATAAGAAGTTTAAAACATGACAACCAGATCAAGGATATTTGCGAATGATTAAAGTTTACCTTTTCTGCATTATTTTTAGGTCTCTTTGTAACTCTTTTTGCTCTTTAGACATCATTGCTCGAATTTGTTGGGGGCTCAAAGATCCATGATTCTCATCTGAATCATAATCGACATTTTCGTTGCTCCCCATCGTTGTAACGGTGGCAGGATATCTGTTGCGATTGCTGCTTAAATTAACCTCATCGCCTGTGTCATAGTCCGGTTCTGGTATGTCGTAAGCTGCAACAGAACAACTCTGATTTAATCAACTTTATTGTGGACTTAAATGGGCATATGTCACGCTGGGTATGATCACTCTGTGGTATGATGCTCTCTTTTCTGTGACGTCAATCGAGAGTCCTCCTGAGGATTGATGCCATTGATTAGTGATTTCATGGATGAGTTCAATCAGGAATGTTGTCGAAACAGCGCTTATGTTCGGTAGCCTTTGTTCCAACGCTCGACAACGCTAATGTACGGAACAATCGGGGACGGATTGAGCGGGGGGTGTATAGGATAACATCAAGATTTAACTTGTCTGAGAAAAGTGCCAATATTCAATAGAATTAGTACCTTAGGGGAGAGACTTTATATTGCAGACAACATCAAGGCGTTTTTAGAGACTGCAAGCAAATGACTGCATAATAATTATTCTGAAATGTATTTTAAGCTTATCTCAAGGGCGTCGTCGCAAAAATTTTCCCTCCTCTATACCTCCTCTATAGCTCTAGAGAATGTTCAACAATGTCCCTTCGTTTTAGGGTTTATATAGAGAAGTCCTTCACGTTCTTTAGATATAACCGATAAACTAAAATGCCCAAGTCATAAAAGGCATTTGGGGGCAGATTTAAGTAAGGGTCAGAGTTCTATCTTTTTCAGCGTTTTTCAGCGTTTCCCTGGAAGAGCAGCTGCTATAAGATCGATTACTGTGCATAATTTAACTTTAACTGTAGATAAATTATATTAATGTAACTAGGGTATTTATTTTTTTATTTGGTATTTAGTTATAAGCTGAAGGAATTTTTGTGTATAAAGAATATAAAATGAAAACTGAAAATGAAAATGAAACTTGTTAGCTGTACGATTTTTCATACTGGAATCAAAATCTGCATGGTTGAGCCTGTTTTGTGATTTTAGAGCCTCCACTATAAAAACAACGACGAAACCAAAACAGAAAGTTTAAATTTCTGTTTTCATTGACAAATTATAATGATGACGATGATAATGAGGTTGCTTTTAGCCGGAGCTGATTTACAAGGGGCCTTCCGTATAAAAACTCTAACTACATTCAAATATATAAAAATCAAATTAAATACAATATTAAGTAAGTAAAATTTCTAAAAAGCTTACAATAATATTAATAATTATAAAATGAATTATAAAGTAAGGAAAGTCGTAAGCTCTCTACATAACACTCAAGCCAATAAACGATTTACCGATTACTAGCGCCATTATGAAATGAGGGAAAATTTCACTCGCCCCAAGCTCCTGAATAAAAACAAAAATTTACCAATTTTCAACCCTCCGATTTTACACCAAAACAAAGCTACTTTTACCTAAATTCTAGTGCAAAGTAATATTTAATCACTAAAGTATGTAATAAATACTTACTTACAACGATTTATTTTGTTTTTTGGTCTTCCACTGCCATAATTGACGACGAGGTACAAACATCCTAAATTCATGGTGTTCCCTTTGATCGGGAATATTTTTTGGCCACGTAGGCCCAGAACGTCCAGAAAACGTTTAAATGAATCCTCTTGAGTTTGCCTCTCAGTCAATATACCTCTATTAGAAATAGGCATCAGATTGGCTGAAATACAGAATGCCAAAGATATCCCCTTTTTGATCAGCTGACTCGAGTAAATGCGTCATTGAAGGCGTGTTTTCCCCGTGAGTGCGTGACTCAAAGTTCTCTAAATACGCTATTCTATGCAAAAGAATGTGTGGAAGAAAGCTTCCTTTTCCGTTGTATTTCCAATAAAATATTTTAAGTGGGTGTATTGGGTATTATGATATTTTTACTTTAAATTATCTTGCTTTGCTCTATGAAGATTTATACTGAGTTTTGCAAAAGTACGTATTACAAACATCAACATGAGTAAGAGAAAGGAGATTTGTTGTATTGGAAGCTGCAATAATAAGTCTTGGCTTTCAGATAAATGGTGTGTGAGGGGCCACGTTGAAAATTTGAAATTTCATGCTTTTCCAAAAGATTCGAATAAATTTCACCAATGGGAAAATGCAGTTGCAAAGGGCCGCGTGTACTACAAGATTGAATTTCTGTTTCAGTCAGCTGACAAGGGAATCTGACGTTCGATTTTATACTGGCTTTAAATCGGCAAAATTGTTTCAAGGCATTTTTGAGCATCTTCAGCCAATTGCCTCGCAAATGAGCTACTGGAGCCCATTCAGTCCTTTTCTCAGTATAAATCTTCATAGAGCAAAGCAAGATAATTTAAAGTAAAAATATCATAATACCCAATACACCCACTTAAAATATTTTATTGGAAATACAACGGAAAAGGAAACTTTCTTCCACACATTCTTTTGCATAGAATAGCGTATTTAGAGAACTTTGAGTCACGCACTCACGGGGAGAACACGCCTTCAATGACGCATTTACTCGAGTCAGCTGATCAAAAAGGGGACATCTTTGGCATTCTGTATTTCAGCCAATCTGATGCCTATTTCTAATAGAGGTATATTGACTGAGAGGCAAACTCAAGAGAATTCATTTAAACGTTTTCTGGACGTTCTGGGCCTACGTGGCCAAAAAATATTCCCGATCAAAGGGAACACCATGAATTTAGGATGTTTGTACCTTGTCGTCAATTATGGCAGTGGAAGACCAAAATACAAAATAAATCGTTGTAAGTAAGTATTTATTACATACTTTAGTGATTAAATATTACTTTGCACTAGAATTTAGGTAAAAGTAGATTTGTTTTGGTGTAAAATCGGAGGGTTGAAAATTGGTAAATTTTTGTTTTTGTTCAGGGGCTTGGGGCGAGTGAAATTTTCCCTCATTTCATAATGGCGCTAGTAATCGGTAAATCGTTTATTGGTAAACTTTATACTAAGAACGAGGAAGTTAATGCGGAGGCTATGCTTTTGTCTTTTGGATAATTTAAGACTCGGGTCTTCTAAATTTTGTTCTTGTACCAGGGCCTCCGATAAAAGTGGGCCGGGGGGGGGCTATGGTCCTTTCATCTTTTTGCAAAACGAAAGAGCTTTTTTAAAAATCTGTTGTAATGATTGTTAAAATCTCTCTTGCCTCTCCTCCCCACTTTCCAACTTGCGTCGGACGGAGCCCATGCATACTATAAATTGTTTCACAGGCCACTATAAGTGTTTTGCGTTGTTGTTTAGCTGATAAAATCTCCTCTATTTTGTTAATCTCCTCTATTAGCCCCTTAGTTTAATCTACGACCATGACAACAAACCAAACTCAGATTTTGGGATAGTTGGAGGGTCATGGTAGCCAACCTTCTGATAGAAGATGGTACCTGCTGATGATGATTTTGTTACCAAGAGATAAAATAATCAAAAACACAATGCTTTTCTAAGATAGTCTATGCACGGCAGCGGTTTTAGGGACTGCGGGGCTCTTGTTCTTTACAATTTCTATTTCTTTCTTAGGTGCAAGGCCCCTTTAAGCTACCATAATCACGGGGCCTGGGGCCATGGCCCTCCTGGACCCCTCTCAAAACCGCCACTGGATGCGATAAGAATTTTTTCATACAAACCATGGGGCAAGCATCAAGAGCGGATGGATGTAATGATGAAACTTAATATACCTTATCAGAAGTATAAAAATGTATATAGAATGAATGTCAACCGATATGGACACAAATAACAAATAGAAGTGTTTAAATTATAGCAGTGGCATTAAAAGGCAACTTACATGGTTTGCGTTGATGGATCCGCGATGTCAGCTCGCATAGACCATCCATTTCGAAATGTTCTCTCCCTGTAAGGAGATATTGGCAAGTGAGCAACACATGTTTTCACGCGCAAAAGTATCTCCTATCACCAATAAAATTGATCCCAGCGCTTCTTTGGTCAACCAGGGATTAGTTCGTTTGAGGGAAAAATAAATGATGTGAGCCAGTTCTTGTAAGGACTTGCGTAACTAACCTGATGTATTCAATGGGCTTTATTTTATGAGCTCTGTCCCGGGGGCTAGGGCAGGGGCTTTGCAAGAAAAAAGTTCACATGGGATAAACAGTGTTTGCCAATCAAAACCTTCCCTTTAGCCAAACAATTATTTTGAAGAAGTGGAAGCTTTGGGGTCACTGTGAACCATTCTAGTGAATATAAGTTATATCCACTTACCCTGAGTACCAGAACAACATAAATCTTAGCCTGTGTTCCAGACCTCTACTTTCAGGTTAGGGGTCTGGCCCACAGACTACAACCACTGCCAAAAGTACTTGGAACATCCAACACTTTGCACTGTGCTTTTCTATTTTCATTTGTTTTCCCGAATACTACTACTTCAGCCCCTTTCCCCCAAAATAATGTTGAAAATATCATACAGCATACAAGCCACAAGAAAAAGCGTACTCCATAAACTCTTTCTTTTTCTATTGTAAGTCACCATTGGTCCTAGGGGGAGAGGGGAATGGCGGAATCTGCATTTGAAAACTGACCTTAGTGTTCCAAGACAGTAACTGACTATACATAAATTCTGGTATGGAAAAGCAGAATAGAGTGGAGAAGCGAAGGACCGTCTCTCAGACAGATGCAGTCAAAAAGACTACCATTTGAGGGTAATTCTTTGCACTTTTGCTTTGGCCCTCTTTAACCCTGACCGGAACCCCTTATTAGGTCATAATGGGAGTGCCCCCGGGGTCTCAGCCGAGAGTCTGTTTGAGGATGCGCAGCAGTGCTTCCACAGAGTGGGAGCCGAATTTCCTTTTTCCAGATCAAGAATTTCCTTAGATTTTCTTAATTCTGATTGGACGAATTTCAAAATTTCCTCAGAAATTCATTTTTCATGTATTCTATAGACACCAAAGGCTGGAATCTACCGTATAAACCACCACCTTTGAAAAAGCCCCTTTTCCTGATCGAATAAGCACCAAACCAAAATCATTTTTTAAATAGGCCCCATTGAAAAATCCTAATAGAGGATTAAGTCAAATTCAGTAATAGACTCCTTATTGGTATTTTTATCAGATGTATCGCAGTCGTCACCAATTCAATTTAATTTCGAAACATATGACTGTTCTTACTATTTTCGATTCCTGACCAACATCAAATAAGCAGGAAAAGTAGTCTTGGTAGCATTTTGTGATGTTGCTAAACAAGCCTACTTTCAAATAATGCCACACCTTGAAATATTTTTTAGCGAAATAAGACAAAGGTATCTTCACTTAGATGAACAATGCCACCTAATTTGGCGTAAATTTTTGTAGTATTTACCGGTAATCATTATCTGAACATGTCTGCAAAATGCTCGTCGACTAAAATGCACAAAATAAGTCTGCCAAAATTTTTGCAAATGATACTTTACATGATTCTGTGGCGTAAAAAGCGACAATCTATCTGCATTTCTAGTTCAAAACTTTCCCCAACGATTGTGTGGATGCCACAAAAGATACTTACTGTGCACCAATAGCATGCAAATAACATACTTATGTTAAGCTGGAAAATATAGTATCACAAAAATCAGCTTGAAGTAAATTTTTATAAGACACTCAAAGATATAATAAAATCACCATCGCCAAACAGTAACTTCTACCGCAATTTTTGTTGTTTGAAAGATCGAAATTTCCTTAAATTTCTTTGAATTTTTCTGGTCCTGAAAGCTTCCTTAAAATTGCTGGATGTGGTGGCCACTGCCACAAAATACTACAAACACAATTTTTATCAGACATTTTCATCTTTCATCAACCTGTCAGTTTCACTATTCTTTATGTTTTTAACTCAAGACAAAATTAGTTTTTAGTACAACCAGTCATACCCCAGATGCAGACGTGATTAAACTTTTTATATGTTCTTTTTCCTTCTCCTTTAGCCTGCTGGATTCTTTTTCAAGAACCATCTTTTTGAAGTAGCACAGCAACAAAAATTTTTAGAATCTTGAGAGCTCTTTAGAAATGATGCTGTTATTTAACATGCTACAATATACAGCATAATAACAAATTGTCATTACAAAATTGCGAACATAAAGCCAGTAAATGTAACTACAACTTCCGACATATCTGTAACATGAAGCGGTTGTTAGTCACTACAATTCGTAGAGGTAGATGTTTGTCATTTCAAGCTTATATTCCAAATCTACTAGCGAAACCTTAAACAGAAACACTCACTCATTGGTTTATCAATCTATTTGTCAGCGGTGGCCTAAATGCACCGAACTCTTATCTCCTACTATCGGTCCAAGTAAATCTGGAAAGAATTTCAGGAACAATATTTAGTTACCTGTAGCGAGAATCCTAAAACTTCTTGTGTCTGTGGCCTGCTTTCTCTATGATGAAAAAACCTTGCAAAATGATACGAAAAAAGAAGCGAGACGTCAGTCGTCACGTAGAGCTGCGTTCGTAGCAGCCCAACTCAATTTCATAGCAACAATTCATGACCAGTTAGTGGACTCGTGATTCAGGCCGTTACTCAAAAGTTTCCCGAGCATTAACGATTAACCGCAACGTAAGAAGTGTTAAATTATTAAACCGCTCCTTTATTTAATTGGTTTAAGAACAAAAACAAAAATCTATTGACTGCGCTGGAACTGCCAAAACCTGTTCACTCTGGCGTCCAAAGACCATATTTTCACGGAGCATGGAGAGGGGATATGGCACTTCGTACACAAGAACATGAGGATTTTTTGCTACGTTTAGTGACAAGATGGTAGATTATTTCGCTGTTTTAACACCAGAACTGCCCACTTGTGGCTGCAAAAATGAAAAGAATCCACTTTAATTCTAATTGTTATTTTCTCTAAATTGAATCGAATAAGTTGTCCTCATTAATATTTAAACCACTTCGCGTGGCAGAAAAGCATTTGCAAAACAAATTTTCCCCACCATAACCAAAGAGCTTCATTTAAACCACGTGGAATAAAGTCTACCATGACTTCAGAAGAAAATTTGAAACCTAGAGAAAAGTGAAAAGGTCTAACAAAAGTTTTGGCAGAAAAACTATACAACAATATACAAAATAGCAAGTTAGGCTGGCGGTGTGAGAAGGAACCAGACTTTCTTAGGCCAATTTAACCCTAATAAAAGTTCATAAAAGTTATTGATATCTTAGGTGTTTTTCTGACCCTTGCTTGAAAAATTGGTTATGATGCTCTTTGGGAGCGAATATTAACATTTGAGATGAAAGCATTTAAAGATGCCTCTTGTCATGAAAATTGTTCGCCAGTGCTTGCACTCTCGAAAAACGAAATTTCTTTCTCTGAGAAAAATAACTTCCTTCTGAATTCCTATTTTGCAAAAAAGCACTCAAAACAATGTGAAACTGGATGCAAAATTTTGGCCTAGCTACAGTGACAGCACTCAGTTTACCTGTATGACCAAACTCTTAAAATAAAAATGGCACCCATAGCTCAACCACACAGCAACACACAAAACCAGATACATTACGTTGATTGCATTGAAGCATAGACATAGGAAGTTATTTAGAAGTTGTAGAGGGAACTTGAAGGCAAAAACCGAGAACCTCCGTGGGCTGCGAATAAGAACATAACCGCTGGCTTTGAAAAGTGAAAGGCACTTTCCCCCTGGCTCCTGCACTGTGCCTAGTGTACCGTAAATCCTCGAATTAGCCCCCTGGGATCTTATTTATTTTGATATTTTTGGATGGGGGCTTATTCGAGGGGGGGGGCTTAAACGAGGTGGGGGAGGGGGGGCTTATAAAATTAATGTAGACATTAAGAAGACATTATTAAAAGACCTCGTTTATTATAGTAAAAATTTCTCTATGAGCATTTAATTAATTACTACCAAAAGTAATTAAATATGAATTTGTTGTGGTAATTCAATAAAACGCCAAAGGCAACCTCAGATGGTCAAAAATCGTCAAATGGAGGGGTCTAATTAAAGAATTTACGGTAGCAGTGGGAGCTTACTCGAGGGGGGATTGTTGACGATTTGTAGTTCTAGAGTGGAGGCTTATTTGAGGGTGGGGGGCTTTTTCTAGGGGGGAGCCAATTCGAGGATTTACGGTATACATCGAGGGCATGCATTGAATAAAAGATTACGTAATTCGAAAAAACACCCAACAATGCTATGACTATTGCAGTCATCAAATAATTTTTTATAATTTCTTTACACACTCTCATTTTTAATGATTCAACTCTAGAAACGTATTTCTTGGAAACCTCTTTCGGTCGTTGCATCTACCCATCTACTGCAAACCGCTTCTTCAGATATGAATCGTTCCGGAAATAGGAATTTGCCGACTATTGTCCAACACCTCCCCCGCAATCAATTCTATTAAAAGTTTGCTTTACAAAGTTCATCTTTTACGACTTACAAGGAAAATTGCTTTCTCGGTCAGTCGAACTGCCCTTGTGCCCTGACAAACCCTGAAAGCACATTTTAATTAAGCTAAGCCAAAGTTGTTGAGCTAAGCCTGGGCAAAATTTGTCCATTTTTTCAAATAAGCTTAGCAAAAACTAGTCAATAAGATAGATCGACATTGAATTATCTTTAGGGCACAGTTACTTTGCAGCAGTTTATTGGGCCATGAAGAGACGAGCATAAATGTAGGTATCGAGATATTCACGAACACTTCCTTATTCCTTCGAGACTCCAATACATAAAGCGTCTTCAAATCCTTACATTTTTTCAACGATATTACGAAAACGAATAACAGAAATATTACTTTAATAATACTCACAAAGCCTTAGGTGACTCTAGCCTTTCAGTAGTTTATTGTCACACGAAGAAGTCTGTTCGACGGCCAAGTAGCAGGCTGTAATGATATAAATGTTTGTAACATGATATCTGTTCGAAATCCACACATTTGGATTTTCTATTGTTGAAAAGATCTGTGTGTATAGGTGCTTGTTGCACGTGAAAGGGAAGGGACATCACCCAGTGGCGGATTTAAGAGGGGGGCTACTAGGGGCAGTTGCCCCTCCCTTGACGAGTTGAAGCAAGTCTGGCGCCCCTTTTTGGAAATTGTGCGCCCCTTTTGAAGAATGAGAATCAGGTGAAGATATTTCTGAGACCGCTAGGTTAATTTGCTTCAAGGATTACCTCAAAGTTATGTTGTTTATTCTGAAAATGGATCTGAAATTGTTGTATACAGCGTACTCTCGTCACCAATTTTTGTAAATTTTTCAGCGCCCCCACTACCAACTGCCCCTCTTTCAAATTTGCTCTGGATCCGCCCCTGACACCACCAGCCATCGCGTTTATCAGCTCAAATTTACTTCGGCCAAAAGCTAGATATTTATTACGTAACGACAGGCCTTTCAATACATTGCATGTGCACATGGCATTTTCAAGAAAATTAGGTCGAGAAACAAGGGTCGCCTTGGATATATAATGATTTTCCTCAAATCACGAGGGGCGTGGCATTACCCCTTTTCAAGTTACTTAAGGTAGGATAATACCTTACTAACTATATTTTGTCGTTGCAAGGCAGAGGCTATTTTCACAGTAGGAATGTGTTTTTAGAAACGATTTCATATGTGCTAGCAAGTACCATCATCCAGTGCCAAAGAAAGGACTTTTTTAATCTTCCTTGAAATGAAATACAACAATTATTTTAATAAGCGTTGAAATCTATCCAAAAAGTTTTTCTGTGGTTTCCCGAAACACCATAACCTGATACCCAAAACACTAAATTTAACTTCAGCTAATATGTTTTTGCGGATTGATCAGTAAAAAAACATAAGATTGGAACGTATGTTAAAATATGCATCCTTTTACGTGACTTTAATCAATATTATTATACTAATTAACGCTTCAGCAAGAAGTATAACCTAAGTGTTATAAACCATACACCTATTATTATCCTTCCAGGAGCGCTTAAAGGGAGCAACGGGGCAAATTGCCCAAAGCCTCGAGATCTAGGCGGCCTCATAAATGAATTCCATTTTAAAATGGAATTAATTAAAGGTAACAAAATTATGCCTTAAATTAGTAAACATTTTAAAAGAATGAATGAATTTAAGCTTATCTAAAGGGCATGGTCGCAAAAATGATCTCACTTTTCGGTTTTGCATTCTTTGAGTCCAAAACCTTCTTGATATTCTAAAAGTTCGCATCTTCTTTCTGTTTAAGCGACCCATGAAATTCTTTTGTTTCATATGTCTTAAGTGATATAGCGATTTCCTCGAGGAACTCACCAACGACCAATATTGTCAAATGACATGCGGTTAAACGCTCGGTGGTTAAACGTACTTGTGCCCCTCTCTAATTTGCATCCACACCCATACATGCTTTGTGACTTCACGCCAGCAAAACAAACTTTCAGTTGTATTACTTGCATAGTTGTAAAGTTATAGTGTGATACCCAACAATGGCCTGGGTACAAGTGCCCCAGTCAGGGGCGAAAATACCGGGGGGTGTGGGGGGTGTCACACCCCCCCCCCAATCTTAAAAATAGTCGATTTCGCAGGGCGCCAAGAAGAGCTTTGTTCCCACGCAGAAATGTCACCTCTGAAGTTCGTAAAGGGCCGTTTAGGAATTTTGAAATGGAAATATCATATTTGTTATGAACCTACCTTCCTGATATTGCATTTTAGAGAACGGAACAGGTGTGTAAGGAAAAGCTCCGTTATTTGCAAAGCGAAATCATGTCTTACCGAAAGTCATAGCCAATGGATTCAATGATTGATGCATATGTTTATGAGGGCAAGGTTGAGTCCATATGAATTAATTTAAGTTGTAAATTATTTTCAAGACAGGCACGGCGTCACTGGGGGGAATAGGGGGCTGAAGGCCCTCACTTTGGTCAAGATAAGAACTTTTTTATCATTTTTTCTATTAATTTTTAACAGTGCATGAAATAAAAAGAGAGTAAACTGTTAAGATGCCGATTTTGTTTGATCTAATTACTAACTTTTTCACGTATATTTTTATTATTTTTCTTTTATTTGAATTAATTCAGTAAATCACATTCTGTATCATTGCAATGTTTTTATTTTGGAAGTGTAAACATGGCCTTCTCGATACAAGAAACTGCACATTTCTGTTCAGGAAATAAAATTCTCCCAATCAAAACAACATCTTCCTCTGTCATTCACACCTATGTGCAGTCTGAAACGAACGGTTGACGTTTCCTTTCTTCCCCAACGTCTATCACTAGAGTTTTAGCATGACATGCCCCTTCCTATTTTTCCCAATAAACAATAATCAGTTTTTTAGCACAATAGTATTTTGCTAAATTTTAGTCTGAAAGATGCTTTTTAGCCCTATTACAAGGTATAATTTCAAAAATTTTCTGCAAGTCGGACCCAACCATGGTGGGTCCTCCTATATCACTAAAATTGATTCTTAGTCCCCCCGGGCTCAATTTCGTTGCTTCGCCCATATACTGCACCAAAAAATCATATGCCACGAGATAGAAGCTTTATTATCAAAGAAAATCAAATTTAACATATAATTTACGCTCACGTAGAGAAATAGATATTTCATAGGCAATGAAGTTTTAAGTTTGTTTTTATTGCTTAGAAGTTTTTCCTTGGTAAAGACCAGTGTACACTGGTGAAGCTTTCACTAGTAACCTATAGAGTATAGACAAACCTTTGCTACGAGGTCTGCAGGGCATCACTCAGTTTTGCAGGACAGAAACCCTTTTCACCCCCCCCCCAAACCTACTGGCCAAGTTACGCCCCTGGCCCCAGTCATAAAATAGCTTTTGGGGGCATTTTTAAAGCTTGATGT